ACTGGTGATAACATTCAGACTGCCAAAGCAATTGCATTGGAGTGTGGTATATTAGCTTCAGACTCAGATGCTAGTGAGCCTAATCTGATTGAAGGAAAAGTATTTCGATCCTATTCAGAAGAAGAAAGAGATAGGATTTGTGAAGAAATATCTGTAAGAGCCTTATGATTTAGGTTGTGATTGAAGGAAATTATTTAATGGTACCTGACATTGTTGCGAAATTTGAAGGTAATGGGTAGATCATCACCCAATGACAAACTTCTTCTTGTGCAATCGCTGAAGAGGAGGGGACACGTCGTGGCTGTGACTGGTGATGGAACCAATGATGCTCCTGCACTGCATGAGGTTCAATATATTTACATAACCCTCGTATGTGTAAGCTTCAAAAAACACTGTTATTGAGGATCACACTTTCTGTTTTGTCCCCTGACTTTCAGGCAGATATAGGTCTCGCAATGGGTATCCAAGGCACCGAAGTTGCAAAGGAAAAGTCAGACATCATTATCTTGGATGACAACTTTGAATCCGTTGTGAAGGTTTGTATCCTTAGTAGAAGCTTCCTTTTGATACTCCTCTGTTGCATGATAAATTTGAAATTTGTAACTCAATTCTTTTCCTCATAAATGTTCTCCTTTGGGCTTTGGGGCTATTTAAGACCTTTTGATGATCCTGAATTAGATATCCATTTTCGTAATTGTCTGATCCCTATAGGTTGTCCGTTGGGGTCGATCTGTGTATGCCAATATTCAAAAGTTCATCCAGTTTCAGCTCACGGTTAATGTCGCAGCCCTTGTCATCAATGTTGTCGCTGCCATATCTGCCGGTGATGTTCCTCTAACTGCAGTACAGGTTCAATATAGCAAATTTATTCTCTCTCTTTCTCATCTGCACAAAAGTATTCACTTCAGAACTTGGTAAAAAGTCTTCTCCCCTATCTATGTAGCTCCTCTGGGTCAATCTTATAATGGATACTCTTGGGGCTCTTGCTTTAGCCACTGAACCACCAACCGATCACTTAATGGATCGAGCCCCTGTTGGCAGAAGGTACCACTTCTTATTAGACTTGAGCATGCGTGTTAAGTCTTGTTCAACTATAGAGTGCTCTCAGTTTCTCTTCCATTTGCACAATAATTGGATTTATATTTTGCTTTCAGAGAACCTCTCATCACAAATATCATGTGGAGAAACTTGTTTGTACAAGTAAGTTACCTTCTTCTTCTTCTTCTTATCTCCCTAACTTCTCTAAGAACACAATGGTTAAGCCTTTTCTGCTGCTCCAATTGTTTTGCATATTATTAGGCGATGTACCAAGTGACAGTCTTGTTAATCCTCAATTTCCGTGGAATAAGTATACTGCATCTGAAGAGTAAGCCAAATGCTGAGAGAGTGAAGAATACAGTCATCTTCAATGCCTTCGTCATCTGCCAGGTAAAAGACACTGACTTGTCAGTATAAAAAGCTTGGGGAAGTCAGAAAACAAACTGATTTTTTAAATTTGTTAGATCTTCAACGAGTTCAATGCACGGAAGCCAGATGAAATAAACATTTTCCGAGGAGTTCTCAGGAATCACCTTTTTGTGGGCATCATCTGTATCACCACTGTGCTCCAGGTACTGATTCTCTCTCACCTGTTCCTGCAAAGCAAATTTAGTCACTTCTTCGTATATACATCTGATATGTAGACATACCATTTATTGCTTGTTGTTAACTGTTTAATAGGTAGTCATCGTCGAGTTCCTTGGAACATTTGCCTCAACGACTAAGCTTGATTGGGAGATGTGGCTCGTCTGTATCGGAATCGGTTCCATCAGGTTTGTTTGTTAACTTTGTCATCAAAGAGTTTTAAGTAGGTCAAAACAAGAATTAGTAGATCCTTTATTCGTAAGCTTACCAGATAAATTCTGTTTTATGTTATGGAACCAGTTGGCCTTTGGCGGTGATTGGAAAATTGATACCGGTTCCAGAAACTCCCGTCAGCCAATACTTTAGAATAAACCGGTGGAGAAGGAACTCATCAGGTAATATAAGTAGCTAGTTACCTTTTCTTCGCTATAGCCAAGCCATTAAACGCATCTAAAGCTTTGAATTTTTCTGTTGATTTTTCAGGTTAATAATTAGTTTGAAAAGAGAATACCAAAGGAGGCTTAGTGGTATCCAACTTGTGAATACTTTTACCTCTTTCTCTCAGTATTTTCGCAAACGGCTTCTTCGGTTTAATACATCAAACAGATGAAAAATATACCTATTTTTGTTTAGTTGTTGTTAAGCCTGTTACTTTAATCCTTAAATGCTCAAAGTCCAGAGTAATCCGAACGAAGTGACTTATATAAAGAGGCTTCATTTTATGCTTGGTGCAGAGAGAGTAGAACTGTAGAATATTCACATAAATACATATATGCAAATATGTTACAAGTATGTAGAGTTTCACAGTTTGAGATTGTGATGTAGCAAACAATGGAAGTGGTGCATTGGTTTCTCCACAAGAGCATATCTTCCTTTGTCATAGGCCTGAGATTCGAGACCCCTTTGAACACTCTCACACAACACAACATCTTCAATCTGATTCACCAAAAACTTACACATTCCATAAACTCATGTCTGTTTAAACGGCATTTATTTTCCGTATAATGAGATCCATTCATTTCTCGTACCTGAACTCTTTCGCTTTCTTCCAAACTTCTCTTGATGAAAGCTTCATCATCCTAAAGCCAAACGAAGATTTCAAAGATTGCATGCTATACAAAGCCGGGCTATATATAGGTTTATGTTGCTGGTTTGTTTTACCTTTAAAGAAGGATCAAGAAAATAATCGAAGACAACTTTACATTTCCTTGGTCCTAATGGTAGCACTAAATTCGTGTCCATCCAAGGTCCATACCTATTCAACATAAACCATGCAGAGTGACTCGAGTCAAGTTATTGGAAGTTGAGTTGAGCAATGGACTTGATGTATGTTACCTATTTATCATGAAATTTGGGTAGACGAAAGCGTATAGAGCTTGAGACCCAAGCCTATCGAAACCGTCTTCACCAACCTTGGAACCACCTCCACATTCTTGGATACTAACCTTTTCGAATATCTGATATCTTAAACCATAAAGTCTATCACAAGAAGCAACTAACTAGGGATTAGAATCATGTGTTGAAAGTCATATTTTGGCCTTAGTTCAGATTCAAGGAATATACCGTTGTAGAATAGGTTTCGAGATCAAGGCCAGACATCAAACCTTTATGTGCATAAGGTACATGATAGCCACCATCTAAGTAGTTATCACAGAACACCTGCAAAAGTTTTCAGTGATCCATCCATCATCAATCTTTGTAGTTCTGTTTTTATAGAAGAGTATAGTCAGAACAAGATTTCACCTTCCAGTTACAATCAATGGTGTATTCACGTCTGCATATGAAACTAAGCGGGGAAGCAACTCCACCTTGGCTCAACCTCCCCACAGAAGTACCAAGCCATTCTGATGCCACTAATCCATCAGTCTCAACTTCTCCGTCCCTCGATGTGGCTTGAGTCACCTTGAGAAGAACAAAAGGTCCCCATACAGCTACTTTTAGAGGTTTCAGTCCCATTTCCTATATATCCTCAAACAGTCAAGTGCAAGAAGTCAAACTCTCTCATCTTTTTTTTAAAAAAAAAGTGAGAGACGACATACACTTAAAGCAAAGTTCTCAATCCCAGTCATTCTAGTAGCTTTGACAAGCGATCCACTCAAACTATACGTCCATCCCTGCCACAGAGAATAACTCAAAACCATATTCATCCACCGCATAATCAGTTCCGATTTCAAGTTCGAGCGTACATGATAAGGGCAAACAAAACAAGACTTCTTCCCATTTCCAGAAGCCAAGATAGAAGCATGGTGAGAACATACATTATGGAAAGCATGAATCTTTCCATTATCATCTCTACACACAACAAACTCTACATCCCCAATCCTGCACCAATGTTTAATCTTTCTCACAAAATTCTCATATACATTGAACAAGAGACATAGAAAAGATTACAAATTCTCATATACGTGATTACTTACCTCCCGGTGAAAAAGTCACGACTCTCCTTAATCTGATCAGAGTAACCTGAAAATGATGTAATGGCAAAGTTAAGAACTTTAGAGAAACAGTTTTTAACACTCAGTGAGTGAGAATTGTCCTGACCTACGGCTTGCCATCCTCCATAGAAGACACGATCAAGCTCGAAACTGTAGAATCGAGGATCAGTGTACCACGAGCTCGGCGGAGTAGATGCTCTCTCCAACGGAATATTCGGATCAAACTCCGTCACAAGCTTATTGATATCTGAAACGGCGAAGACTCTGCTCGGATTGTGAAATCTTCTCCGACCAAATTGATAGACTGAAACGCTAACTTCACCATGAAAATTGAAATATCTAGTGGTGGATTTTAGCGTTGGTGTTAGAAATTCCGGTACCGTTGCCGTTAACGTGGTCATCATCATCACCGGCTTCTCTGTTTCGCTTCAATGATCGTGGAAGCAAGCAGAGCTTTACTTTGGAATTATTACAAGTGGCATATTGTTCAATAATTTCTGTTTTAACCCCTAAAAATTATTAATAATTCTGTTTTAACCCCTACAAAAGTACAAATTATCGGCCCGGTCAGATTCATCCTAATAAATCATTTTAATGTTTTACTTTTTTTTTTTAATCAAATGTTCAATTAGAAATTCTTAACTACAATTCTACAAACAAACAAAAAAACGTTTTTTATACTTATGAGTGATTTGCGGGTAGCTGAACATTTTTTGATCAGGGTGGGTGTTATGAAAAACTTGGTGATGCATGAGTGTCTCTCCTTAATCAGCTAATCACCTTTTATAATTTCCTTAATTACAAATCTTTAATTTCCGAAAAGTATTCATTTCCTTAAATTTTCCACTGATTTATCATCCATACATAATAATCTTCTTAATCTCTTTGTGTTGCCATTATAAGCAGATCAAGGAATCACTCATTCCACATCATTTCACCATTATCATCTTCCTTCATACAACAAACACAAATATAAACGATGATATGCGAAGATGCATATCAGTATCAGCAATTACATGGACAAAAGGATCACATGATGACAATGATGATGATGGACTTGAGCACATCACCACCATCATCACCCATTTCACCATCTTCTCCATCTTCACCATCATACAATAACAACGAGGAAGATAGACTAGAGGTTGTGAATTTGAGTGGCATGGCATTACAATCTCTCCCAAATCCTTCCCTCAATTTGGCAAATATTTGCAAGCTTGATCTCTCCAACAATCATATCAAGGTTTAATATCTCTATGCATACACTCATACACATCTCATATATATACAGATAACTATATGTTTCTTTTTTTGGGTTTGTCTATGAATGATAACAGAAAATACCAGAATCTCTAACAGCGAGATTACTCAACTTGATAGCATTAGATATTCACTCTAACCAGATCAAAGCTCTTCCAAACTCCATTGGTTGTCTCTCTAAGCTCAAGATCCTTAATGTCTCCGGCAACTTTCTCGTTTCCCTCCCCCAAACTATACAAAATTGCAGGTTCACACATCAAACATTCACAAAAAACTCAAATCTGAACCAAACCAATCATATATGATGATAATGCTGATTAATTCCTCTGTTTTCTTTCGTTTCGGCTTTTCCAGGTCACTCGAAGAACTAAACGCTAACTTCAACGAGCTGATTAGATTACCAGACAACATAGGCTTAGAACTAACCAATCTGAGGAAGCTCTGCGTCAACTCAAACAAGCTCATTAGCCTACCAAAATCAATCACCTACCTCACTTCACTGCGTGTCCTCGATGCTCGTCTCAATTGCCTTATGGTCCTCCCTGAGGACCTCGAGAACCTCATCAACCTTGAGATCCTCAATGTCAGTCAGAACTTCCAGTATCTTTCTGCTCTTCCATCTTCTATCGGTCTTCTCCTGAACCTCCTCGAGCTGGATATTAGCTACAACAAGATAACAGTGTTGCCTGAGTCCATTGGATGCATGAGGCGGCTGAGGAAACTGAGCGCAGAGGGAAACCCGCTCGTGTCCCCACCCATTGAGGTTGTGGAACAGAGCTTGCAGGCGGTGAGAGAGTATCTTAGCCAAAAGATGAATGGTAGAATGGTGAACACCGCGGCAAAGAAGAAGACATGGGGTTTCCGCAAACTGGTTAAGTATGGGACATTCAATGGCAGATCAAGAGCTTGGACCAGAGAAGAGAGAGAAGGGCTCATCATGCCCGAGTACCGTCCCATTGATATCCTAACTTCAACCAAGTTTCCTGTGATGTGCTCACCTCGGCGTCTCTTCTCCCCAAGAACCTATTTCAGCAGATAAGAATAATGCACACAGCAAACACAATTTTGAATCTATCAACCATTTACTTAAATTCATCACTAAATGTATAAAAGAGTATGTAAATACACGGCATTCAGATTTCATAACTTCTTATTGTAAATCATGTATCTAAAATCATAAATAACAATTTTGACCGGAATTTTTTTTATAAATAGCATTTCTGTGTTGGAACTTGGAACTTCTTTATGAAATTAGCATCTGCGATTTTGCAGACCTCGTTAAGCCTTAGTCTAACACCTGAAGTAACGAACCAAACTACCAAAATCTATACTTTATTGTTTGTGTTGTCATATAACTAAGTGTTATAGTAAATTTCTCATTATCCAACTTCAAAATTCAACAATCAACACCTGAAGCAAGGAACGATCTCACACAAACCCAACTTCAAAAATCTCTGCTTTATTGGTTGTGTTGTTTTATAATTGTAGCATAACAAATCACATTATCTTCTTCAACGCAAAATTCAACAATAAGATTGCTAAATCAAAGCAACATCGTCAATATACTAACATTCAAAGCTGAAATTCTCATTATCAAACACATAAGCTTAGAAAACACACACAAAAAAAAAAGTCGCATTTTTTTCTAGTGATCGATCTTTAAACTAAAGATCCAATTACATAACAAAGTGAAAGTGATTCTACACCTCTAATGGAGATAACCAGGGATCTTAATGCGAATAAAGAGCATACTCATAACATAAGCAATCACAATGGAGGAGATTCCAGCTGTAGCATAAGATGCTTTAACACTCTTAGCTCGATTCTTATCCAATGCCAGATCCAACATTATGATCCCAATCCCACCGAGCACGAACATGAATCCCGAAGAAAGACCTTCAATTATGTATTGACCATTGACCCGACCCGACATGAACACAACGGGTCGTACTGACCCGGTGATGGGATCCTGGGTTGATCCGATACCTGGAGGCTCGACAATCACGTCGTAGACGAAGCCGGAGACGACGAGGAAGTAAGTGAGGAGAATCAGTGAGAAGACAGTCATTGGAGATGGGAGTGTGAAGGAAGGGAGCTTGAGACGAAGACGCGGTGGTCGGAGGAAGGAGAAAGGGATGATACGGAGAATGTGGAAGATCGGATCGATTGAGGATTCATCGGATGTGGCGGAGCCGGTGGCTAGGGTTTGTGAATCGGATCTCGGTGCCATTTTCGTCGGATCCTTGAGAATTATTAGCTCTTCGCTCTCTTATTGTGAAACAGTTTGAGAGTTTGGTACTTTGGTTTGTTTGGAAACTTGGATATCGTTATCCGTTATATTGATAACTTTGCACGTTCTGCCGTTTTTTTAGAAAAGAAGTTAATATTAAACGACATGTAGTTTTTAATTTCCAAGGAGTTTCAATTTTCAAAGGCTCTCTCTTTCTCGGTGTTGCTGTTGTTAAAGTCTGAGACTTGTGGACTGGTGGAGTCGATTAAAGTTGTGTTCTCTCTTGGTTTCTCTATTACAAGAGTTTGGTTTTTGTAGAAGCTATATCAGATATGAGTAAGAGACCTCCGCCTGATCCGGTGGCTGTGCTTAGAGGGCACCGTCACTCTGTTATGGACGTTTCGTTCCATCCATCCAAATCTCTGCTTTTCACTGGGTATATTAGTCCTTCTCTCTCACTTGTGCTCAATTCTCGAGTCATACGTGTTTTTATTTTTGATGATTTGGTGCAAAATTGAAGCTTTCTTTCTTCAGTTCAGCTGATGGAGAGTTGAGGATTTGGGATACTATTCAGCATCGTGCAGTTTCTTCTGCTTGGTTTGTGATTTTGCTCTTCAATTCTTGTTTTGTATTGAACTATCTTGTTATAGCTCATTGTTCTGTTTCGGATTTGTAGGGCTCATAGTAGAGCAAATGGGGTTTTAGCTGTAGCAGCTAGTCCCTGGTTAGGAGAGAACAAGGTTATCAGGTAAAATGTAAGCAATCATGCTTTCTTAATCAATCTGTTTACTGAAAATCTTAACTAGTTACTGTTATGGTTATAGCCAGGGAAGAGATGGAACTGTCAAATGTTGGGATATTGAAGATGGTGGTCTATCAAGGTGGATATGATTTTCCCCTTATTCGACTGTTTATGCATTTGTTGCTATATTGAACTATAACCAATGATTCTCTTGACATGCTTGGCAGAGATCCATTACTAATACTTGAGACAAGCGCCTATCATTTTTGCAAGTTCTCTCTTGTTAAGAAGCCTAAGACTTCTCTACAAGAAGCTGAAAGTCACTCACAGAATTGTGATGAGCAGGATGTTGGAGAGATGTGTAATTTTCAACTTGGAGATGATAGTGAACGATCTGTGGAGGATTCTGGTTTCCTTCAGGGTATGTTTTACTTGCATTGTCTAGAGATTTTGTGTTCCGATCATTGGTTTTTCAGACTGAACTGATACCGTTCGATATATCAGTATTAAAAGTAAGATCATAAGTTGCTCTCCATGAATTTGAAAAAGGTCCCTCTTTAGCAACAAAACTGTTTATCCTGTTATTGCTCATATTACTAAGGATTTGACAATAACAGATGGAGATCATGCTGAAGGTACCACTTTTGTAGCAGTAGTAGGGGAGCAACCTACTGAGGTGACTAGAAATCCATATATGTTTTGTTTTGGAAAATATCATAGAATTGTTTCATCTCGCTTCTCATATTGGTTTTCATTTCCTGTTTTTCATTCTACTGTTTGGTGTATCCATAAAGGTAGAGATATGGGATCTCAATACCAGAGAAAAGATCATACAGCTTCCTCAAAGTAGCCCTGACGAATCCCCCAATGCTTCTACCAAAGGAAGAGGTGAGCTCATATTGTTCTTTCAATGAGATCCTTCATATCTGCATTTCTTGTTAAAGTGATGTTTTTTTTCTCATCAGTAAAATTTTTCAAATTAGAATGCCTTCTTCAGCTCACCTTTGAACTTGCTTAAAATACTTTCATCAAGGTCGTGAATATGGTCTTCTGCAGGTATGTGTATGGCTGTTCAATTGTTTTGCCCTCCTGAATCCCAGGGTTTCTTACATGTCCTAGCTGGGTATGTTCTCTTCCCTAAGCTGTTTTTCATTAATCAAGAAAGACAAGTCCCAGGATTTCATACTTTGTTTTATATTGGGTGGTTCATTCCAAACTTGTGCAGTTATGAGGATGGTTCAATACTTCTTTGGGATATACGCAATGCTAAGATTCCTCTAACAAGTGTGAAGTTTCATTCAGAGCCAGGTCTTGTTCCCATCCTCTGTATTCAGATTTTTCTTATATTTTGTTCATGCTCTCTGAATTTTCCACATTACTTATTTCGTCTTCTTTATGCAGTTTTAAGTCTAAGTGTTGCATCATCATGTGATGGAGGTATCTCAGGAGGGGCAGATGACAAAATTGTGATGTATAATCTCAACCATTCAACTGTAAGTTTGACATCTGCCAGAGAGGATGCACTTGTGTGATTGCCATAAAGCTATAGTTAAGTACTGATTCCATAAAATCTTTTCATATGATTTTAGGGTTCTTGTACAATGAGGAAAGAGATTACTTTGGAAAGGCCCGGTGTATCAGGCACCTCAATTCGACCCGATGGCAAAATTGCAGCAACGGCTGGTTGGGACCACAGGTTAGCATCCACATGCTATGTACTGACTTTCTTTCTCCAGTGTAAAAAGATGTCGATGCATATGAAATCGTTTTTTTTCTATTCTCCAAAACGCTTTCATCGATCTTTCAACTAGTTTTACCAATAGTTAGAAGCTAAAAACTCTTCTCCTGTTTGATACATATTTGGAAACAGAATAAGGGTCTATAATTACGGCAAAGGAAATGCTCTAGCAATACTAAAGTACCACCGAGCAACGGTATGTACTAGGTTCAACAGTTAAGAGACTACCATTTTTCTAAATCTTTGTATCTGATGCTTCCATGTGTTTGTTTGCAGTGCAACGCTGTGTCCTACTCTCCAGACTCTGAGCTAATGGCGTCTGCGTCTGAAGATGCAACTGTTGCTCTCTGGAAACTCTATCCTCCCCATAAATCTCTATGATCTGCTATATGGTTCGGCTTAGTTCGATTTCTTGACCTCAATCTCTTGAATTTGTAAATACATTCTGTCATCATGACATCATCAAAAGATCATCATCAAAAGAACAAATAAATAGTAGAGAGTAGAGTAATTTCTGGTTTGTTAATGGTCCACCTTGATTAGTTGATTTGTTCAAACTCGCACGTTCTGCCGTTTTCCTAGAAAAGAAAAATCAAACGACGCGTAGTTTGCATCACCGTACGTTGAGTAGATTTCACGACCAAAAGAAATTGCACCAAACTAATCCGTCACCGTCGCAGGAGACTCATAACATCTGAAGACCTAAAATCAAACAGTACGATTTTCGATTCTCTCGAGCTCTAGGTCATCCGCTTTCTGATTCAAACGTCATTCTGGTTTCTTCTAGATCGATCCCGATTGTTTCCCATTGATCCTGATCCGGAAGCTGTGTAAATGGCGTACGTCGACCATGCGTTCTCGATAACCGACGAGGACATTATGATTGAGACTTCATACACAGTCAATAACCGACCGCCGGTGAAGGAGATCGCACTCGCGGTGGCTTTACTCGTGTTCGGAACCCTAGGAATTGTCTCCGGCTTCTTCATGGCTTATAATCGAGTTGGCGGTGATCGAGGCCACGGTAGCGATTTCTTCACCTTTCTTACTAATTCCCTGTTTATTGATCCAGTCTAGGAGTAGAAATTAGAAATTCATGAGAATCTGGGGGACTTCTCTTTGCTAGTTTGAGAGATTTTAGAAAGCAGTAATTGATTTCAGCTAGATTGTTTTAGGAAATGTTTAGATTTGAGGAAGTTATTATAAGAATTTAGGTGATTAAGCTGATAGATGTAGATTGCAAGTGCTCTGGTTAGCTAATTTCGATTCAGTTTGGCCTTTTGATCTCTGTTTTCTGGAGATTTGGATGAATAGATGGAAGCCTTACAGAAGTTTTCTAAAGGCATACAATTTGATTTCATTAATTATTAGAATGTGTACTGTTTGGTAAATTTCCGGGAGAATCTTGTATATGATGATTCTAAGCTTCTTGTATCTGCGAGATGAAATGGACAGATTTTCATAGAAGTCTATACATATCTTAGATGGTACACTCTGATTGATTTTCCCCAGTAATGAGCCTTCTTAAAACCTCTGCTTGTAAGATTTGCTTCAAATTAGTAAGTTTGCTCTTCTTCCACTGGGATGTAACTCATTGATGCGTTTCACACATCCTCAACGCAATGCGAAACCAAAGTATCTGCAATCTGCATCATACTTAAACTGGATTTCATTTTATCTGCCTTTTTTCCCCTTATTGCATCAATGACCTATCATTCTTAGTTTTTCATGTGATTTGGGCATGAGCTAAGGTAATGATGATTCATTCTCTGTTTGATTTTTGATGGTGAAACCAGGGATTTTCTTCATCGTCCTCGGGTGTCTTCTGTTCATCCCCGGGTTTTACTATACTCGGATCGCGTATTATGCTTACAAAGGATACAAAGGTTTCTCCTTCTCAAACATACCGCCCGTTTAGCCTCGCCTTTCGAACCTCTCCTACTCAATGTATAGAGATGTTTTATTGCTCTAAGCAATGATTGACTTGTTTTCTCTTTTGTGTAGTTTTATAGGATTTGAGTCCAGTCCCTTCTTGCTTTCTCGTTCTTCTTGTTAAATAAATTCGAGTCTGTGACAGTTAGTCAGATTTATACATACATATCTATATACATATAACATATACACCCGGTTCAAAGAGATATTTGTTTCTAAAAGATTTCTAATTCGAACCAAGTAATATAGGATATTGAAGTTTCACCATGTTGATTTCAGATGTCATTGTTTATTTTACATCAAATTCCTCTTAATGCAGTATTTAATTGATTACAAATTTGGTCAGTTTACACATGCTACTTCTAGAGTTTCAATCTAAATCATGATGGTGTTATATCAAAACTAAAACGTGATTCTGGTGTGAATTTATGTGTTCCACATTATTGTCTTCTTTGGGTGAATGTATCTACCTTATAATATGTACTTTATTAGCCTGTTTAAAGCAAACGTGACAAAATATAAAGATTCAATTGCTATATACGGACAGCGATCCAGATATTTGAATTGTTCATGGGCCCAAAATATCTCTCTACGTCACATATATAATCCCAATTATTACTATAACCTAAAAAGCTTAAACCGAATGGCCGGTTTAAAAACATTTCCGGTTTAAGTATCTGAATTTAGTTTTCTCTCTCTCGTGTCCTCTCCTCAAAATCCTCAGCCGCATCTCACTTCTCATTCTCTCTTTCTATCTCTAAAAAAATGGCTTCCTCTTGTCTCTTCAACGCCTCTGTATCTTCCTTAAACCCTAAACAAGACCCCATCCGCCGCCACCGGTCAACCTCTCTCCTCCGCCACCGTCCCGTCATCGTCTCCTGTACCGCCGATGGCAACAACAACAAAGCTCCGATCGAGACAGCTGTCAAGCCTCCTCACCGTACCGAGGATAACATTCGAGATGAGGCTCGTCGCAACCGTTCCACCGGCGTGAATCCATTTTCAGCTAAATACGTTCCGTTCAATGCAGCTCCTGGATCCACCGAGTCTTACTCTCTCGACGAGATCGTGTACCGTAGCCGCTCCGGTGGTTTGCTTGATGTTGAGCACGATATGGAGGCTTTGAAGCGATTCGATGGCGCGTATTGGCGAGATCTCTTTGATTCGCGTGTTGGTAAAAGCACATGGCCTTATGGATCGGGCGTTTGGTCGAAGAAAGAGTGGGTTCTTCCTGAGATCGATGACGACGACATCGTTTCGGCTTTTGAAGGAAACTCGAATCTGTTCTGGGCTGAGAGATTTGGTAAACAGTTTCTAGGAATGAATGATCTGTGGGTGAAACACTGTGGGATTAGTCATACAGGAAGTTTCAAGGATCTTGGAATGACTGTTTTGGTTAGTCAAGTTAATCGCCTGAGAAAGATGAAACGACCTGTGGTTGGTGTTGGATGTGCTTCCACTGGAGATACCTCTGCTGCTCTGTCTGCTTATTGTGCCTCCGCTGGAATCCCATCGATTGTGTTCTTACCGGCGAACAAGATCTCAATGGCTCAGCTGGTTCAGCCGATAGCTAATGGTGCGTTTGTTTTGAGTATTGACACTGATTTTGATGGATGTATGAAGCTGATTAGAGAGATAACTGCGGAACTGCCGATTTATTTGGCGAATTCGTTGAATAGTTTGAGGTTAGAAGGGCAGAAAACTGCAGCTATTGAGATTTTGCAGCAGTTTGATTGGCAAGTTCCGGATTGGGTGATTGTTCCTGGAGGCAATCTAGGAAACATCTATGCTTTTTACAAAGGATTCAAGATGTGTCAAGAACTGGGACTTGTCGATAGGATCCCGAGGATGGTCTGTGCACAAGCGGCTAATGCTAATCCTCTTTACTTGCACTACAAGTCTGGTTGGAAGGACTTCAAGCCCATGACTGCAAGCACCACCTTCGCCTCTGCTATTCAGATCGGTGACCCTGTCTCCATCGATAGAGCTGTGTACGCTCTCAAGAAGTGCAACGGTATTGTAGAAGAAGCCACAGAGGAGGAGCTGATGGATGCTATGGCTCAAGCCGATTCGACTGGAATGTTTATCTGTCCTCATACAGGTGTAGCCCTAACTGCTCTGTTCAAGCTGAGGAACCAAGGAGTGATTGCACCAACTGATCGAACCGTGGTTGTGAGTACTGCTCATGGGTTGAAGTTTACTCAGTCTAAGATAGATTATCACTCCAACGCCATCCCTGACATGGCTTGCAGATTCTCCAATCCTCCTGTTGATGTGAAAGCAGATTTCGGAGCTGTCATGGATGTTCTCAAGAGTTACTTAGGAAGTAATACACTTACGTCATAAGAAACAGAGGCTTTAGCTGTTTTGTCTTTTTTTTTAAAACTGTTAGCCGTTTGTTTGTGTACTCTTCAACGCTCATCTTTCTGTGATCTTTATCTGTTTCTCAGTTTTCCAATAAGTGAAGTTCTTTAAGCAAAGTCTGAACCACTTCATCTTTTTTTATGTAAGCGATAAATCTTAAGTCTCCGGTCAAAATCAACCTGTTGCAGATTACATTGTTACAACTAGTGTTTACAAAGAATCCTCGGAAACTAGATGCGTCTTGGAGAATGCATAAAAGAAAAAACCGAATTGTTCATGAGTAATCGTAGAGCGATACACTCTTGTCATCAGAGACACTAGCAAGCCGACCAGCCCGGACACCGGTTCCACCTGGTGGTCTAAACGCTACAGACCAAACCTGGTCATTGTGATTGCTCATTGTCTGAATCGCAGCTCTCATCTTAAGATCCCATAGCCTCACAGTTCTATCGCTCGAGCCAGTTGCTATGGCTCCACCGTCTGGGCTAGCATCAACGCTAAGCACCCAGCTCGTGTGCCCCGACATGGACCCCAACAGTGTTTTCCCTTCTGCATCGTGCATGTTCACATGCCCATCATCTGATCCGGAGAAGAGGATTCTTGGATCTACAGGGGAGAACACAAGGGACCTTACAGGCATGTTGTGACCTTCTAGCTGGTGAAGAAGCTTTGAGCGGTCAACATCAAAAACACATATCGTGCCATCCATTGAACCACAAGCAAGCCGTTTCCCATTAGGAGCCCAAGCCACTGAGAGAACGAATTTCTTGCTGCTGGTTTTCTCAGAAGGTTTTGGTGCTTCTGGGCGTGGGATTGATAGAGTTGAGATTAATCTCCAGCTTGAAGTGTCCCAAAGCTTGACTGAGGCACTACTTCCACCTGCAACAGCAAGGATTGTACCCTTGGAACATGTAAAATACTATGTTAGCACTTAGCAGAAGAGCACCATTCTGAAGAGTGATGATGAAATTATGCAAGACCAGCTCAGAAGCAAATAAAAACTCCACTGCAAACTAAACACAAAGAGTTACTGAGAGAGATCATTGCATTTATAGTCACCAGTTCAAGATTCTATCATACTAAATCAAGAGTTTTCATAAATGCACCAATAAACTGTTCTTGTGCTCCTATATAAGACTCAATGAAAAATCCGAAGATGATCTAGATCTATTTTCCGAGCAGAGTAGATGACCCTATCTGATCAGAGCTACAGATTCAAACGATTCTCAGCAATTCCAAATAGTTTCCAAGCATTGTTATACAGATCAAGAGAAGCATTACACGCAGCTAAGAAGTGAAATTCAATCAAAGCAATCGAATTCTTTCACCACAAAACAACCCAAATCCTTCAAAGCCCTCAAATTTGAGGCAATATCACTGAATTCTAGGGATTCATAGTAAGTCAATTACCTTAGGCTCAAACTGCATTCCCCAAACCTCAGAAGGAGGAGCTTCCAAAACAGCAATTGTAGCATTAGTATCAACATCAAACACACGGACAAAGCTATCAAGCGAAGAAGAAGCTGCAATGATCCCAGAAGGATGCGCCGCCAAAGCTGCTACTCCCAATGAGTGTCCAGTATTAGTCCGCACAAGATCCAGCTCATCCGGTCGCCATAACTTCACCGTCTCGTCGAGAGATCCAGTCAGAAGCAAGGCCGGACGATCTTCCGTCGCCGGAACCCACGTCGCCGCCCAAACGGAATCTTCGTGAGCGTTCTCGATCGATTTCAGACCTGCGAGTTTCATCCTCTTTTTAGGTTTTTACTGTGTTTCCTCAAGTGAACAAGAAGAAGCAAAAGACCCAAATTTGAAACAGCGACTCTTATTCTCGTTTTCTAGTTAGAAAATAGAAACTCGCGTCGTTTTTAGTAGTTCGAAACAACAGAGTGTTTAAACATCGGGCCGTTTTCTTGTTTATTAGCAAAGGCCCATTAATATCATAAAAGGCCCATTACTTTCTTCTTCCTCACTCTCCCGCCGTCGTCAGCTAATTGCGGAGAGGTACTCTCTGGAGCCGCCACGTCTCAGACTCTCAGTGATCCGACTACGACACCTTTCTTCACTCTTCTTCTTGTGTCTTCTCTGCTTTCCCGATCTCTCTGTTATATAATTTTAATCCATCGAGATTGCTTTTAGCTCTCTATCTTTGAATTTTCCGGGAAAAAAAATGGGAGAAGAAGCTCGAGCTTTAGATATGGAGGAGACCAGTGAAGAGAACACGACGAGACGAAACCATGTCGTTCATGACTTGATGGTAGATTTATACCCGCTTAGCAGCTACTACTTCGGTTCAAGAGACGCTCTTCGCGTCAAGGACGAGATTATCTCTGATCGAGTCATCAGATTGAAATCCAAGTAATTCCAGTTTTGATGAGATTTTGATCATCTGGGTTTTTATTCTTGTCTTAATCTGTAGCTAAAATTCTCTTCCTTTTGTTTAGTTATGCTGCTCATGGATTGAGGACTTGCGTTGACGCTGTTCTTCTGGTAATTTTATAGTTGATAGCAAAATTAGGGATTTTGATTTGCTTAGATTTTTTTTTGAAAAGGATTGATTAAAATCTAATGTTGGGACACATCAGGTTGAGTTATTCAAGCATCCTCATGTTTTGCTTCTTCAATATAGAAACTCCATTTTCAAGCTTCCTGGTGGTCGTTTGAGACCTGGAGAATCAGGTTTACTATACTGTTTCATTACATTTTTATGCATAAATTCTCTGTCTTAATTCTAAATGCTAAAGTAAAGTTTATTGGTAACCTTCTAGATATTGAAGGTGTAAAACGGAAACTAGCATCAAAGCTATCGGTTAACGAAAATGTCGTTGTTCCGGGTTTAGAGGTAGGAACTATGGATTCTTGTGTTAAGTGTTTTTTTTTATGTGATTGTTTCTGGCTTAAGAATGGTCTCTCTAATTATTAAATTGTTGTAGGTAGGGGAATGTATTGGGATGTGGTGGAGACCCAACTTTGAGACATTGATGTATCCTTTCTTGCCACCTAATGTGAAACACCCAAAGGTTAGTTAGTTCCATGGTAATAAAAGTTGAGACTTTTGATGATTCGTGCATATACTTAAAGCTCTGCTCTATCCTCATCTTTGATTAGGAATGCACAAAGCTTTTTCTTGTGAGATTACCGGTACATCAACAGTTTGTCGTGCCTAAGAACTTCAAACTCCTCGCTGTTCCATTGTGTCAACTCCATGAAAATGAAAAGGTATGTACTCTCTTACTTTCATTTCCCTTAACTCATAGTGAACTTTGAATCGATGTTCCTGGTAAAACTAACAGGATCAGTCAATCAAGCTGTATTTAACCCTGATTCCTGTGTTATGAATCATTGATATGATGTTTCATTTATGCGTTGCAGACTTATGGGCAGATCATATCGCAAATTCCCAAGCTTCTTTCGAAATTCTCCTTCAACATGATGGAGATATGAACGAACCTCATAATCATTACCTCTAGTAGCTCTTGCCCGCAATTTGTGATAGGATTATATGTTTGGTGAAATCGTTTGTGGAGCCTCTGTGAGTCTGTGACTATGTACATGTATATAGGGCTTATAATATATAGACAATGTTGAAGAATAGCATGTTCTTGTTGGGTATAGAGACTAGACATGAAGTATGAATGAATGATAGTGGTGTTAATTGATAGATAGATTACTTAATTCGAAATGATTTTTCTTCGTGTGATTATTTTGGATGTGTAAACAAAATATATGTATGTATGCTTATTTGTATTTTTCTTGTTGAAGAAAACCTTGTTCACTTCAAACATGAAACACGAGAAACATAAGTAAAGAATTATTTACTGTTTGTCACTTTGTTGTATTTGATGATTTTGATCAAACAAACTTTGAAATGTTGAAAACTTTTAACTGGAAATATCAAACGCTGCTTATATATATATATATGAACAGTGCCAAATTGGTTAGTTTTGTAATGGGATTTTGGGAGTGCTCAAACAAAACCAAAGCTAAAAGAACCAAAGAAAAGAATCACTGAATGAACCGGTTTGTTTCCGGTTAAAATGTGGATTAAAACTTATCGGTCAAAGAAAACCGGGCAAAAACAAGTAAATGGGAAAGTCATCTAAGTCGTTGGTCAACGTCATGAACATGTGCTTGACTGATGATATTAATTAATTGCTGTTTTTTTCCAATTTCTTGCTGAAAAGTACATGATTATGCTTAAATCTGTATTTAACTTATATATAATGACTCAGTCGAGAAAGAAGCTAAGGAAGTAAACGAAGAAGACGATGAAGAAAGGTGGATTTAGCAATAATCTCAAGCTCGCAATTCCTGTTGCTGGCGAGCAATCCATCACCAAATTCCTGTATATTTCTATCTCTTTCTCCATGGATCTATGGATTGATTAGATGTCTTTGTGTGCGGAAATGTCTCTGGTTTTGATTTTGATGGGGTTTTTTGTTCTCTCTGTAGGACGCAGAGTGGTACGTTTAAGGATGGAGATCTACGAGTTAACAAAGATGGAGTTCGAATTATCTCTCAATCGGAGCCTGAAGTCGTAAGTCTTTCCTCTTCCTCGTTCGGTGCTGATTTTACTGAATTTCGACAAGTTTTAGGTTTTGATTGTTCATTTGGTTCTGTGAATGAAGATTTTGCATGAACTATAATGTGGTTTGTGGATCTGATCATAATTAGAAATTTTTCAAGATCATTTCTGTAGTTTTGGATAGAGAAATTTTTAGGGATTAAGCTCATGTATTCTTGATTACTGTTTGTAATCTGTCTCGTGTGCGACTGTGTTTCAGCTGTCTCCAATTAAGCCAGCTGATGATCAGCTGAGTTTGTCGGATTTGGATATGGTTAAAGTCATTGGCAAAGGAAGCAGTGGTGTTGTTCAGTTGGTTCAACACAAATGGACTGGTCAATTTTTCGCCTTGAAGGTACTCATAAGTCTTGTATATGCTATGGTTGGTAGACTTAAAAAAAAAAATGACAATGATGTGGTATATCTATGATTATGCTTTATCTAAAGGTGTTTTTTTTCTGAAATTCTGAAAGGCGAAATCGTTGTCTACAAACTACATTTGTTTAGATTTCTTTCTGTTATGTCTCCTTTGATTTCGGGTTTATCACTATCGATTTCAGCTTTCTCAAATTTCATATTTTCAATCCTAATGTCTATGGATGGGAAACTGTTTCTTCTTTTTGTCTCCCTTGCATTTTCACTGTGCATTTCCTCATTTCAGCTGAACCTTATTCCTTTTTGTTCTATTTCTTGTGTGACTCTGATTAGGTCATTCAACTAAATATCGATGAAGCAATTCGCAAGGCAATTGCACAAGAGCTCAAAATAAATCAATCCTCACAGTGTCCAAATCTTGTTACCTCATACCAATCATTTTATGACAATGGTGCAATCTCACTAATCTTGGAGTATATGGACGGAGGATCTCTAGCAGACTTTCTCAAGTCAGTTAAAGCCATCCCTGACTCCTATCTTTCTGCCATCTTTAGACAAGTAAGAAACACATGATACACAGGAAACTATATGTTCACTGTATCGGTTGATCAATGTGATTTCTTGAATCTGTTTATTCAGGTGCTTCAAGGATTGATCTATCTTCATCACGATAGGCATATTATCCATCGTGACTTGAAACCATCCAATCTGTTGATCAACCACAGAGGAGAAGTCAAAATAACTGACTTTGGTGTGAGTACCGTTATGACAAACACCGCAGGTTTAGCAAACACATTTGTGGGGACTTACAATTATATGTCTGTAAGTATCTCGTTTGTCTGTTGAGCATTGACTAGTTTGAAACCCTTTCCAGTATTAGAAAAATTGAGAACCTGAATTTTTCCTTTTTACAGCCAGAACGAATCGTTGGAAACAAGTACGGTAACAAAAGTGATATATGGAGCTTGGGTTTAGTAGTACTCGAATGTGCAACAGGAAAGTTCCCTTATGCACCTCCAAATCAAGAGGAAACATGGACCAGTGTTTTCGAGTTGATGGAAGCCATTGTTGACCAACCGCCACCCGCTCTTCCTTCAGGAAATTTCTCCCCTGAGTTATCTTCATTCATCTCCACATGGTAATCTCTCATAAAAAGTCCTGCTATCTCTTTTACTGGGATTACTTTACTAAGTTAATATATTCTACTCTACACTCTCATCCAGTTTGCAAAAGGATCCAAACAGTCGAAGCTCTGCAAAGGAACTAATGGTTTGTTTTATATAATCCCTTTTTGGTATTTTTTTCATCCATTCAAATGTTGAATCATACTCTGGGTCAAAAAAATTCAGGAACATCCTTTCTTGAACAAATACGACTACTCGGGGATCAATCTCGCGTCCTACTTCACAGATGCAGGATCGCCACTTGCAACACTTGGGAATCTGTCCAGTACGTTCTCGGTTTAAACTACAAGGGAGACATAGTATCACCATCTGGTTCATGTTATCATCAGAAGATTTCTTGTTTTTACTTCCAGTGAAAAAATGATCTTTGATTACATATATAGATATATTTATTTACTGTATTGAAGATTATAGATATATAAGCAACATGTGAGTGTTTATTGAGAGATTTTTCACTTGGAACTCATATTTTGTGATACTTTAGATTGGAATCCATTTGGGAAAAAGAAGAATCATCTCTGTTCTAATGTCTCAAAATCGACTTCATTCTCTTTTCTTATCTTCTTTTAAGAAAGCTTCCACAATCTAACTGTTTGATGTGAAAACTAAGATTCGAGTAAGAAAATGTGAACTGTGTTATACTGTCTTTTAATTAGATATTTTAGATTGCACAGAGATAAATTAATAACATTCCTCCAATACTTTTATGTTTTAGGATTTATTAGGTATATCTACCAACCAACCAATAACCTGCTTTGTTTAAACAAATTAGATAAATTAGTATGTTTACTCAATAATAAAGAAGATAGAAAAGAAAAATCTAAATGAGCTAAATTTGCTGGAGGCGGCGTCGGACGTGGGTACGAGACCTTTCGAAGCACACGAGTAGTGCTTAGCCATGTCATGCTAACATAGGCCACTGGTTTACACAAAATCCAAATCAAAATCTTTTGCACACGTCTTTGAGAAACACATTTTCATACTAATTCGTCCGCCATAGCTGCGGAAGCTTCAATTTCAAAGGTTTGTCTAAAAGCTTTACGATTATGAATCGGCGCTACGAGAAGCCACCGCCATTATCAGTTTCCTCCAAGGGGAAGAAGAAGCATTTTGTCAATCACACAGCTCCCAACACTCCTGGAAATTACGAGAGGACTCAAACTAGTCCAACATTGTCTACGACTCGATCGCACGAACCCGATGATAAGCTCAATTACGAGATCTTCTCAATTCTCGAAAGCAAGTTTCTCTTCGGTTACGAAGACCCAAGGCTACTATGGATTCCTCGGAGTCCATTACGACCCGGTGATTCTGAAGCAGGTCCTTCTCCGAGATCACCGTTGACTCCAAACGGCGTCGTTCTCCCCGGAACACCGTCGTCGTCTTAGAAGTCCAAGAGGAAGAATCTGCGTTTTAAGCATTGACGGTGGCGGGATGAGAGGTCTTTTGGCGGGAAAATCCCTAATCTATTTAGAGCAAATGCTGAAAGAGAAATCCGGCGATCCAAACGCTCGAATCGCCGATTACTTCGACGTCGCTGCCGGATCAGGAGTCGGCGGAGTATTCGCGGCGATGATATTCGCGACTAGAGACGGTAACCGCCCGATTTTCAAGGCGGAAGACACTTGGAAATTCCTCGTCGAAAACGCCGAAGGATTCTACAGATCAGGCGGCGGAAGTGGAGGAGGAGGAGCAGGAGCAGCGATTAAGCGGGTCATAAGATCTGGATCCGGATCCGGATCATCTTCGGTAACCGCCGCAACGGCAAAGCTAGAAAAAGCAATGAAAGCATCATTTGCCGATCTAACGCTTAAAGACACACTCAAACCAATCCTCATCTCTTGCTACGATCTCTCAAGTACGGCGCCGTTTCTATTCTCACGCGCCGACGCTTTAGAAAGCGACAGTTTCGATTTCCGTCTCCGAGATATTTGCCGTGCCACGTGGGCGGAGCCGGGGACGTTTGATCCGGTTCGCACGTGTTCCGTTGACGGGAAAACGCGGTGCGTTGCGGTGGGAGGTGGATTAGCGATGAGTAATCCGACGGCGGCGGCGATAACGCACGTGTTCCATAACAAACAGGAGTTTCCGGCGGTGAAAGGAGTGGAGGATTTGTTGGTGTTGTCGCTTGGAACTGGTCAGCTTTTTGAAGTGAATTATGATTATGAGCAGGTTAAGAATTGGCGCGTTAAGGAATGGGCTCGGCCCATGGCGAGGATTTCTGGTGATGGATCTGCTGAGTTTGTTGATCAAGCTGTTGCTATGGGCTTTGGGCCTTATCGGAAGTAGTAATTACGTTCGCATTCAGGTTTTCCTTTTAATCATTTCACCACTTCGTCTAAAATGGCGATTAGAATGGTTAAAATCGAACTATTAAATTTTTGAAAAACTGATTGGAGACAATGTGTTATATGTTTTTGCGTTTTTTTCGTATTGCGTTGTGGATGAAAAAATCTTAGAGAAATATATTGTTGTGCAGCAGGCAACGGATCGCGATTAGGAGCTTGTGGACCGAACGTGACACAGATCCAAGAGCAGAGAATGTGAAGAAACTGACGGAGATAGCTGATGAGATGTTGAAGCAAAACAATGTGGAGTCGGTTTTGTTCGGAAGCAAAAGGATCGGAGAAATGAGCAATTCAGAGAAACTAGAGTGGTTTGCGAGTGAGCTTGTCATTGAGCAGCAGCGACGAAGTGTTAGAGCGTCTCCAACCGTAACGCTAAAGCAAGCTGTGTCCAAAACCAACCGCAAACGCTATAAACGCTACTCTCACTCTCATATCTAAAGAAAGATGAAAACATCTTTAAAGAAAGCTTGGTTTTGGTGCTTCCTATTGGTCTTTTCATATATTTTTGTTTCGACGTTGAGATTGATTTGAAAGGGAGAAGAATTATAGTGCAATTCAAATATACAAGTCATTATTTTAGTTTCATATTTTGAAGTTCACTGCTTCGATTTGATATCGTAAGTCCAAGTTATTCAATTCATAAATTGTATAAATTCATTAAAAAGAACAAATGTGTCATGTTAACATAAATATGTTATAGTGACCAGTTTCTTGCACTAAAAGCTGAACTTTTTTTTTATTAAGGAACATAAAATGTGTATGTACAGAGGCAATAATAATGGTTCTGAGGTTATGAAAGCTACAAAATGCCAAAAAAGATTAAAAGACGAAAGAAGAAGACCTGCCCACTTATCTATATATCACTACACAACATTACTATCACTCGTTTTCCTCTCCTGAAGTTGAACTACCGGACCTATCTTAACCTCCGGAGCCAAATCCAACACCCAATTACCCAATAAACAAAACAGTTTTCACCACCCACGTAATCCAACTATATAAGAAAGAGAAAGAAAGAACCCTAAAAGATGATGAAGAAGAAGAAATATAATCAGAATCTATATCGCCCTAGTTTGCTGGAGCCAACCCGAATAACCGACTCTGGTGACTGGTTATTCTTTCAGGGGACCAAAACTTGCCTTTATCTATCTTCATCGCTAATGGTATAACAAACGAGAACTATACAGAAATAAAGAGAGAAAGAGCTTATACCATCATGTTTAAGTCTGAAAGATCATCCATGGGTATTTGAAGTCCAAGGAGATCATCAGTATCTGGTAATGCATCGTCATCGATGTTCAACCATGAGCTTAGATCTCCTGCTTGTGTATCGAAATCATCTGGACCACCTAAACCGTCTGGTATCTGCAGGTGAGATAGGTCAAGAGGCTCTGACTCATCCAGTGTCTCCAAGTTACTATACTCGCTGTTGTTGCTGTTAGTTGTTTTGGGCAATGATGTTCTGGTTTGCTCCACGATATTGACAGAAGAAGAAGAAGAAAACATCGGAGTTATTTTTTGCCTCGGCTTTGTTTTTGATTTCCGTTCACCCTTGGCATTTACAAGCGCAGGCCGACCGATCTTGTTAGTGCCTCCGCCTCTTGACGAAGAAGCCTGTCCTTTTCCATCTCTGTCCCTCTCACTTCTCTTTCCTTTCGTACTGCTTGAAAGTGGAGCCCCACCCACATCATCAAGCAGCAATTCTCTCTTCTTCATTCTATTTGACCACATCGTTTCATCTTTGCCTTCCCGTAAAGCATTTTCAGAAGAATTGGCATGATTCTCCGTGCTCTGTGTCATTGGCATTGCCAATGATGAGCTCGGTTGTGATCCCATGGGTGCTGCCAGAGAAAAAGAGAGATTAATATTAACAGAGAGTTTGAGGATTCCAAAACATTGCTCACTGTTCTGTAATGCAAAAACGATATCATACTTGAAGCTGATAGAATGTCTTCCTTGTCCGTGGGATTATCTTCAATTTGTGTCAACCCGGCAATGATGATATTCTTAAATGTGGACTCACTAAAGCAACTTTTGCCTGTTTCTTCGAATTGACGACATCTTTCAAGCGTCCTTTTCACAAAAGCAAATGCGGCCTGCTTTGATATCTTGTTAGCCGAACTCTTTCCACTTGCAGAGTGATGACGCCGACTTGCCTGTAAAATAAAATTCATATATGATAATCAAAACATGAACTTGGACTAAATCAGAAAACGAGTAGGAAAAGGGGCTACATGTGAACCCCTTCAGGAGAAAAATGAATTTACCTTGCTCTTTTCATATGCCATTTCGATGAGTTTTTCATAACCGAGCCACTCAAACTCCCTATGTAAGGGAAAATATAAGTACAAAACCGTTAGATCACAGTATAGATCATTAAGGGCATGCAAGAAAAGCGGAAGAAAGACAAATTCTTACTTCTCCTGACGTTCTTTCATTTCTAGGGCAGGCTTTAGTAGCCTAGTAAACATCTCTTTCTTCTTGGAACCCTTAAATTTTAAGATACACAACATCACAAAGTTAGCTATCTATAGAACACAGTTTTAGTTTCGTCCTTTACAAGTACAACATGAAAAATGGCCAAGATAAATAGAAGCGACAAAAAATCAAAAGTTGCCAACGCAATGTTGTTTTAGAAAAAAAGATAAGAGCACGTGAGAGAACATACCACCTCACAAATAGCCTCCTCTAACGTTTTGATGTCATCAACAATTCCTTCATCCTCCACGTTTGAAATACTAGGCTGCAAGAAAACACAACAGCCACAAATCAATCCACTAGGAACTATAGCAATCCGAGTCCAATTCCAATAGCATAAGCAAGGAGCATTTCTGAAGTAACAGAACTCGTGGCGAATATACCATGGGTTCCAAGCAAATTCCAATAGATTGAGCTTCCATATAAATCTTCTCATCTATCCCCAAAGTTTCATACTGAATGTCTGAGAAGTCGATGGATATATGATCTGAAAATCTTCCATTGACATGGTGGGCTGAGCTATTAACACCCTTAAGCGGGATAACAGACACATCATCTTCTAGCTCATCAAATTCCAGTCTATCACTCCTATAACCATTGAACTCCACCATATGATTCAAAACACTGAATTCTGACTCAACATCGGCTCCAAATCCATCAAATTGTAAATCTTCATTCACACTGGTTGAGTCCTCTGAAATTAGAGCTGATAGCAATCTCTGATAAAGTGGCGCAGCTTTAGAATCCACTTTCCTACTTGCAAGTTCCTCGGGAAATATTTCATGACTATCAAAGTCTGAAGATGTCCCACCAGGTGTACTACCCATGGAGGAGAGTTCTCCCTGAGAGAGAAAATGGTTATGACATTTATCTAAAATGAAGAGTCAACATATCAGAGATGTAATTTTCTTTACAATACTGTGGAAAAAACAGCTCACAAGGAGCATACACGTCTGAGAAAGAACCAAACAAATGCTATGTATCATCAGATCACGTAACATTACAAATCTATACACATTTCCTACCATATTTCACATTTTTTGGTTTTTTCCCCTTCCCATTTAAGGATGGGTTGGGTGAGGTTAAATACCTCGGGACCAATATAACTAATATAAATACACATACGATAATGAAAACCTTGCTAGTCTTACGTCTCTTACTTAAACTAGAAATCTGCACCACAGTAATCCCTGCAGCACATTTAACTCCCACCCCACTAGGCACCAGACTACTATGCAGGACGTAGAGTGCTAGTGGTATAAAACGATTAAAGCAATATGCAGCATATGTATATAGACATATACAAATGATCTGTCACATCCTTCAGATATGAGGTCTAAAGGATATAAACTGTCTTATGAAATGCAGAAAAACCAATTACCTGCTGTTTCACGAAGTTGATATGTGCATCAGATATAAAGCAAAAGTAGCGCTCCATTTGCTTCCAGAACGAGCTAGGAAAATTCTGAGCTGCATCAAAGAACCAAACCAATTATTCTTGATAAAAAAAATTTCTGGAAAAAAATAAACATAACGTGAACCATGAACACTTACCAAAGTTTATAGCCGAGTTAACAGCAGCTAGTAGCTCTTCATGCCCATCATCTGAACCAATAAGAAAATACAAAATATCCATGATAAAAGAAGAGGGGACAAATCAATCCTGCCATAGAACAATTCTGCTCAATTGAACTTATTTTACCAAGAAAATCTAGTGTTGTAGCATTTGTCGCTGTATTTTTCTGACGTTTGTAAGCCTTGCGGTCAGAGAGTTTCCTAGTGGGTGGACGACCTGCCCTGCTGCAGTAACCATATGAAAAAACTAGGAATAAGCCTCTGAAACCCAAACACTTCTTAAATACTAGAAAACCCGAGAGGAGAAGTACTTAGAAACAGGATTCCCTACCTTTCATTCTTGTCAGAACTATTTCTTGCACTGCGAAGTTGTTTTGCTGTTCCATGTTTCATTACTCCCATTGGGTTGATAGATCTTGTTGAAGTAAAGCCACGGCCTGTCCTTCCTTGTCTCCTCACACCATCCCCAAGCTCTTCTCCAGAGACGAGCTTGTTTTTTCTCGATTGTAAACCAGCGATAGAGATTTTAGGAACATTCTGAGAAGTTTTCCCATTGACCTCATCAGATTGTTTTCCCTTGTCTTTAGATTTGATCTCAGGGGGGCTGAATTCTTCACTTCCTGATAAAGCTGTTGTAGACAAGCTATTTTCACCTTTTAATTTCATTTGTGGAGAAGCTGCAGGCGAGCGTCTATAAAATCCAAAACTTGTTTCACTACAACCAACATCTGACATGTTATCTGATGACGGAATGTCATCATTGCTTGAAACAATGGGGACCAAGTTCGTTCTCCTTGCAACACGGGATATCTTTTGTGGTCGTTGACTGGCCCATTGAGTGACAGGTGGTGATGAAGACCGATTTGATGTCATGCGCTTGCGATTGGGAACCCCAGACAACAATGGAGGTTTGTTTGTACAGCCAACAATATCCCAATCACTTGGAGAGGGAGTATTATGGACAACCGGAGAAAGTTTCGGCGGCAGCCCTGATCCCGATCTTGGACCACGAACTGAAGCACTTATTTTTGGATTTGAAGTCGGACTTGAAGAATTGGATTCATCATGGATATTTGACCTGAAAAGAACCCAGTAGGGAATAACAAGAATATAAAGAATCATCACGCAGAATAGAGGCTAAATTTTTTGACAAATGCGATCAAGAGAAAAATTGACAGGCGTAGTTAAGATTGTAAGTTTGTTAACACATACTTGTTGACAGCCCTGAGATTCACCCTTTCCTTATCTGAACCAGTAGCTCGTTCTCTCTTCTCATTGTACAACGAATTGTGATCGGAATCCCTGGAGAGTAAGGAACGCGCTGCCAAGCCTGTCTGCTGAGAGAGGTTATCCGATCTCCCATAAGGAACAGCACCATTCACTGCCCCATGCCTGCGCAAGTAATTCAAGCAGGAAATGTTACCAATTGAATAGCCATCAAAAGAGTCGCATACAGAAGTTCTTGGGAGCGTAAAGGCTCATCTATCCAATGTTATAAGAACCAATCTAATCATTTTAAAATAGGAAACAAATCTATTTGGGAGTATTTTCCTAATCAACTCCAAACGATGGATCTTTTAACTGATTGAACCAAAAAAGTTATGATCTAATACAGTAGGCCATACCTTAACATGTTTGAGTCACCATTCAATCTCGAGCGGGGATCACCAACTGATTTTGGTATGCCCTGTTTCAAGTCCCTATAACCATCAACAGCTTTATTTGAAGCCAAACTAGAAGGACCATCTGTTTTGATGCCAGATCGTTTTTTCTTCATTTTCGACTTTTCCCAACCATCAATACCAATTAAAGATCGATCTTCACCCTGAACTGCGTTATGATTTGCCAGCCTCATTGTGTCTTTCTCCCTGTCTACACCAGCCGATTGTCGAACAATAGCATTACTTCGAACATCCATCTGAATCACATAATAGCAAAATTAAAACATTTGAATTAGTAATAACAAATAATGAATAGCTGCCACATGCTTTCAAAATTCAGAATCAAAATTAAAAACAACACCATTTAGTATCAAAAGATTTTTAAGGTCAAAACACAAGCATAAAAGAAAAGAAAAAGCAATTAAGAAACTGTGTAGATCTAACAATAGTAATGCTATGTAAACTATCATGGCTTGAAAATAATATTTCACATGCATCAGATTTGGAAGCACAATTATCTTAAACGAAGAATCTACATAAATATCCACTACTACCATTCCTAACCTTTTTTTTCTAGAAAAACAGAACCATTTTCTATAGAAGACTACATAGGTGCATATTTTGAATCAGTGTTTGGTTCAAAAGATCTGTTCAGTAGAACTATGAAACTATATTTTGGTGAAAACAGCTCCATAAGAATAATACACTAAAGCATGTGTTGCCAAACAAACAATCAGGAATTACCATGGAAGTACGTGTCCGCTTATTTAATGCACCACTTTTAGGTCGTTCGTCCAGCTTTTGCTGGTCAAGCTCAAAACAACCAGGCAGAGTCTGACCTTGAATTCCCATTTTACCCAAACCTGGCCCTAAAGCCAAGCGATCACCAGAGCGGTCATTAGAAAACCCTTCTGGTCGAGACCTTTTCTTTGTAGGTACACTAGGAAAAAACTTGTTAAATACAGAGGAAGCTTCGTTGAAAATTTTCAAACGCTCCCTGCAACAACAAAAATTCATTTAGGTAAACAGAACTCCAAAGAAGATCTATTAACTTATTGTAATGAACTACCTGGCCTTCACATTGTTTTCGCGCAGACCAGCCTTTAGCCTCTTGATCTCTTCTGGTATAGGAGATGGAATTAACTTCCCTTTCAGGGGTGTGCTTGGAGATTCATCTCCTTGAATCCCAAGAGCGATATTCACATGACGCTTAAAGTCACCTTGACGAATAGACTTGTGATCTGCGGCAACCACCTTAGGATCAAAACGCAAACACTGAAAAAAATTTGTAACATCGGTTTGTGCTATTGGTGAAGTGCTCCTCAACATGCTCGGGTGAGAAGATGAGACAGGATGTTCCATCGTCTCGCGAAAGCTACTAGATCTTTCCATTTGTGCAGCTAAGTTGGACCTGTATAAAGGCCTATCTGGCCCACCAGAAGAATAATCAAACTTCCCAGGTGCTGACATTCCCTTAACTTTAAGTCCACTGTTTTATTTATAAACAATATACACACAGTGGTACATGACAAGCTTGCAGAGTTGCAGCACATAAATGCTTAAATCCTCAGCTGTCAAATTATTTCACCTGCAAATGTGACAAATGGAATCAAAACCTTAGTGACTAGCCCCCCGAATAATTTACCACGAGAATGGCATTGCAATAGAAACAAATTAAAAGATAACTGTAAGTAGAGAGTATACATGAAAACAAGCAAGATAATGAACCATTTCATTTGCACTAATCAAGTCTTTAAAAAGAAAATAAAAAATGTAGAAATTCTAAAATTCATACATATATAGAAACACACAAGAATACATAAATTTGATTTCAGAGTACTTTGTGTTCTTCACATAATCTTCGCATATAATTGCTTCATAAAGCCAGAAACTGTCGGAAACATGCTCATAGCCATATAACAGCGCATATTATTTCTTCTAAAACGAAGCAACTAACCAACCCAACAGAAGAGCTTAAACCAATATAGAAACAAAATGATTCTACCAATTTAGCTAATGTACAAAAAAAAGGGAGAAGCTCTAGTTAAGTGCAAAGTGAACTACACAAGAATAGAGATAGTACCCAAACAAATCTAACATGGAACTGTCCTTTCTTTCTCTAACTAAGATCCAGGTGAAATGTGTTGAAGAATCACCAATCCAATAAAATACCTAATTCAACCCCAACCCCATATTCAATTTGAAAAGAACGAAAGATAATTCCTTTAAATGTCTTCTTCACAGCTTATCTGCATTGCCGACTAATTATGAAACTAAGTGTCTAAACTTCAAACATATTACTTTTCCAAGCAAAAAGTAGAAAACTTGAACTAACCCTTCTCCTGAAAATTCGTGTTTCCATCATAATCGAACTTCATTACCACAAAAACCCAATAAACTAGAAATTACCAAAATTCAGAGCTCTAACACAAGAAAACCCTAGAAGAGAACTGAATCAAAAAGATACGAACTTCATGAGACGAAGTCAAGTATCTTCAATAAGCAGGACAAACACACAGACTTAGAATTCTAGAACCCAGATCAAACTTCAATCATTGAAGATGAGAATCAAAAGCTCGTACCTCGAATCCAAAATCGCGGCAAAAAGAAAATTACAATTCCCCTCTCAGTTAACAAAACTCTCTGCCAAAATCAGAGACTTTTGAGATTGGATCGTTCCAATGAGTACGTGAAAAGCTTGAAATCGAAATCGAAAATCAACGACGTCTCTGCAACAACAACAGCCATGAGAGGACGGGATCGAGACGAACCGCGCGTTCGTTGCTTGCTGTTTTTGATCGGCAATGGAATTGGCGATTGTGAAATTACAATAGTACACATCGGTTAACACCAGAGGAGATTGGTCCCCTCATGGTGACTGTAGGGGTAATCTGGTAATATATAGGAGTCAAGCCGGCTTGAAAGTAGCTTAATTGGCTTTTTAAGGAAATAAGCTGCGACGATTGATGAATGAAGATTATGATTACTGTTTATGAATGAAATTATATTTGGATAATCACAAAGTAGCTTAATGGCTTTTAAGGAAATTTGCATCTCCAATTATTTTTTTCCTTTCTGTTAATCTCATTTAATCCACATTCACGTTTGTAAAAAATATCCCATGATTAGGAACTTTTAAGTTTGAAAACAATGGAATCATGACTTATAATCGTTGTCTTAAATCACATACAATTAATTTTTATAATTCTGTTTTTTGGTGAGCAATTTTTATAATTCTGTTGTTTATATGTGTAGGAATAAAAACTCAATTTCACTGACTAATTTACATTCTTTAAAAAGATAGTAGTGTGTTAGTCAATTGAAATTTATGCTGAGGTAGTTTCAAATGTTGTATTTCATAATTAACACAAATAGAAAATTAAAAAAAAAAATTGTATCGGATATGCCGTGTGATAGAAAATAACATGTTCATATGGGTTCCCTCTGTGTATCCTTAAGCCCACAAATAATGACTAATTAAGGGAGGGACATTGCTTCCAAAGTTACATTATCTTCTCAAAGAGCTTAACATCAATAATTCGATTCATGGACAGACATTAGAACTATGACCATAGAAAATTAATCTAAACCACCTCCATGTTGGTTTTGCTGTCGTTTATACTTAGTGTTTTCTCCGGCTCTAAATCATTTTAAAGACCAAGTTAGTCACTTTTGTGATACATCCAAAGTTGCTAACCTTTGTTCTACTTCTACCACCAAATCTTCTCATGCAAAATAGTAAAATCCTTCTCCTAAAACACAAGAACAAATGCATAAATAAGGATTACGATTTCACCTTTTTTTTGTACCAAAACCTTCAAAATTTCTTTATGATGTGATGAAGATTACTAAAAACGAGAAACCCATAAGAATAATTAAGAGTATAACAGATAAAGGAAGATCCTGCAAACGAAACAGATTAAGTACAACGTTCATTTATTCATGGTAGTACACTTGTACTTTTGTCTGAGCCTGAGCTTGTAATGGTTCTCCACTGATCTTTAACTTAAGTGGAATTATTATTTTTAGTCTACTCATTTTGTGAAAGAAATTGAAAGAAAAAAAACTTATACTTGAGAGGTTTCAAATTCAATTTGTATAGAAAAATATATGAACTAAAGATTACACAATGCTAACAAGTAACACAAACAATAATATCATCAGCCACTTCTACTCTCAATTCAGCTATTCTTCTGTATCCAATCCCTAAAAGTTTTTATTCCTAATTTGGAAAAAGAATTTGCAATAAAAAATCAATTTCAATAAAATGTAAAACGAAAAACAGAGTCTATAGAGTTCTTGTGCCGGCAAGTCCACGATGCAAGAGATTATGAGAGATATGATCCCTCGTATTAACCGCAGTCACAGATCGGATATTGTTCTCCGGCACCGTCACATCATCAAAAACCTCAAACTTCAGCTCCGGCGACATCTCCTCCTTCCTCATCTCACAAATGTTATGCAACACACAACAAGCTCCAAGCACATACGGCAGATCTTGAAGCTTCACCTCCGTTCGTTTCTGTAAACAAGCCCACCTTCCTTTAAGCCTTTCAAACGCCGCCGTCGCAATCCCCTGAATCTCTCCGATACTCTCGTTAAACGCGTGCTGCGTCCACGTCAGATTCTGTCTCGCGTACGGTACAAGAAGCCAATCAGTCAACGGAAACCCAGAGTTTCCGACGATCCAGCTGTCACGTAACATTCCACGCGCCGCTCTTTGCCGTGAAAGCGAAGATTTCTCTAGGATCTGATCGTCGGTGAGAGATCCTGGGTTTCCGATACAAACGTCGGTGAAGATTCCGTCGGCGTTGACCACTCCTTGGACTGTTATCGAGTACGACGTCTTCTGATTCCTCTCCGTGTGTCTCTTGTTAAAATACGCCGCCACGTGGACTTTCGGAGCGATGATCGGAATATGTGTGGTGTAGATTGATCCGACGACGTTTGGGATTTTGTGGACCGATTCGAATTTGGCTTTCGTTGAATTGATCTCTGAATCTGACGGCCAGAGGAGATACTTCGGCATCAGAACGTCGTAGATCGCGCGGCAGACTTCGATGACTAGCTTGTGGCAAGTTGAGATTCCGAGACCGAAACGCTCCGACACGTGGCGAAGCGGAGCTCCTGTAGCTAAACGCCAAACGCAAACGCCTACGCGTTTTGGAGCTGGAATCGCGTCTCTTAGCATCGTGTTTTTTTTTGTCACCGTCGTGTCTAGCTCCTCGCAGATTAGGTTAAACGTCGATTTGCTCATCCGAAACTCTCGCCGGAACTCGTCTTCCGGAAAATCAGGCCGGCTTACTCTGTCCCACCAGTCCGTGGTTCGTTCTTTAACCCACAACCGCCTATGACTCGGTCCGGACCCGGAACCGCTAGCGATATCCGCGGCCGGTACCGGACCAGTAGAACCGGTTGTGTCTCCCCCGGAAGCTACCGCGGAAACCACAGCCGCAACCGCTGTTTTCCGAGCGCGTTTTGGACGCGCACCATCGGTTTCACCAGCTGCAGAGTAATGATCTTGCATTTGATTGTAATAACCATCCATTGTTTTCACTTTCTTCTTGTGATTAGCTTCAAGAAGAGACTTCTCTTTATTAGATTCAAAATCCCACTGTTCTTGTTGCTGTTTCGCTTCCTCGTCTAACAACAAAAGCGTTGCGAGTATATCTCCAAAAGCAGCCTTATTACCACCATTCACAGGTGCTCCGAGTTCTGTTCCTCCGCCGCCACCGCCTTCGTCGTCCTTCCTTGGGCGTTTCTTAGGATTAGTATTATTGTCGTTGTTACCAAAACCTTCTAATCCGAAACCAGAAGGAGAAGAGTCCATGTCTTGAAATAGACCAAGGAAATGGGAACACTCGTCGTCTTGAAGGTATGGAAATGGGAAAGCAGAGATTTCCATTAAAGGGAGAAAAAAAAAAGATTATTTATTTCAGAGAGCTTTGACGAATTTTGGTTTGAAAAGTGTTTGACTTATTAGATTAGATGTGAAATCAAAAGCTTTCACAAGTGTTTGAAGTTTGAAGACAAAGATTTTTGAGTTTTATGGTTTTGGTTTGGTTTCAGACAATATATAAAAAAGGTTTCTTTGTCTGTGTTTGTGAAAATACAGAGAGACGCAAAGGACGAAGGAAGCGCGTGAAGGTGTGAACGCGGTAAGCGGATGGGTTTGACGGTGACTTGACTTTCTTTTTTGCAGATTATTTTATTATTATTTTTGATTAGATAAAGCGTTTACTCGTTACTGTTTCATTGAGATTGCACCGCGTAAATTTGTTTGATAAAAGACAAAAAGAAAAACATGTTTTATTAGGGCATCCGCAGTCGTGTAACCTTGCGTGGGGTGTATCTATTTTAAAATACAGAAATAATGTAAAAGTTGTCTCTCTCTTCACACCCGGGTGTAAGTTTACACTCGGGTGTAAGCCACCCTATCTCTCTCTCTCTCTTTCTTTCTCTCTCTCTTTTCTCTCTCACTTTAAATTATAATAATAAAAAAAATCTTACACCCCTCCCTCACACTTACACCACTGCGGATGGTCTTAAGCTTTATATATATTAGATTCGATATGCATAGTGCTAAAACTGTTTATCAATTTAATTCATTAGTCTTTTCGACCAAATCCATCGAGAAAAAAAAAATGGTTTACTAGTCTTATTACGTTGATTATCTTATGATTGTCTTTTAAAAAACTAGCTGTATTTTATCTTATTGATTCGTTTAAAAAAATAGTTTACCTTTGAAGCAGTAAACAACCGAAATATGAAATAGTCGAATTTGATCAAATAAATCTATAAATATTTTATTCTAGCTTATTGTTTTAGACTTTTAGTATATGATGAGAACACTAGTTTCCTTTATCATGTTTTGGACTTAAATCTTAAAAGTTACTATTAAAGTAATAAGTAAAACATAATTTTCTAACGATTACAGAATTTCAGGCTTCAAAGTAAAAAAAGTAAAATTAATAGGCGAGTCCAAAATAATATTCGTATTAATTGTTTTTTTTTTTAAGATTTACGCGGTAAGGGAGCATGGTTGCCTGGTTGGTGTGTCTTTGTATGCCTTTGTCTTCAATAGGAATATTCTTAATATCGAATTATTATATTTTAAAATAATGAGGCTTATTTCTCGTCTATCTTATTTTGTTGTTACTTTTGAGGAAAAAACACGTTTCCAAAAGAGGATCTCAGAAGTTTCTTGGAAGAGGCAGATTGGTAATTTAAATTTAACACGACGACGATGGTAGGCTCTTCGAGAGGGATGGGTTTTACGTGCTCTGGTTCTCTGACTTCTGAGCTGTGAGCTGTGAAAGAAATAAACATTTCTTGTTTTGGCAAAAAGATGATGCCAAGTTTTATAGATAGCATGGGCATCTTTTTAAAACTTAATTTATTCAGATAATTACTTCATTTTTTCTTGAGTTGACATTTGACAATAATTAAGATTTATGCAAAATAGTGTCTTTATATCTTTAAAAAGTTCTTTCTCCAAATTTATCATGTTTATAAACAAAATTTCCTTCTATCTATGAGTAGATAACTTGCCTTTTGGATAAGTCTAGATAAGCACAAATTTGTTATTTCCTTATTTGTATAAAAGAGAATCTAACACTTTTTCATTTGTCTTCCCAGTAGCATAACATGAAAACTCTTTAATATCAATCCAAATCAAGCTTCAAACATTAATCCGTGTTTCAACAGAATCATGAAAAGACACTTTTTAAATCTTCAATTTGTACCGCAGCAGTACAACGTTACTTGAAGCCAATTTGGTTGATATTAAGATTAATGAAAATAATGATACATAGAATAAAAGTTTAACTAGTTACTGATGGAAAATCGACTACTTACAAGAAAACATCAGCTTACATTATTTTTCTTTTGACTAGTATGACAAAACGGTATTATAGCGTCAAAATATAGAAAATGAAACGGTATCGTTTACTTTTGTTTCTGGTTGGCACTTGGCAATGGCATATGCATCTCTTTTGATATTTGAATTGCTTATCAATTAATTAATTAACTCGGTGACTTGGGCTGGGAGTGAACCATGCCTTTTGTCTCTTCCAATCGTCACGTTGACCGTTGACATACCCACAATATCCGTTGACTATTTTTTAGTATCAAGTTTCAAATAGTCAACAAAGTTCTGGTCTTCAATGGGCACCTGCCCTTTTTGAAATTAACCCCATTTTACTGACTGATTATACCAGCACATATATACGACCACAAATGTCTTATAACTCTATTTAATTTAGAAACAAAGCAAGAGTAATAGATCATTAACTGATGAATGTGAGATGGATCAGAGACCAGTTAAGCAACTCTTTGAAAACACAGATAAAAGTCTCATAAAACAATCTTAATTTCAGACCACAAACTGAGTTCCACAACAAGCATAAGGTTTTCAAGATACTTAAACAGAATAAGTCTGATTAAACATTCTTAATATAGGACCAACAAACAGGTTCCACAACTACCATAAAGTTCTCCAGATACTTACCAAGATCTCAGCTCTCTTGTTTAGTTGATAGAGAAACGTGGGATACAGAAGTCAACAAGCAGACATGTTGGTATAATCTGATTGGTGACAAACAGGTTCCACAACTACCATAAAGTTCTCCAGATACTTACCAAGATCTCAGCTCTCTTGTTTAGTTGATAGAGAAACGTGGGATACAGAAGTCAACAAGCAGACATGTTGGCTCTCTAGCCTGAGACTCGTCGTCACCATTAAGCGGGAGAATCATACTTCTCGTAGACACTTTGACAAATGAAGTCTTCTTCTTGTAGCATATCTGCACAGTCACAACAGTTTCTCCCTTGATCCTCTCCGCTTCAACCATGATCACATCTCTAAGGCCAACATAGCTTGTTCCATTACCTGACGGCCCATCGTAAATTCCCTACCACACCAAAAACAAAAATTGAACAAGATTAGATCAAAACTTTTTCATTAGTCTCTGAAAATTTTGAAATTTAACTAACATCAGTTTTACCTCTCCAACACTATCAAACTCTGGACTGAACACATGCAGCCTTGCTCCCACTGGTTGTTGCATACCCAGCTTCAATGCTTCACCCAAATCTGTAGCCTCAATCACTTCTCCTTTCATGGGAACGCGAGGTATTTGACAAGCAAATGGGGGAGCCTTGAACGTGCATCCCACATGCGCCCAATGCACACTTCTTGGAAGCCCTTTTTTAAAAGCAAATTCAAAGCAGTCTTTGACAGTGAACTCACGGCGTTGTTGATCCATTTCTCCCTGCCCATCTTCCTTCTTGATCCAAACGTTCTCCACCAAGTACCGAAGGAGGTTTTCAACAGTGTACTGACAGCTTTGTTGATCCATTTCTCCCTCAACTTCTTCCTTCCCAACGTTATCCACCAAATACTGAGCTGAGTACTCAGTATACTCAGAGTCGAGCTTGAAGATAACCCGTGCAGAGCTAATCAGACTCACAGCTATCAAAGCTGCAGATTGAGATGCATCTGCAAGACAAAAAGAAAGATGAAAATGTTGTCGTCAATTCATATGATGATCTTTCAAAAGGATTAGATTGAACTTGTTAAATTAAAACGAGAGCAACTAACAGTTAAAACCAAATCAAAGTGCCTATTAATGATAGAAAGAAAGTAATTTTCTCTAAGATTCAAGATTTGATAAGTTACCGTAATCTTCTTGCTCATTGCTTGCTTTCACGCAATCTGGATGACATATCCCAGCCGTTTCTTCAAAAGTTTGCAATAATGACTCCATCAGCGATTACTCCTGGTTTTAAGTAGAAACAAACAGAAGAAGACATTCAAAAATCCAGCACAATCAAGCAGAAGATATCTATAAAGCAAAACCAAAACAAGTCCTAAGTAGCTAAACATGAACATGGTTTCAAGTTTTGACATAAACATAACCATTTCTAGTTGCAGAGGAAAAATCGTCGAACGAGAAGCTTTATAGACTTAACCAAACTAGCGTTGATAGCTTCTTTGACAAAGTATAAATCTAACCTAAAAAAGGATTCAGCATCACTCATCCAAGAAAAAAAGTTAAAACCCTAAAACATAACTAAAAGTTCATCACTTTTCACAAATCGCAATGAGAAAAGCCAAATCATGAGTAGAATCCGTAACAAAACCCAAAACAAGCTAAAAAAAATCCAACAGAGAAAGAAAAAATGGAGATAAAGTTACCGGAATCAGAAGGAGACAATAGCAATCGCCGTCGCGTTTAGAAAACTCAGAGAAATGTTCGTGCAACTCTAAAAGCCTTCGCAAAACCCTTATGACGCTTAGAGACTTCAACTTTTAATCCCCAATACGACGCCGTTTTAACTTTTAATCCCCAATACGACGCCATTTTGTCGATTTTCCTTAACAGCTCCTTATGAGATTGCCATTTGCCAACAACAAAGTCTTAAACGACAACATCGTTTATGTAATTTAAATCGTTTTTGGGCCTGTTTATAGAGATTTGAAGATTTCTACTGATCAATGTTAAATACTTAGTAGTCTAGTGGTGTGGGATTTAAATTTGTTGCAGAGGCAAACACTAAGGTTACAGATTTCTAGGTTGGGTAATAGTATTACTAATGTCCTGCTTCTTCAATAACACATATTCATCTAAGGGAGATATGCCTGTTTGTGGAAGTGTAAGTGCATCTTTTGATTGTGAGTAGATTATTGTGTTGGAAACTGAAAACTGCTTTGCATTGCACTTTTACCAAAATTATGTTGGTGGATAATACTATCACTGTAGGAGAACTATCTAACCTAGGAGCAAATCCAATTTGAATTCCGCCATTTTTAAAATGGTATATACAATCGTAGAGAGAAAAGATGATAAACAAGTTCAAAGACTTCTTCAGCTTATAGATAAAAGTTTTCTTAAGACAATCATAATGTCGGACAAACAAACAAGTTCCACAACTAGGATATGGTTTTCAAGATACTTAACTTACATAAAATAGTCTCATACGACATTCTTAATTAAGGACCACAAACAAGTTCCACAACTAGCATAAAGTGCTCCAGATACTTACCAAGATCTAAGCTCTTGTTTAATTGATAGATAAGCGCGGGACACAGAAGTCAACAAGCAGACCTGTTGGCCCTATGCCCTGAGAGTCATTACGTGGTACTGCGAGAAACATACGGGTCAGAGACACTTTGACAAATGAAAGCTTCTTCTTGTAGGATATCTTCACAATAGCAACAGTATCTCCCTCGAATTTCTCCACTGAACCTATAAGCACATCTCTAAGTCCAACATAGTGTGTTCCATTTTTAGCTGTCGCGGGGCCATCGTAAATTCCCTACCACACATGAAAATGTAATGAACAAGATTAGATCAAAACTTTGTCACTAGTCTCTTAAAATTTTGATAACTTGCAACACTTTACCTCTCCAACAGTATCAATCTGCGGACTGAACAAATGCAGTTTTGCTCCAATGGGTTGATGCACCAACAGCTTGAATGCTTCATCAAAAGTCTTAGCCTCAACCACTTCTCCTTTCACGGGAACGCGAGGAATTTGACAAGCAAATGGGGGAGCCTTGAACGTACATCCCAAATGTGCCCAATGTTCTCTTCTCGGTAGCCCCTTTTTAAAAGCAAGTTCAAGGCAGTCCTTGACAGTGAGCACACAGCGTTTTTGAACCATTTCTTCCTTCTTGGTCCAAACGTTTTCTGCCAAGTAGCGAAGGCAGTTTTCGGTAGTGACCTGAGTGCGTTGTTGATCCATTTCTCCCGGCTCGTCCTCCTTTCCAGCGTTATCGATCAAAAACTGAGCAGAGTACTCAGTAAACTCAGTGTCGAGTTTGAGCACTAACCTTGCAGAGCTAATCAGATTCACGGCTACCAAAGCTGCATTTTGAGACTCATCTGCAAGACAAAAAGAGAGATGAAAATGCTGTAGTCAATTCATATGATTCTTCCAGAGGATTAGATAGAACCTGTTAATATTAAAACGAGAGTTAACTATCAGTTAAAACCAAATCATAGTTTCTATCAATGAAGCAAAGAAAGTAATTTTCTCTAAGATTCAAGATTTGATAATTTACCGTAATCTTCTTGCTCATTACTTGCTTTTACACAATCTGGATGACAACGGCCAGCCACCCTGGACATAGATTGTAATAATCGCTCAGCCATCTGCAATTACTTATCCCTGGTTTCAAGAGAAACAAACAGAAGAAGACATTCACAAATCCAGCAGAATCAAGCAGAAGAACACAATGAGAAAGAATATATCTATAAATCAAAACCAAAACAAGACCTAAGTAGTTAAGCATAAACATGGTTTCAAGTTTTGACATAAACATAACCATTTTTAGTTGCAGATGAAAAATAACGAGAAGCTTTATAGACTAAACCAAACTAGCGTTGATAGCTTCTTTGACAAAGAATAAATCTAACCCTAAAGAAGGATTCAGCATCATTCATCCAAGAAAAAAAGGTTAAAACCCTAAAATGTAACTAAAAAGTTCATCACTTTTCACTAATCGCAATGAGAAAGGCCAAATCATGAGTAGAATCCGTAACAAAACCCAAAACAAGCTAAGAAATCCAACAGAGAAAGAAAAAATGGAGAGATATTTACCGGAGACACAGAGAGACGAGTCGCACAATCGCCGTCGCGTAGAGAAAACTCAAGAGAAATGTTCGTGCAGCTAGCTCTCAAAGCCTCAGCTTACTCCCAAAACGGTGTCGGTTTAGTGACTTCAACTTTTTAATCTTCAATACGACGCCGTTTTGCCAAGGCCTTTTTCTGAGATTGTTAATTGCCAATGTTGAAGTCTTAAAACAACAACATCGTTTATGTAATTTAAATCGTTTTTTATTTTGGCTAGAGATTTGAAGATTTCTACTGATCAATGACTAGTGGTGTGTGATTTAAATTTGTTGCAGAGGCAAACACTAAGGTTACAAACACATTTTGTTTGACTTCTCTTGTGTATAGTCAAACTGTCGAGGTATCATTTAGCTAATTTAGCTTGGTGACTTATTCTCAGTAAAACTTTACATTGCACTTTTACTGAAATTATGTTGGAATAAACTGATAATACAATCATTATTGCATCATATATATATAGGAGAACTGTCTAACCTAGGAGAAAATCCAATTATGAATTCAGAAGATTGAAAAGATTTAGGCAACAGTAATTTCGAAAGTTTTAAAAAGATGATAAACAAGTTCAAAGACTTCTTCAGCTTATAGATAATCATAATTTCAGACAATAAACAAGTTCCACAACTAGGATACGTTTTTCAAGATACTTGACTTCTTAACTTACAGAAAATAGTCTCATAACACAACTCTTATTTTAGGACCACAACTAGCATATAGTGCTCCAGATACTTACCAAGAGCCAAGGTCTTGTTTAGTTGATAGATAAGCGCGGGACAATGAAGTCAACAAGCAAACCTGTTGGCCCTATGAACTTAGACTCGTCACCATCATGTGGTGCTGAGAGAAACATACGGGTCAAAGACACTTTGATAAATGAAAGCTTCTTCTTGTAGCAGATCTTCACAATAGCAACAGTATCTCCCTCGAACTCCTCCACTGAAGCTATTAGCACATCTCTAAGTCCAACATAGCGCGTTTCATTACCTGTAGCGGGGCCATTGTAAATTCCCTACCACACATAAAGAAGATTTAACAAGATTTAGATCAAAACTTTGTCATTAATCTCTAAATTTGTTGAAATTTAACTTACAACACTTTACCTCTCCAACACGATCAATTTGCGGACTGAACAAATGCAGTTTTGCTCCCACCGGTTGATGCACCAACAGCTTGACTGCTTCATCAAAAGTCTTAGCCTCAACTACTTCTCCTTTCACGGGAATGCGAGGTATCTGACAAGCAAATGGGGGAGCCTTGAACGTACATCCCAAATGTGCCCAATGTTCTCTTCTAGGTAGCCCCTTTTTAAAAGCAAGTTCAAGGCAGTCCTTGACAGTGAGCTCACAGCGCTGTTGATCCATTTCTCTCTGCCGATCTTCCCTCTTGGTCCAAACGTGTTCCGCCAAGTACCGAAGACAGTTTTCGGTAGTGACCTGACAGCGTTGTTGATCCATTTCTCCCGGGTTGTCTTCCTTTCCAGCATTATCCATCAGAAACTGAGCTGAGTACTCGGTAAACTCAGTGTCGAGCTTGAGCATAAACCTTGCAGAGCTAATCAGATTCACGGCTACCAAAGCTGCCGATTGAGATGCATCTGCAAGACACACAAAAAAAGATGAAAATGTTGTAGTCAATTCATATGATTTTTTCAAAAGGATTAGATTGAACCTGTTAATATTAAATCGAGAGTTAACTATCATCAGTTAAAACCAAATCATAGTTTCTAATAATGATGCAAAGAAAGTAAATTTCTCTAAGATTCAAGGTTATTTTACCGTAATCTTCTTGCTCATTGTTTGCTTTTACGCAATCTGGATTACAGCGGCCAGCCACCCTTGACATAGATTGTAATAATCGCTCAGCCATCTTATCCCTGGTTTCAAGAGAAACAAAGAGAAGAAGATATTCACAAATCCAGCAGAATCAAGCAGAAGAACACATTTAGAAAGAAGATATCTAAAAAGCAAAACCAAAACAAGTCCTAAGTAGCTAAACATAAACATGGTTTCAAGTTTTGACATAAACATAACCATTTCTAGTTGCAGAGGAAAAATGGTCGAACGAGAAGCTTTATAGACTATAAACCGAACTAACGTTGATAGCTTCTGTAACCTAAAGAAGGGTTTACATGATTCATCCAAGGAAAAATTAAAACCCTAAAACGTTACTTAAAGGTCATTACTGGTTCACTGAGACAGGCCAAATCATGAGCAGAATCCGTAACAAGCTAAAAGAATCCAACAGAGCTAGAAAAATGGAGAGAAAGTTACCGGAGACAGACGAGAATTCAGAAGGAAATGATAGTCGCAGTCGCCGCTCGCGTAGAGAAAAATCAGAGAAAGTTCCCAAATGTGAAAGCACTCGCGTAGCCCTTACTTCCCTTCATATTAGTCCCAAAACGACGACGATTTTGTGAACTCCTTAACACGACGCCGTTTAATAGTGTTTTTCCTTAACACGGCGCCGTTTTGATATTGCCAATGTTAAATAAAGACTTGAAGTCTTAAAAGTCAAAACAACATGGTTTATGCAAAATTTAAATCGCTTTATTTTTGGCCGGTTAAATTCATAGTAGTCTAGTGGGGTGGGATTTACACGGGAAGTAAACTCGTTTTCTCAACTTCTCTAGCTATATAATATAGGGAAAAAGACCGGATTGATAGTGTTTCAGATTTCGACCTCAGTTTCAGATTAATCCCAAAATGATGTGGCGTTGAGACTTCAACTCTTAATCATCAAACTACGCCGTTTCGAGACTACGCCGTTTTTTTTACGTTGATTCAATTTACTGTTATTCTTGTGTGTGTGTTTTTGATTGTTTGGGTTAAAAATGGTTGTCATGTGTTCTACGGTAATGAATTTCGACTACGGTGACAACACGAGTTTTCACGAATTTTGACTTATCAAATAGTAATTTCAATTCTTGAAAGATGAACAAAGTAATGTGTTATCTTTTTATGAATGTTGAAAACATGTATTTTTCTTTGTTATTTTGATCAATATTGTATGGCCAATAACCCAAGCCCATTAACAGTAAATTGAATCAAAACATTCAAGATTTAGAAAATATAAAAGTTAAATAAGAAAACCCTTAACGAGCACTTCCTATAAAATTATTTGGAAATTAAATAATAAGAGGAAAGCTCATAAAAAAAAAGAGCTAGCAGGATACAAAACTTTGTAAGCAAATGGTTGGAAACAAATTTTGTACAAATTTTACAATTGTTCATTCGCTTTGCTAGTCTCATAAATCATTACATGTTTGAAAACTGAGATACAAGATATTTAAATAAAATTTTATTACAAGATTTTATAAAATATAAACTAACAAAAAAAAATCGTACTCCGATACCAATGATGGTCAGCATAACAAGGTTTGTATGTGGTAATACCCATTTATCTATTTGGCTTTCACATGGAACATTTCTCCTTTCAATTTCTTTATAAGCCATAGCAACACATAGTAAATTACTTCCAGCCACCCTCTCGATTGCATCATTGAATATGGTAATGACATAACGTCAGTAAGAATAATTATAAGTTTCTGCAAACAAGTAACAAAATAAACAATAATCGCCAACCTTCTCAACACTCATCTCTACAGATTTATCTCTCAAAGAAAACTTTGTGCATCTTTTCATAATGTATCTATCATTTCCTTTCCAGTGAATACGAATGCCACTCATCTTGTTCTTTTTCTGAGATTCCTGAGAATGAAGTAGAAATTGATAACAATGTTCTTTAGAGGTAAAAACAAATAAAACACTGGAAACTCAAACGTCTATTTATAAGAGAAAATAACGAGAAAATCCATACACAGTCCTCTGGTATGCCTTGACATTTCCTCTTGTAGTGAGAACATTTAATAACCACAGACTTAGACTTGATAGACATGAAGTTCTTCTTCACCTACAAATTTCCAGAAAATACTAACAAAATGTTACGAATACAACATAAAATTCGAGAGCTATGGGGTGATGAATTACTTTTTATATTATGTAAATTATTTTTTTCTGAATTGATATAGTAGCAAATATATGTAACTTATAAATTATAATTATAAATATATGTAATTTACAAATTAATTTATATGATGCTAATAATGTTTTTGAAATTTTAAAATGTAAAATTTCGAAAAACATGTAAACAATAGATAATGCAACTAATGTCTATATTAGTAATTTTGTTTTTCAATCACCCATAAATCGTTTTCTAATCGCATTGTCAGTCAAAAATATAGAACTACCGCATCGCACTCGAATCGTATTTCCATTCATAATTTAGCTAATCACATAACTTCTGATTTATATCTCTCACGCATCCGAATCGCAATCACACTTACAACGGATTGCCATTCGGGGACCTAGTATAGACTAGTAGTGACTAGCGCAAGAAAAGGGGGTGTACAGGTCCGGCCCTAAGTTAAAGCAATTGAAGCTTGTGCTTTAGGCGCCAAAAATATATTATTAATTTTAGGACATCTGTTAGAGAAATAATGCATGTGGTGTAGCGGCAATTCCTTGTTTTCGTTAGCAACAGGTCTTGAGTTCGAAACTTCATTATTGTTTTTTGTGATTTTCTTACATTTATGTGTTAGTTAGTTGGGCCAAAAAAAAAATTACTGCTTTAGGCATATATTTACATTGGGCCGTCCCTGGGGGTCTAAATATTATTTTAAATAGTTAACAAAGCTTTCCAGAAGGAAATTAAAATATGGGAGCTAAAATGAATTTATAATTCATGATAATAGTTGTAAACATTATTAAAACACAAGCCAAACACAATGGCGTGCAATATAACATGATAAAAGTTTCAAATATATAGTGACTGATAATTAGAACAGAAGAGATTCATAATCGCTAGGTATGTATTCTTCAGTTTCTCGAGCAACTTCAATACACATATGTTCTGGTTTCCCATCCATGGTTTTCCTTATTATCCCTTCGTGATCACCAGCCAAACCCCTTGTAAAAAAGTTTCACCTGCTCCAAGCATCGGGCATACTCAGGACCATCAATTAGCTCCGCCAGCCCTGCGGCGGCGCTTTATTCCCAATTTTCCCCTCCACGATTCCTTCCATATCCCTAAATTTCGTTTGTCAAACCCTAATTTATATTATAAAGCTTGACGGATATACATGTAATCCTTTTTTTTACTTATAATTTTAAGATTCACCGATTTCAAACTATGGTCCAAATAATCTACATCTTAGAGGAATATAATCAAGCAGTGGATCAACATTAAGGTTGATTGAGATTTTGTCCATCTTTGTGTTTTTTTTTGCCATGGTTTATAGAGATTTCTACTGATCAACACCAAGGCTGCAGATTTCTAGTTTGGGTAATAATACTCATGTCATTATGCTTCAATAACTCATAATAAAAAGTTACATAAACTAATTTCGATACCTTTCTTCTGATCCATCGGCTTGATTAGGTGCTCCAACAGATACCTCTAGACGTATGTGACCTGGTTTCCCATCCATTGTCTTTCGTACAACCGCTCTATAATCAGCCTCCTCGCCTGTCACTGGATCATACACACATTGAAAACTTATGTAGAAGATTGCATTAGCGGCCTTGAGCTTCTCACGCGGCTCTGTTTCAACTTCTCCTCGAGTTTCGACAACAACCTTTTGAATATCCAATGGTAGGCATCCCGCAATATCTTCTGGCCAAAACTGTAGACACCATTTCTTGTAGAATGCAAACTCAGCGAAGAGATGCAGGTTAGGGTCCAGCAACTCTGAATCTTTCAACTGAGGGATCCACAGCCAACAGTCATTAACAAGACATGACTTGGATCAAAAACAACTACATATACTCTTTAGTTGACAGCTAGATGCAGCAGAGAGTTACCACATAGCAATGTTGCAGATCGTCATCAGAAAACCATTTGGGCATTTCACCTTTGTACCGATCATCTATTGCCTCATTGTCCCACTCATGATCCGTCTCTTCGCCATCTTTTTATTATCTCAAAAAGATAGACAAAAAAAAAGAAGAAGTCAAAAGTCTAATTATATTGCACCAACCCTAGGAATGGAGTAACTGCTGTTTTACGTACCTCTCACGTCGCAAAAGCATGTCTCCCACGTTGATAGCACAGTGTTTGCATGCTCGTCATGCTTAACCCACGTCCTCAGACTATATAGAGAATAATTGTCGGCTGGATCCACGGCCTCCATTGTAAAGAAAACCTTGGAACTATACTGAGTATATATTCTTCTCACACCCTCAAGCTCAAGGTTTTTACCCTAATAAGAGATAATAATGCAAGATGAGATAGTGTGTGCTGCCTGTAAAACATAATTAGAACGAAGAAAAAAAAAAAAAAAACCTTCTGAAAATTGTAACAATATAGTCCAAGTCTGCCGCAGAGGCAAATGTCATAATCAACAAGAAACTCATCATCATCATCCGTTGCGCGACAGATTTTATCATCACCCCAGTCAGTCCAACCATGCCTGTCATATACCTCCGCAGATTGCTTTCGCTATACATCAAAATCAACACCGAATTCAAACAAGTAACTAAACCATTCAGGATCAAATCCAATTATAAATGTAAAACATATACGGAAGAAAACTTCATCCAATTAACATGATCGAATTATCAAGAAAGGGAGATACAAATGTTAATTTCACCATGTCTCTCAGTTGGAGATACTCAGGATCATGGATTAGTGATCGAAAATCATGCGGCGGCGATTCATTCCCAATTTCCTCGTCGTCGACGATTCCCTTCATCTCCCCAAATTTCGTTTGTCACAAACCCTAATGTTATTTTGAATCTTTAGTTAAAATAGGCCTTTTTTTACATAAGGAAAATAAAGTAAAAAAGGGAGTTTAATAAGAAAAAGGATAAAAGGTGTGGTGTGGTGGATACGTTTTAATCAAACCAATAAATATTGTGAGATTTTTACTTTAGGGCTTTGATGATTTTGGGGGATTTTATAGAGATTACAGATTAGAGATTTAGGGCGTCCTGTGCGAAGAGGAGGTTATGGCGGAAAATCGAGAGCTATGGGGTGATGATGATGGTCCATCAGATCCCCACGGCCTGATGAATTCTGAACGGGCCTATGTATGTACTAACTATAATGATCTCTCTCTCTTCTTTTTATGGTTCCTGATGATGTTTATGTAGCTTTGATTTTTTGCTTTCTTGGTCGTTTGGGTTTTCTCACGGGTAAAAGGTGATGATAGATTGGTGTTCTGAAATATCTTTCTGATTTTTCGTTTTTGTTAGGGTTTTGATGTGGATTGCTCGACCCGTCCCTATAGACTAGTTGAGTCTCAATGGGGCCATTGTTATGATACCGACCTTCAAGCTATGCTTGGACTCCACTGCTACAATTTTCAGAAGGTAATCACTTTTTTTTTTTTTTTGGTATATATAGATTGTGTAATTCGTTTATTCTCATCTGATCCTTAAGAAGCTGAGTTTATTATGGAGTTGCCTTGCCTTATGATCGAGTTTGTTCTTATTTTGCTTTGACAGGGAACAAAATTCAAATATGAATGCTGGGAAAAGTTTAGTTGTGATTATACTTGTGAAGTCTGCATCTACTTGACTTTTCAGGCAAGGGATCCTGCCTCCGACTCTCTCATCTCTTTTCAGACGCTGTTCAGCGATGGTGGCTGTGGAGCCGATTTCACTATTGAGTGGAGGTCCTTAGCCTGCAGACTTAAATGTAAGATCACTACTTTTACCATTCATTCATTTATATATTTTTGGGTCTTTTTACCGTATATCTTGGCACCGTATCATTTAAATCGTTAGGACTACTTTTGGTTATATATAGTCCTTAGAGATCATTAGAGGACTAACTGTTTATAGAGAACACTTTTTAAGGTAACGAGCGTCTGGATGACTACTGGGATGACAGTAGATTAATAGATGACTTCTATATGGGTGATATGCCCAAATGGTTGTCTGATGAGGCCTTAGCCGCTGACAATAAAAAGTTTTACGTGGTAAGATGTTCCGCGAGATCGAGTTTGATTTTTGTTTTAGTTTGAGAAAGCTAGTTGTGTGAAATGTTAAAATACTTTTATTGTGGACCATCATCACAGGTGCAAGAGTCGGATTTTCTTGAGAATGACTGGCTGTATCTATATACGGAAATTGCATTCTACGCGAAAACAGACTGTGTAAGTTATTGAAATGCAAGTACCAAGCTTTTCCCCTGCTGTATCTTTAGATTCTTTCCTCTTACTCTTGCCAATGTAATTGCAGGGATTGACAGCTTCCCCACGCTTGGAGGTCAAGAAGGTTGTTATAGAAACTAAAGAAGAATACATGACAGAGGCACGTGAGAAGCTCAAGGCAGAGAATGCAATCTTCTACATAAGTTACAATTATAATGGTGATGATCGTGCAGCTAGGGGTTTGGCGGGTGATCACAGAGCAATAGTAAGGAAAACCATGGATGGGAAACCAGGACACATGTGTCTTGAAGTTGCAAGAAGAACTGAAGCTTTGACTTCTCCTGGTGAAGCTTTGACTTCTCCTGGTGAAACTTCGACTCCAATCACAGACTTCACAAAGTTACTGATTAAAAACTAACATTTAGATTGTTGAATATTCATACTTAGAATCACTTTTTAAAAAAAATCTAATTACAAATCATTATCCATTTATGTGTAAAACGATTTAGAAAAAAATTGTATAGGAGAGGATTGCCGATTGCGTATGTTAGAGGAGAAAAATGTTCATCAGTTTAGGATCAATTCCTTTCTTGTTATTTGCAAGAACAACGTATGTTAGAGGAGGAAAAATATTTATGATTCCTTTCTTGTTATTTGCTTATGAGCAAAGAATCTTTTGCTTGTTACAAAATTTAATTGAACATTAAAGTACAAACTAAGATGGTATAAATACATTGATCTACGCGTGCTTGATGTTATCACAAAGGGATACCCGAAGAAACTCAAGAAATTGAATCGTTTAAGGTGATACATGGAAAACTCATATGTCATTTTAGTCACGAGGAACATTATTTAAAACTCATTGAGGAAAATATTAGTGGAAGCATTCGTTGTGCAGCATGTGTCTTCCCTATATATTCTCAAGCATTCTACGGTTGTGTGCAATGCGATTTTCATTCTCCATGAAACATGCGCTAATCTTTCTATGAAGAAACGTCATGTGCTTCATCACAAAGTATTAACTCTAATACGTGGTGACGTTAAACTAACTAATTGTGAAGCGTGTTTTAATTTGTCCTCTGGTTTCATGTATACCGACTTTGAAGGCTTCACTATAGATGTCAAGTGTGGCGCACTTTCTGATTCTATCAGCCATGAAAGTCATCCATGTCCCTTGTATTACAAATATGGGAACCAAGAGACATGTGTTGGTTGCGGGGAAGTTAAATATTCAACATTTAGCTGCGATGACTGTGTCTTTGCGTTAGATTTCAAATTTATTGGTTTGCCAAAAACAACAGAGCACTGGTATGATGAACATTGTCTTTCTTTACGCTATGAAAAAAACACGAGCGGAGAATATTGGTGTGATATATGTGAGAAAGAAATAGATACCAAGACATGGTTCTACACATGTGACAATTGCTGTGTCAATTTTCATACTGAGTGTATTCTAGGCGATTTCTCACTTCTTATGCCTGGACACACTATCTCATATGATGACTTCTTGAGATTCGAAGTGATGCAGACCAATCCCGGCTTCATACCACGTTGCTATAGTTGTCTCTTCCGACGAGCAGTTCCCTTTGTTCTAAAAGCTCTCTATCCAAAAAAAAGTATATTCATTTGTTCTTCACTTTGTTTGTCCCAACTCCTTCAAGAATACCTGTACCATTCATTATTGGAAGACCTGTACCAAATATAAATTTGTATTAAGAACTGAATTGATGAAGATATAGTAAACACTAAACACCCAAAGAAATAAAAACAACATTTCCAACAAAATTACTTATTATTATCTTGTTCTTTTAGGTGATATGTTTAAAATGTATTTTTCATAATATGAAACTAGTAGATATTACAAAACATTTCTACACACCTACAATTAAGCTGTGCGTTTAAATAGTGATTCGGGTTTTCTACGGCCCAACCAATTATTTTCAGTTAATTTCTGATTATCTTGAGTGTGACATTTTTTCTTGCATGTTCAAAGTGTGTTACTTTGCCCTTCCCTTATCTACCTTCTGTTTAATTCAAAACTAATTAGCTTTTTATCCTAGAAATATTGTTGCCACTTTTTTTTGGCTAATCCCATGGTCAAATGTAGTTTACAAAACGTTCCACTAGATCCTGGTCCAATAAGCAGATTTACTAAATGTTATAGCGTAGCTTCAAAATCATAACATAAAAGCTACTTTTGTTTGTTTGTCAAATGTGAAAATAACATAACATAAGATACAAGAAAAGATGAATTCTTACATATTTAGTTCGAAGCAGCTGAGATTACGCAAAATATTGACTTGATAATAGAAAAAGAAAATGACAGATCAAAACTCAAAAGCGAGGACGAAGATGCATCATAGCATCCATTTCTTGCTTGAACTTAACCATTGCATCTCTCGGTAATGTCATCACCAGTCTAACCCCACCTTCCATTTCTGGATCCCGCTTGGATGGTCTTAAGATCATCACCATGTTTTTGAAGCTTTCTTGAAACATAAGAAACCTCATATTCACAGGATCGTTCCAACCAAAATCCATCGATCCAACCAACCCGATATTTCTCACGTCGGTCATGACCAATAATCCATCGGTTACCTCGGCAGATTTCACATCTTCCTTAATCATTCTCTCCATGTTTATTAGCTCTTGCTCGATATACCTCTTGTCATAAGCTTTTTTCTTGGCACTCTTCACAAGTTTTAGAATGTCATAGATCGATGATTCATGGAGTTCTCTCACGGTTAACTCGATGTACACGTCTATGATGGAATTGCCGTAGTAACCCTCGGACAGTGGCGGATCAAGGACATGTCGGATTCCAACAACTATGCAAAGTACAGTGATCCTATCAAGATCTAGCTTTAGGGATCGAGATCTTGATTTCCATATGCAAGCACTAAGAATTTCATACGTAGTGAAACTCTCCTTCCGGAATTCGCATTCCCTAACCAAGGTGTCTTTAAGCATTATTATGTCCTTAGCTTTAATGCTTATTATCTCTGTAACCTGTGGATGGTACGTTAAAAAAAAAAACAAATTAATTGCAAAATGTAAACTTTATAAAAATATTATAGTTTCTTTGGTAAGGGGTTTAAATTACCAGTTTTTCCTTTTTAGCTTTATTTTCTAAGAGTTTGCAACTTTTTTTGAAAAATCAATGATTAAAAGTTTTAAGTTTAGTGCTCTTTTTGAAGACAAAATATAAAAGTTATACTTTAGGAAATTTCTCTTTTTTCTGAACATAAAAATTTTAGATTATTGGAAAACAAAAATAAAATGAGTTATTTTGAAAATACTTTTAAAATTATTGTAAGGTAAATATTGTGTGACTGAGATGCAAGTTTGTGTTCTGAAACAAATTCCAAAACAAATCAATTATTCTTGTATGTTTTGTTTACAAAAATAGCACTTAACTTAAACCTTTTTGTGTGGTATTATTGATTTTTTAACTTTTTCATAAGCAAAAATGATTCTTATCCTATATTGCCAAAAAAAGGCAAAAATATTGAAACATACCAAATCACTACTTGGCATATACGGTGAAGTGGCCAAAAGACTCGCTCTAGCACCGGCACCGCCCGGAACTCTAGCCGGTTCATTGTCTACTTTCCTAGCTAGCCGCTCTCTCTCCCATACCGGTAGTATCGATGGCTCACGCTTGCCTCGGGCCAACTCGGTTAGAGAATGAATGAACCTAGCCACACCTAACCCATCGCACACCGCGTGTAACAATGCTGTGCCAATGGTGAATCCACCGCAAGGAAACTTGGTCACCTTCAAATTTAAAAATTTTCTTAACAATGATTAATGAGACCCCATGATTAATAGGACATAATTTATAAGAAAAACATTGAATAGTCTAGCCCATAACATACTAATTTGTTTTTTTATCCACGGACGGACACCATCCAAAGCCTATATTTATATTTAATAAACGAAAAGATACCTGCATAGCTAGAGGATGATCAACGATACCTGCATAGCTAGAGGATGATCACCGATCTCGCTTTCATAGTTAAGGTCGATCTCAGGGACAAGCCGCAATGCAACTTCATCAACAAAGTTTTCTATATAGTTTAGAGAGGGGAGATCAGGAGATGCGATAGCGACCGTAAAAGGGACTCCCTCCCCATTACAAACCAGCTGAAACTTTCGATCACTTTTTCGTCTAACAAGCCTGCCTGAAAGTGGATAATAGTACACAAGAAGTTCGGACAAAGCCTTCCTAAGCAAAGAAACCGGATCATTTTGGTTCTTTTCATTTGCCTCGAAAACGTAAACACTTGCGTGCCTAACTTCGTCGAGAGGGTTGTTGTCTAAACTAGAAAGGGAGAGAGTTTCAGAAGGAGTGTGTTTTGAGGGTTTGACTAGCTCAATCGATTTCTTCTCGACTTTTAGGGGAAGGCTTGAGTTGGTTCGGTTTGTCATCTTACCAAATTTATGAATGTATACTATAAGATCACCGTCTCCACCTCTTGATGTTGTTTATATAGTGAAGTGTTTCAACTCTTTTTACTTCTTTTTCTTTTCTAAAATTATAATAAAAAGTAACATGCCTGAAGGAGTGGACACATTTTAATTTTGCATGGCTTATGACAGTTCATGAGCCCAACACATAAGCTATATATGATAAGAATCGTGTACGTTTACAGCAGACAGCATTCAGAATAAAGAAGACAAAATTGGGTCCTCCTTATTTTTTTTTTATTTTTTTATTTTTTTCATTTTTCAATTTTTCTTTATATACAAATTTTTTGGAAAAAGGGAACTCTATATATGCTAAGACAGAGGCCCATGTGATTGTTTTTTTTCATATACAGTAACTAGAAAATTCAGGATTTTAGACTATAATCTTCTTAATAAACTCGGAGACTACATACCATTATGGATTTTGATTATTTTCTGTCACCTTTCTAATCATTTCCGTATAGAAAAGACATGCAGTTATATAGTTCGTTCATGTGAATGAGAGTTTAGAATTTATTCAATTCTTGCTATTTAATTTATAATTAACAATCGTTACTACACCTTTGCTTGCTGTAAAAGTCAATAGAAATTACAAAACTAAATTTCTTTAAGAACACTGCTTCAGTGCCTCTCAGAAAGAAAGTGACTAGTATTGACCTAAGGCTTAACCGTAACAGAGTCCCTTTGGTTTTCTTATTAATTTAATTATTTAGGTATAGATAGTCTAATGGTAAATCTCCTTGTGAGCTTCAAAGTGGTTGCGCTCAGAGGTACCATGTCCAAACCTTTTAGGAGATATATGGGTTTCTGCCCTGAACTCACTAATTACCACAACAACAAAAAGACAGAAAAATTGGTGTACCTTGCCACAAAATTGGCTACGGATATTTTCGTCACCATTATATTATTCATTATTCATTACATGAGCAAATTAAGCATGTGAGCATTACATTATTCACTGCGTTTATTTAAAAGCATTCGATAACAGACATAAAAGTTCACTCAGGTACCAACTAAGTTAGTTGGTATCACCAAAATAAAGTTTGTTCATAGCATCCATCTCTCGCTTGAATTCAACCATTGCGTCTCTCGGCAACTTCATGATGACTTTAACACCACCTTCCATGGACGGATCCAATTTCGAAGGTTTCAAGATCATCCCTACGTGCACAGTGCTCTCCCGCTGGGTCAATGGCCGTAGATTCACGGGCTCATTCCAACCGAAATCCATTGATCCGAACCAACCAATATTCCTCCAATCCGTCAAGAAAAATAATCCATCGCTTACCCCTTCGAATATCGCATCATCCCTCATCAACCTCTCCGTGTTCGCTAGCTCTTCCTCGATATACCCCTTTTCATAGGCTGTTTTCTTGGCTTTCTTCACACGCGTCGCGATATTAGAGATTGATGATTCTTCGAGTTCTCTCACGGTTAGCTCGACGTAGACGTCTATGTAGGCGTTACCGTAGTATCCTTGAGGAAGTGGCGGGTCCAAAGCATGTCGAATTCCAACAGCTACGCCTAGGACAGTGATTCCGTCTGGGTTTAGTTTTAGGGCTCGAGATCTTAATTTCCATACGTAAGAACTAAGTACTTCATAAGTAGTGAAGCTCTCTTTAAGGAACTCGCTTTCTCTCATCAAAGAGTCTTTCAGCCTTTTTATGTTCCCAGCAGGAATATTTATTATCTCCGTGACCTGTTGGATGATAAATAAAATAAGATCATTTTTTTTATTAGAGATCTACGTAGATATTTATATATATAATTCAGTTTTGCAAGATCTTTTTTACTTAATTGTACTAACAAAAATATTCCTCCCTATCACTTTTGATAAAATATTTAAAGATTTTACACCCCAAATATTGTGGAGAGAGTATAGTGTGATAATAATTTAGTACGGAGAGAGTATAAATAAGTATCACAAAATTATGGAGTTAAGGAAGTGACAACATACGACATCAGTAGTTGGCATATATGGTGAGGTGGCCAAAAGACCAGCAATGTGGCTGCCAGGCACTTTAGCTGGTTTATTGTCAATTTTTCCGACCAGCCGCTCTCTCTGCCATACTGGCTTCACCGATGGCTCGGTCTTTCCTGCAGCCAACTCGGTCAAGGCATGGATGATCTGAGCCACACCGAATCCATCACACACGGCGTGTGTCAATGCGGTGCCAATGGTGAATCCTCCACAGGAAAACTTGGTAACCTTCAAAAGAAACAATAGGGAATAATAGATTATCTTTATCTTAACTATGTGTGCTACATTACCATGAAAACAATATTCCTAAGAAATTAAATGTGATATTTTGAATATACAATTTTCAATACATCAAGAAAATGAAAAGTTACCTGCAAAGCTAAAGGGTGATAACAAACGTTCTTCTCATAGTCAATTTCGATTTCAGGCACAAGCCGCGAAGCAACTTGGTCATCAAGGTCTTCTATATAGTTTAGAGAAGAGAGGTCCAAAGATGCTGTAGCGACTTCAAATGGAACTCCCTCACCTAGACAAACAAACTGAAGCTTTTGACTACTCTCTCTCATTAGCTTGCCTGAAAGGGGATAGTAATGCACAAGAAGTTCGGACAAAGCCTTCCTAATTAAAGAGACAGGATCATTTAGGTTCTTTTCATTGGCTTTGAAAACGTAAATCGTTGCGTACATAACTTCATTGAGAAGATCGTTGTCTAAAGTAGAGAGGGAGAGAGTTTCAGAAGGAATTTGTTTTGAGGGTTTAACAAGCTCAACTGGTCTTTTTTCAAGTAAAAGGATCGGTGTTTTTTGGTTTGCCATCTCTTTTAGAATGTGTAGTATAAAATCTTCCTACCTCTCGATGCCGTTTATATATAGTGAAGTGTCCTACCTCCTTTAGCCAGCAAAAAAAGAGTCTTACCTCATTTTTCTACTTAATAATAGGATGTAACAAGTGTGAAGTAAATAAAACGAGTCTTACCTCATTTTTTCTACTTAATAATAGGATGTAACTAGTCTGAAGTAAATGAATGGTATATATAGATATTATGAATATATATAATTCACTACATATAACAAGACTTCTTTACATAATTAATTCTCGATAAATTAATTAATAAAATAACATAATACTCCCTTTGTATCATTTTAAATGATGTTTTAGAGAATTTCGTAGTGTTAAACAAAAAAATTATTGATATGATAACCTCAAATATATAAATTTCACTTCCATATGAATCTACTTGATATTACATCTCCTAAACGAATTTCGTAGTGTTAAACAAACAAGTTATTGTTTGTTTCCTCAAAATTAGCTGTCCAAATTTATTGTTTGTTGCTCAACATTAGTCGTCCAAGTTGAGACTACAAAATTGATATATAACTTCTACAACTTTTTGTTTTTTGAAAGTATGTAAAATTTTATTCAACCAAAAAAACCTTGTAAATTATATAAAACTTTAAATAGAAGTAATTAAATGATCTGAATAGAAAATGGAAAAGTGATTTTAGATATTAGATCGATGTATCGAGCTAGCTTCTTGTGGCTACCCAAATACGAAGTCCATCTTCAAACTTAAGAGAGTTTGGTCTCTTGTAATTAAGAGCATAACCTGTTATGCACAACTAGGTCAACAAACTTAATCAATTGATCAGACGTTTAAGGGGTCTCACCATACCATCTTCCATTACGCACAGACCAAATAGAATGCACAGCAGCTTGGATACAAATACAAGGAGTAAAAGCAGTTCATGAGATGAGTGTTAATATACAACATTGAGTTTAATTGAATCATACTATCATAACTCGTATCTATCTAATGACACTAAAAGTATCCTCAAATTTGAAATTTTGAATATCTTACAATAGTTTAACAGAATTTGTTAACAATGTTTATAGTAGAGACAATTGCCTTTAGTAATTACAATAACAAAGCCGGAAAGAAAATGTAACTACTAAAGTACTAATAGAGGCTATTATTTGTTGAGAAGTCACATGACTCACATTATCATCTGCATGACCCAGGTCCCAGATGACAGTTGACAGATGGGAGAGAGATGGTGGTATGCTCATTTAACACGAGATATATATATTAATTAGCCCAATCCATAAAGACGGACATAGATATATTAGGACTCACGGAAAAAAAAAAAAAAAAAAAAGATATATTAGGACTCATCAGACGACCGGCCAGTAATTGTGAGATTTGATATGTGATCTTGTGGTCTTGATTTAACTCACGTTTTCTAACACGAGATAGATCCTTTCGTGGTGGGATCTTCCACAATGCTAAAATAAAGGTGGACCCATATAGTAAGTAAGGGGGTCAGCTTCAAAAATCTTGAAATTCTTTAGTGATTTTTAACAAAATTATTGAATACATCCTGGTTTTTTTTTAATGGCAATTATATAATGCTAAGAGAGAAGAAATGCTCATATGAGAAGATTTTACTTGTATATCTACGACTAATTACGACATAACTTCTATTATGACTAGTGGTTAAAAAAAATCTCAATTATATACAAATAATCAATTAACAATTATCTATTTTAAATAGAGAAATTGCCTCTAATAACCCCAAATCAAGTTTTTGGGACAAGAATCTCATAAGTTTATTGGACAAAAATAACATCTTGTTTTTGATTTTTTAAATTAATAAAATAATAAAAATAAATACAAAAAATCACAAATTCATCATTACTATTTTCCCGCCAAAACAAAATCCCGTCAAAATTTTTCCGCCAAAAACTTTTCATCAAAATTTCCCGCCAAAATATTTTCCGCTCCCGGGAAAAAACATATAGTCAAAATTTTCTCGCTACAAAATTTTCCGTCCGACTTTTCCCGCAAAAAAAAATCCAAAAAATTAAGGAAGGATTCCACAAAATTTAGGAAGGATTTCGCATAATTTAGGAAGGATTTCACGAATTGGGAAACCCTTCCTGAATTACGTGGAATCCTTCCTGAAATTCATGAATTCATGAAATCTTTCTTGAATTACGTGGAATCATTCCTGAATTTCGTGCAATCCTTTAAGGAATCCTTTCCGTCCGACTTTTTTCGCCAAAAAAAATCTTAGAAATTCAGGAAAGATTCCACGAAATTTAGGAAAGATTTCACGAATCGGGAAACTCTTCCTGAATTACGTGGAAATCCTTCCTGAAATTCATGAAATCTTTCCTGAATTACGTAGAATCATTCCTGAATTTCGTTGAATCTTTCCTGAATTTCGTGCAATCTTTCCTGAATTTTGTGAAATCCTTCCTAAATTGAATTTTTTTTGGCGAGGAAATTTTGACGGGATTTTTTTTGCGGGAAAATGTTGAAATTTTTTTTGATAAAAAAATTTTGGCGGGAAAATATTTTTACGTTGCGGAAATTTTTTGGCGGGAAAATTAAATTTTGGCGAGAAATTTTCAATCTTATTTATCTATTTATTTTAATTAAACTAATTATTCATATTTAGTATTTAATTAAATTTTATAATGTTATTTGTGGAACTTTTCAAATGTAGTGCTATTTTTAGAAGAAAAACTTATTTTAGTGTTATTTTGTCAATCTCCCTTTTAAATATGAAGAATCATTAATTTCATCATTTTATTCATAAATATATTTAAGTTTCTCTTTTCAATAATTTAGGATATTGTTGTATATTGTTTTAAAAACTTATCATTTTTAATCATATTAAAGTTTTTATCCAATATTTATTTATAAATTTTAAAAATAATATTGAAAATACAATACCATTGGCAAAAGCTATATATTATCGGGTGCAATTATTGTTTAACTTAGAGGAAACAATGCATGAAGTTGAAACAATTTATACTTTTCTTTTATCTATTTTCTACCTTTTTTTTTGTATTTCAACTATTACACTCATCTTATTTATTTTTGTATGTTTTTGAAATATTTATATATTTATTTTTATTTAATAATTTTTTATATTATATATATATTTTTGTTCCGGGGAAATCTATTTTCTGGGTCGGCCATGCACTGTGCTAAGGATTTTATTGGTTGTGGCTGTTAGTGGCGGAGGCAGGATTGTTTTTAATCAGGGTCAGTAAAAACATTGAAAAAGTTGTTTACCAACTATCTTTAAAATGACAATTGTATATATCTACGTTCACTCATACCTTGAATCATATCACAAAAAAATTAAAAAAGTTCTTAGTTTTAAAAGCAAAGAAAGCATTACCTTGATTTTAAAAGCCATATTTTAGGGGGGTTTCTTATGGCAATAGGAAGAGGAGACAAAGAACTTCGTTTATTGTTTTAAAATATAAGTTAGGTGTATATTTTTTATTAATCCATGTAAATCACTAGAAACGTATTAATTTTTTTGGGTTTGATTTTAACGTGGGTTCAATTTTTAAAAGTATTAGACTTTTCATGTATGTATATTAGTTTTTGATTGGGTTAATGGGCTCAAGAGATAACTTTTATTGGGTTCATTAGATATATTGTTAAGAAATGTCACAAAAAAATTAGAAATTAGCTGGGGTCAGCTGACCCCATCACCTTCATGTATATGGACCTATGAATGTAAATATACGTCCATGCATAGAACCAGATTTTTGGGTAGATTCGTACACGTATGCATGACCCAGTCGTGAGAGTTAGGTATAATATGTCTTGATTTAACTCGCGTTTGAAATAAATCTTTTCGTGGTGGCTGGTGGACTCTTCCAGACTGCAGTACGCTCAATATTATTATGAGTTTGATATGGACCTATGAATGTAAATACGCTCATGCATATGAACAGATTTCTGGGTAGATACACCTATGCATGACCCAGCCGTATGTGAGTGTTAATTATTATCTGATCTTGTGGTCTTGATTTAACTCACGTTTTTTTTACACGAGATGGATTCTTTCGTGGTGGGCTCTTTCATCAACGGGAATATATCCTGCATTTTGATATGAGCCTAAAGATTGAGTTTCTAATGCTCATGCTAAGTGCTAACTTGTGAGTTGGTTATAGTTTTGCAAATTTTGCCTTAAACAAATGTTTTGAATGTAAGCTAAATAAGACTGTGTTTTCAGATTAAAATTTAGAATCCTGTAACTATTTACGCACATATATGCTAACTTGAGGGAATTTGGATTTACTATATTTAATGAAACAATGAAAAACATTTCAACAACCTAAAAAATGAATTTGTTAATTTTTAATAAATTATGAATTTAATAATATTTATGTTTGTCTTTATTTATAAAATATTGTGTAAACACTTGTTTGATACCAAATGCGTATGATTATTGGTTTATTCGGTTAAACTTATATAATTATTGGTTTAGTAATTAATGAGTTATCTAACAGTGACGTGTTGGGTAGGTAGTGCCTAAGTCCAACCAAAGTAAATTTGAATAAGTATATACAGTATGGTTTTATCTTGTGTTAATTCACGAACGTTTAAGAAAGTATAATACACAATTACACATATACATATTTGCGGGTCAATAATATAGAACTAAATTACTTCTTCGATTTTCTTTCATCGCCGGAGCTAACAGTTTTAAGTAAAGTTGGAGATCATCAAGTTTGTTCGTGGTTTGGGATTCACATGCATAGAGCAATAGATCAATTAATTTTGTTTTGTAAGAAAATGTCCTTTGTATTTTAAACTGTGATTTTAGTCATGTCATATATAAAAAAAAAAAGCATTAATAACAAACTTGAAGAGCAAGGGCACCAAGTCAAAATAAATTTTAGTCAGAAAATTAGCTAGAAAGCATGGACTCAACGAATAGGCGGCAGCTAGTGCCGGTGTTCAAAGCACGATTCATCTACACAGAACAAGCTCAGCCATTACTTTTATAAGAAAGCTTAGGATCGGATTTTTCGGGAGGATCCAACAAGACCTCTAAGTTCCTCAAATTCATCAAATTCGTAACGTAATTTTATTTTTTTCGGTCAACCATAACAAATGTAGTAAATTAACGTCAAAACCATATGGTCCATATCCCAAAGATTTATTATTTATAGGTAGATAAGATAGTCATAATGCAGCGCTAGGCTTACACAAATAACATTGACATGGTAATACTCAAGCCTTGTGATCCACATGGTAGAGAGATTTATGAAGCCTGGGAGTGATGAAGACTTCAAGAGGAGTGGCTTTCAGATTGACCAACCCATTGCTCCCGGTCATATCCACATATTCGCTTGATGGTCTTACCACATCAAAGCTATGCAAGAACCTTGCTAGGATATATTGCACCATCCGCATACCAAGGGGGACCGCAGGGCACGCCTTTCTTCCCAATCCAAATGGAAGCAGCTTGTAATTCTGCTTACCAACATCCACTTCTTTATTTGATGTCAAGAACCTTTCTGGCTCAAACTTTTCAGGGTTGGACCACATATTCGGATCTCTATGAATTTTCCAGGCATTTACAAGCAACTGTGTCCCTGATTATTATCATGAAATAAGATTATATACTAGAATTAATATGTTATTTGTATCCTGAATGCTTATAGCATTTCACTTTCTTTCTTTTTTGAATGAATGTAAAAAAAAATTCAAACAAAAATTGTGTTATATTATACGTAGCATTTCACTTTAACATTAATTTGCACGTAATATGTCTCATATCTTTAAATTTGAGGTTCCTTTAATTTGAGATCACTTTTTACTGCTTTAGAAGTCCCTAGTTTGAGTTTGAACTTAGGAATGGTTACCTGCTGGAACGTGAAAGTTTCCATTGGCGATGTCGAAATCTTCTATCACAGTCCTATAAGCAGTGAGAGCGACTGGTGGGTATAAACGGAATGTCTCCTTGAAAATTGCTTGGAGGTAAACCAAATCCTTGAGGTCGGATTCTTCCACAACTCTGTCCTTGCCTATTGTACGGTTGAGCTCCTCCTGAGCTTTCCTCAACACGTGCGGGTTGTTCACGAGTAACGAAACAGCCCAAACTAGAACCACAATGGCTGCCTCAGGCCCTGACAATACCAAGTTCTAGTTTACAACATATGAAAGATTTATTAGTACATATATTCATTATATTGACAAATAGCCCGTTTTCATACATGATATAGATTAAAGTTCTATGCATGTCTTACTAGGCATATGGCCTTGGTTGTTGTATGAGCATCATCAAGTCCCGGATTCTTGTGTTGTGCAAAGATATCAATGAGTCGATCCAAGAAGTTCTTTTCAATGGCACTACCACAATCCTTCCTCTTTATCTTATGTTCTTCGACCCAAGCGTCAAGAATTTTATCTAACTCACTACCCGTTCTCTTCATGGCCTTCTTCACCTTCCAGTCCAACCAACCAAGAAACGGTACAAGATCCGAGAACAAGAAGACCCCAAAGTAATCAAAAAAGTCTCGTATCAGCTTGCTACATCTCCTGGCCTCTTCAATCTCGCAGTTAGGGCTTTCTCCGAAGTATCTCTTCCCCGCGATCATCATCAGCGATATGTTCTGTGTTAGATCATGTAACTCTTGCTTCATATCCACCAAGACTCCTTTTTCAGGTTCACCCTTTTGCTCCCATTTCTGGTAAAAATCTCTGAACGCCACGTCAACCTCTCTAGCTCTACTATGCTGCATATCGACGACCGCGGTGGACAGCATCTCGGATATTGCTATCCTGCGGATCTCTCTCCAGTAAGAACGTTCAGGGCTAAATGAAAAGAAGGAGCCATTGTAGCCCATAAGTGTAGACGCAGTAGTGGGGACAGGCCGGTTTAAGAGCTTGTCGTGGACAGTGTAGATCTCTTTGGCGACTTCTTGGCTGTTTATGATCAGGACGTTAACAGAGCCAAGCTTCGTCATGAAGACGGGTCCGTGCACGTCGGCCATATTCCCGAACGTAACGTGGGTCGGTTGTCCGTTGTCAAAGACCGCCAAATGGCCTATAACCGGCCATGCTCCGGGGGCCATAGGCGCCATACGTTTCTTGTTCCTCCGAGGAATCAGAGACGTCATTAAGAAGGAAATAAAGAAAAGGGAGAGAAGAGAGAGTAGAAGAAGCTGAAGCGTATCCATTTTTGGGATGATTTGATATTTGCTTGACTTAGTTCCTACTACTTCTATATACGACTTGGGTATATATATATGATAAATCAGCGAGTTGAGCTAAAATTAATTCTTACACAATAAAGTTTCAAGAATCGAGCTGAGTAGACTAGTTATTTCTGCTCTGTGTTGTTATGTGACTCTTTTATGAATGTTTGTTCCTTAGATTTATGAACTTTGTTTTGCTCTTTAGATTTGATTAAACCTGTTCATGTTATTCAACTTGTTTGGTTCTTTATGATCTTTGTGTATATATTAAAAGTCTAATGTATGGTTTAAGCAATCTCTAATCAAGTGAGAAATATATAATTGATGAGTTCATTTAATTAGGTTCAAAGATTTGAGCATACGGGCCACGAAAAATTAAGACGGGCATAGACAATACATATTACTCATTTACTAGAGATATCTTATCGAATGAAAAAAAAAAAATCTGAAAGTTGGAATTTGTGAACAATGTTTACAGTAGAAACAATTACCCTTACATTTAAATTTTAGAGTTAGCTCAAAAGTCACATTATCATTATTATCTTCTGCATGTCCCAGTCGTGGCAGTTAATATCTCTGATCTTTATTATGGTCACGTGTTTTTTTACACGAAATGTATCCTTTCGTGGTGGGCTCTTTCACCGACGGGAATAGTGCCTGCATAATTATAGGATGTTTTAGCATTTTTTCCTTGTTCCATTTTATAAGAATTTTCCAGTTTTCTATGCATAATTTATGTTTATTTAGTATATTATGACCATTTAAATTCTGCAGTCTTTTTTTTCTATTGGCTGAATTCCTATAAAAAGGTAAACATTAACTATTTCTTAATCTTTGTGATTTTACACAAAACATCTCGTAAAATGGGACGAGTATGACTTATGAGTTATGAGAGCCTAAAAATTAGTTTTCTTATGCTCATGCTAACTTGTGGGTTAGAGTTTTGTAAATTTTGCGTAAACAAATAAGACTGTGTTTTCAGATTAGAGTTTTGATAAGACCAAAGAATGTAGGCTAGTTATTCAATGTGTATATATATTCCACATTTCACAGAGACAAAACCCAGCTTTAGTTATGGAAATGGAAAAAAGTGTCAAAGAAGAGTGTATTCCTCTCTTCAGGCCCTACAAGATGGGAAATTTCAATCTTTCCCATAGGTAAACAAATATCACAATTGCTTACATTTTGTCATACAATGCCTTCCATGTCCAGCTTAATAAGAAACTTGATCATTTGTTCTAACTGTGACATACGTTATGATTCAGGGTTGTTCTGGCACCTATGACGAGATGTAGATCATACGGACATGTTCCTCAGCCTCACGCCATCTTATATTATTCTCAAAGAACGTCTCAAGGAGGTTTTCTCATCACTGAAGCCACCGGAGTTTCGGAAACCGCTCAAGGGTCTCTTAAAAACAACATTCTTCTTCACCTCTTACCATTTCGACTAATGTTTACTCTATTATTTTGATCTCTGATATGTTGCTGATCCTCCCACATTTCTGTGATTTGCTCTTCAAGTTATGATGATACTCCTGGGATATGGACTAAAGAGCAAGTGGAGGCGTGGAAGCCAATCGTGGACGCTGTTCATGCCAAAGGTGGCATCTTCTTCTGTCAGATGTGGCATGTTGGCCGGGTTTCTAATCGAGGTGGTGCCATCTTCTTCTTGTTAAGAAACAAATCTATATATGCTTTCAAGTCTTGAAACTATATTTTCTTCAGGCCAGAAAAATGGGGATGAAGCTCCTGTCTCCTCTACGGATAAGCAGTTGATGCCCATTATGGGAGAAGAGTTCACACCTCCAAGGCGGTTAAGGACAGATGAAATCCCGGGCATTGTCAACGACTTTAGAGTTGCTGCAAGAAATGCAATGGAAGCTGGTAAGGCAACAAGTCTTAATTTCCCCCACCATTTGGATGTATGTATGTATATGAATTAAAAGCTAGATATATATATTACATTACAATGTACAGGCTTCGACGGAGTTGAGATTCATGGAGCCCATGGTTACTTGATCGACCAGTTTCTAAAAGACAAAGTGAATGATAGAACTGACGAATACGGTGGCTCGCTAGAGAACCGCTGCAGATTCGCACTAGAAGTAATCGATGCAGTAGCAAAGGAGATAGGTTCAGATCGTGTTGGAATAAGGCTCTCCCCATTCGCGGATTACTTGGAGTCCGGTGATTCTAACCCAGAAGCTTTAGGACTCTACATGGTGCAAGCTATCAACAAATACGGAATCCTCTACTGCCACATGGTCGAACCTAGAATGAAAATCATCGACGAAACCTTCGAGGTCACAGAAACTCTTACACCCATGAGAAATGCCTTCAAAGGAACTTTCATAGTAGCCGGAGGTTATACAAGAGAAGACGGGAACAAGGCGGTGGCGGATGACAGAACTGATTTGGTGGCATATGGACGGCACTTCTTGGCCAATCCAGATTTGCCCAGGAGGTTTCAACTCAACGCGCCATTGAATAAGTACAACCGATCAGCCTTCTATACTTATGACCCTGTCCTCTTCTACACAGACTATCCTTTTCTCGAGACAACAGACACAACAACTGCTTAAGTACTGTGTCTAATGGCAATATGATGTAGCAAGCAGCAAACATCTCATATGATTTTCCCATTTCTTTTGGTTTTCGTGTTTATCCAGCCAAGTAGAGTCCTACTTTGATTTGGTTTATGCTTTTTAGTCCAACACCTGTGTCTTACTAACATATGGGTTGGCTCTATGTTTTGTTCACCTTATCTTTACAAAAAACTTCAAAATAAACTCTTGATTGCATTCGAAAATTCAACTTTACTTTTGCGATATTAATATTTCGACTCGACGACCCGAAGAGATTATATTAGTTTACCGGTTCATGCTTCTTCTTCTTCCTCCGATGACAAGAGAGTTTCATTCTTTTCTAACTCCCATTCAAGAGATTCATCCTGATTCAAAAAAAAATCCATCTCAGAGATGCAATGGTTCAAGTAAATTTTCAAATATCAAGAACCTTCAGGAGGATTTCATGTTACCTCGTCAGAAGAAAAATCAGATTCATCGACTCTCAAATACAAGTTTTCTTCCTCTCCATCACTTTTCTTGCCGGGTTCCCCATCGTCATCCTGGATCAATTTTCAATGATAAGTTTGTTTACTCAGAAGGGCTTACAATAGATTGATCTGTTATAAAAGCATTCAAGTTTTATCAAACCTGTCCGGTCTTCAGCAGCTCTATCCGTTCCTCTAGGTCTGCAACATGATACTTCAGTGCCTGTCAGAAACATAGAGACCAATATTGATCACAGCAGAAGACTTTCAACAAAAGTTACACGTAAAATCATTATCATCATTACTTCTCTTCTTTGAAGCTCAATGGATCGAGCAAAGGCCTTTTTTCTCGTCAATAAGTTTGAAGGTCTAAGACGAAATGGCATCTGATAATTCTTTCCGCGATAGAGTATAATCGCATAGCCTTTCATGGTTTTATCAACGGATACCAATACTCCGCCACTCTCAGCCTCCAAAGAGATAGAGATATGTTTGACTTGCGGAAGAGATTTGCCTCTAACTATCACTTTTACAAGCTCCCGATGTTTCCAGTGTAGATGCATGTTCTCTATCGTACCATCATACACTTCTCGTCTTCCTGTAAAACGTTTTAAGAACAGGAAATCGTATTCTTTTTACAGATTGTTTTGGCTTTAAACGTGACACATGAGTGAGAACAGTCTTTGTGCTTACCTAAGAGAAGAAACGGATCCATACTCAAACCAATTTTGCGGTAAAGAAGTCTCTCTTCTTCTGTGATTATTTCTGAATCAGTTGGGAGTTCTGATGGGTCAAGATCCTTCTGAACTTTAGCTAAGTCTCTCTCAGCTCTTCTCAACTTTTGCTTTCCCTGGAACAAAAGAGAGATCATCAAATTTAAGGCAGAGCAAATGTTTGCAATCAGATACCAAAAGAAAAAAAAAAAGGTAATACTCACATAAAGAAGCCTTAGCTCAAGATCTCTAATCAATGCAGCTCTTTTGATGGAAGCTGATTCTCTCTTTAACTCTTCAATATCAACGCTGCTCGCATCTGGTGCCCACCGAGAACTTGCAGCTATAGTCTCAGCAAGCGTTCCAGCGAGTAATTGGGTTTTAGGCGATTTGGCTTGTGATGTGAGTGTGACTCTTGTTGAAGCCATTTCCCGGGCTTGATCCTCCTTGGTTTGAAGAACTTCCGTTATTTCCTTTTGCCTCTCGGTCAATGCCTCTGCCACTGCAGGAGGCATGAAGTCATTACCTCTGTAGAAGACAATATACTCCTTGTTTCTCGAAACAAGTACACCGCGAGTAAGTCTCTTCAAGAATGAATAAGATAAACAAAGTGAGCACATGCAAAATATTGGTGAGTTTTGAATATATATGGAAATTTATGTTTTCATCAAACCTTAAGCTCTTCCGCCATTCTCTCATTCCGCGTATTTTCTACACCGCGTTTGATTGCTATTTTGGCGATCGCACTTTTTGCCCATAGCTTTACCATTGCCTTAGCCAGACCTTGTAACTCTCTGCTCCTCCCTAAACCGGATAAATAAAGAAACAACAGTCACTTGGGAAATCATATATTACTACTACGAAAAGAAAGTAAGATTCGATGATTTTATTCGTACCCAGAGCAAAATGTGGAGGGCTTGTCCTAGCAAGCCGACGCATTTCTGTCATTTCCGTGTTAGACAAACAAGGTTTTACTCCTTGGGGAAGAATCCTAAACGGACATCTATATCCTTCAACGTATCCAGGAAGCAAGTCTGCATCAACAGGAAACGGAGCACACCCTGTCCAATCATGAAACCTTGGACCAAGCTCGTCCAACAAATCATTCAATTCACATAGCTCGGATAATTGTTCTTTAGGTACATTCTTGGGGTAATTCGCATCCTCAGGTATGTAATCCCTTGCCTCTACACTTCGATTGATCTCAGGCTTTGTATCGAGATTGTTCTGTTTAATAAATGTTTGAACACACTTGAGCTTGTAACTTATTCCTCGGTATAACACAACCGAGCTTCCTGACCTCCATATCACTAATCCCCCAGTTTTCTTCTGTTAAACATCACAAACAACAACAGAAAGCAAACACATTATTCAGAATTCAACCAAAAGATCATTCCTTTTATCGATAGATTCGAATCTAACCTCCAAAACTTCATGAGTTCTCTTCATATTAAGAGAAAAAGGCTCTCCAAATTTCAACTTCACAACTTCATCAACCTCCCATTTCTCATGAATAGCTTCAACCAACGCCTGCGTAATTCCTGCAGAACCTACTTTTACTCTCTCAACCATTCTCAACGCTACATTCCTCAACCTTCTCAGCTCATGTTCCGGTACAACCCTCTCAGCATCTACCGTATTACTCCTCCTCGTTCTCCATATTCCCTTATCTTTCCCTGAATCTATCATCCCTCTTTCACTATCATCTAAATCTGAATCTACAGCTCTACTACTAGAATCGTTATCCCTTCTATATCTATCTACAGTAATAACATCATCAAAACTCGAACTTTCAACTCCTTGCTCGAAGCTAGTCGTAAAGTTAACACCTTTAGACCCACCATTGTTAACCCATGGAGCAGACATGTATCCGCTTGGTCTTGGGAAACTCGACGGCTCATTCGCCGAATAGAGTCGATTGGAATCGGTTCTCTTATCAGATAAACCATACCCAGAAGAAAGATTTGAACTTGATTCATCTTCATCGTCTTTGTGATGTTGAATTTGCTCTTCTTGCTTCTGCCATGGCAATTTCTCGGTTTTAGGGCTGTTACGTGAAGACCATTTATCGCTAATTTCTTCGAAAAAACCCGGTTTAGGTTTTCTCTTCGTCTTCTTCCTCTGGTGAGTGTCGATATCAATGGTGGCTCTGATGACACTCAATTCACGGGTGTGAAACCGAACTGGGTGATTGAAGCTACGAAATCTGAGTCTACGAATAAAGAAATTAGACTTAAAAGAGGTATCTAGAGGTTGAAGACGACGGAATTGAGGAGACGAAGATGGTGATGAGGAGATAGTGTGAAGATTCAGTGGGAACTGACACAGCGCCATGGATGAATTTGGCTAAGGAAGACAACTTTGTACTAATTTCAAAACGACCACGTTTTCAATAAGAGTGTACGAATTTCCAAGTAACACACCGTTTTCAAGTTAGCAATACAACATGCACGCCGTTTTCATTTTCTTAACAAAACAGGGTCTTAATTGTTTTTCATAATTTGTATACTTCTTAGTGACCATATCAGTTATTGATAAAAGAAAATAATTCGTTCTTAATTTCAGAGAGGCTATAACAATATATTTTTCTTTGTTTTTGACTAATTAATACAACAACGAAAAAGATTAAAGTAATTAAGTAGCCTAACCCAAATAACAAAACCATTTATTCATTAGTTAGACGATGAAAGTAGTTGTCTGTGCATGTTAAAGACACGTCTTAAAGTTACATAACAAATCAATTAAGACATATGTGATAAGTTAATTAAATATGTCTTGTCCTGGAGACAATAGTCTTTTGGGATCAAACATAATTTTCTTCCTCAAAAAATCATCCCATTTTGGTCCAAAATGTTTAACCCAATCTTCTTTTCTTGTATAATGCATCAAATATTCTTTAATCTTAATTCCCGAGTTTTCACAAAACTGAATAACTTTGTCGTTGAGATTTTCAAGTTCTTGCCAATTTTGAGATCCACCAGCTGATTGCAGTAATCCGATCACATAAAAAACATCTTCGTCCGGTGTCATCGTTGACATGCGGTTGTTCCATCTATTAATATAAAAAAAATCGTGTTAACATACATTAATGGGACAAAATTTCAAATAAAAATATACAAAAAGTAAATATTTACTTGTTTCGGTTTGTGGGATAGAAGAGAGTAACACCAGTAGTAGAGGTTTGGTTTAGAAGAAGGCCATTGATAACACCATCATGAAAATCTAGAATTCGAGATCCCGGTACGAAGATGTTAAGCCATGGATGAGGAACTTCCCATAGCCCTAAAGATCTGAGTTTATCTTCTTCGTTTCGGACACGATTCAAGAAATCGAAATAAGGAACATCTTGTACGAACATAAACCCCGGGGCGAAACCTAGAGTTCTAGTTAACATGTCAATCACCTACAACAAAAGATATGAGATATTTAATAAGCATATATGGACATATTGTTATGATATTGTCAGGGCGATTTGTGCATGTGTACCAATGAACATGATACATATATTTTATGTAATATAACAGCAAGGATTGTTCACAAAAAAAAAAAAAAAAAAAAAAAAAAAAAACAGCAAGGATTATATTTTATTTTAAGTAATGATGGTGATGATTCTGATTCACTATGTGAGAATAATCATCATGAAGGATTTCATAGTACCTGGTCAATGATGGGAAGGGTGGTTCTATCATAATACTTGGCTACTTCGAGAACATAGATGATACGGTGGTCATTTACAAGAGATGCGACTCTTGTTTGATCGGAGAGTGGAAAGAAAGAGGTGTCTACGAAGCCGTTTGACATCATCAGTTGACCTTCCAAAAAGTCAACTCCAAGATCATTGGTCATTGATATTAAACGCTCTTGGTCTCTTTTAAAAGCCGAGAAGTCACTGTAGAGTATGCGAGACCATTTCACCTGCATAATTGTATATCAATTTATATCCATAAAATTATAAATTAATCCATTTAAGATCATCTTCGTAGATTAATTGTATGGTCTATTTTTTCATAAAGAATAACCAAGAACCATATATAGAACTTTGAATCAGTATAGCGATAAACAAATAGGTGCAAGCGACCGTAACTTTTATCTAAAGTCTACGTACACAATTTATAGAAGTTTAAAATAACTATAAGACCTACGTAGGGAAAAAAAAAAAAAAAAAGGATTAGATATTGACATCAACGAGATTTGCAAGCATAAGACAAGATTACACTCGAGCAAGTCCTAGGATTGATTGCGCAGAATCTAACTAAACGTAAGCAATATCAGAGTTTATTCAACAAATGTATTGATTTTTATTCAAAATAATTTAAAATCAGCCTTTTGACTTCCTATTATACGTTCCAACCAAATCATATCAATTTTAGATTTACGACCACTAAATTAATTATAAATTGATTACACTATAGATGATACATACCCTTGTGGGTGCATGATCCAACGCAATCCTGGCCCTCGTTATAATACCGAATTGACCCAGACCTCCTAAAACCCCATAGAACAATTCAGGGTTTAACTTTGGCGAGCAAGTCATCATTTCACCTTTTCCTGAAATTAATTATTATGAACAACTAATTATCAAAAAATAAATTATTATGAACAAAAAGACAAACTCCACATATTAATAAGTTAATTACAAATTAGCATAATTACTATTGAAGGATCTCATTTTCTGAGAAAAACATGTTTTTCAGATATTGAGTTTATACTGATTATGGCGTGTAAGTTTATCTCAAGGATCAAGTTTGTAATTAAAACATAAACATTATATTATCATCAGTACACATGCATATAATATTTCTCGCTTATCTTAATACAATTGTAGCTTGCAGACAAAAAAATAAAGCATACTGTTTCATTCCTAATTTTTTTTTTTTTTAGTTTAGTGAAGTTTTGGTAGTTACGTACCGGTAATGACGTCAAGCTCATGAACATTACTAATCTGAGGGCCGTGTCTAAACGTCTGACCACCGATTCCAGCGTTCGACAACGTCCCGCCAACGCTAAGATACAAATAATCCGTCCAAGAAACCGGCGAGACGCCTCTCTCCACCGCCGCCTTCAGAACATCCACCCACATCGTCCCGGCAGCCACGTCAGCGTAAGTTCCATCTGCTGAGATAACAACCGCCGCTGGTTTAGCCGCCTTGGCGAGACACGTCATGTTCACGACGACACCTCCGGGTGCCGAGGCTTGGCCACGGAGGGAGTGGCCTTGGCCCCTAGCAGCCACTTTGAAAGTAGGCGCTGGGCCGGTTGAGCCCCCGTTGTAAGAGAACCCTCCGTTGGCGAAACGGAGGAGACGAGCCACCTCAGTGGTGGATGAAGGGCAGAGTACGGCGCCGGGGTTTTCATCGGTTATGTTACCGAAGTCATGAGAAGCGGCGGAGATGGAGAAAGGATCAGTTAGGACCGTGAGGTTGAGTGATATGGGTAAGAAGACATCAATGCCCTCATCTGATTTGATTAAGGTTGGGGTTAAACTTATAAAAAGCGTTATTAGGGTGATGATGCTGCTTGAACCGAGATTACTAGTCATTCTCTAATTAACGGGTAGGTGAATGGGAAAATGAGACAGAGGATGAGATATTACTACTTAGTGTCTTGTTGATTATGGGCCGGGATTAATATAGAGATAAGTTAGAAAGTATGCGATATATATAGAACCATAGAGAGACTAGATATACTATAATGTACTAATTGTCACGTGAAATATATATATCTTTGCGTGTTTTTTTTTTGATGTTGATATATATACAAGCTTGTTGACGCCAAAGAAAAAAAAGAGATACAAGTTGTGTTCGTCCAAAGTGTTTTGTGCGAAATATTTGAATGCATTGACTTCGAACTATCTATATATTTTAAATTTATTTCACCAATAATATCAAATCTACTGGGTAATTGATTTTAACCCCCCCTGATAAAGTGATAAGTTCCCATTTCTGGCTTTTATAATTTGAATATTCTAGTATATATAATTTTTGAGTAAAGTTGAGGTAGTTCCGTTTGACTTTATTAGACGTGATTATTTATTGTTGATCACATAACGTAAATTCGGAATTTGTGGAAACCGACCAAACTCCTACTCTGTGGGCCGGTTTATAAATAACTATTTTTTTTAACACCCCAGTAGTGTTCGTCCAATTGCAAACGTAACTTGAAACTCTCCCATAAAACTAACTAATAGTAGTAATACACTAGTATTAATTTGTAAAAAGAAAATGAGGACTCGTATTATATAACTCTCTTTTTTTTTCACTCAAGAATTTTTATTGAAATTTCATTACAATGGTCGATCTTACTTTGTAGAAAATTTTACTATATATAAGTTCGTTTTTAAATATTATACTAATTGTTACTTTGATTTGGTTGCGTTGTTTTGTATTGGCTTTCTCTTAATAAATTGCATGTTTTATATAATCAATTGGACCGGCACAGAATTGAAAACACATACGCAAGTTTTTAGTAGCGTGAGAAAGCAAAAGGCTCATTTCACCTCGAACTTCACTTTTTTTTTTGTTTCTTCATTTCGTCTTCACAAAGTATCACATGCAAAGTGAGACAAACATTTAATTATATATCTATTATAGATTATTTAATCAAAAACTCTATCCATTATTGAGTTGTCGACGGTTAATATATACAACTCAATGTATTAGTAATTAAATAGATCAACAATGAATTTTTTAATATTGTCAATTTACTTTGCTATTTATGTTAGAGAGTGAAGCACACGAAGGATATCACCGACTCACCGTCCCGTGATTACATGACGCCCTACAAAGAAAACAGACGCAAGATTCATTTATTAATCAATAGTGTTAAATATAAGTACATTTTTAGATGATATTAGTATTTTTGATCTATAATACTTTTCAAATCACAACAATGGTGTCTGTAAAACTTATCTTAATGGTTTGTTATGTGTTAACCATTAACGATCAGTCATCAATTCTAAAGATGGAGGATCGTTCGTTAAAAAAAAAGGATGGAGAATCATATAAAACCGATGTCAAAATCTTAAGTTTAGGGTTTATAGTTTAGAACTAATTGACAATTTGAATTCGTATCTCTTATATATCATTTCACTTAGATATGTGATTCCTAACACAAAACAAATAGTATATGATTATCTCGATGATATTGATGTTTTTATTTTTCTCTTTTCCAAATTTACCCTATATTGAGTTTTGAATATTCTTATCGGAACAAACATACCACACCATTGATTTAATTTTCAAAGTGAATGTGCGGACTAATTTTTTTTTCACTGCATAAAATCTATTCACACACAACATCACAGGATTATTTGTTCGATCCATGTGCCAAAAATCGTAAATATCTGCAAATAGCGAACGAGTATATATACATTAATATACATGTGGTACCAAAATAATTAAGAAATATGTCCCACCTATGAAATTATTCGGCAGCCGGGACAGATTTGGGACCAGATTTTTGTACTGGTCAACAAATTAAAACCCTAACCAATTTCTAAGTATTTTCCATGAAAAACGAAATCTAATAAATCCTTGTTGACCAATACAAAAAATGTAGCAATAATAATATTGGATCTTGTCCCATTTTTCAGGTGGGAACTAAATCTAGAGAGAGATTGACTGACAAGGAGTCGGAGATCTCTACATTGAAATGGATTTCAATTTTCGAAGAAGGTTAAGGTTAAGGATCACATTGCATTTTGAATCGCGACGCGTATATCAGATCAGTTTTATTGAATGAGAAATAGAGACTATATTAATATATGAAAACTATAGTGAAGAATGATTATGTAATCATTCGTATTTTGATAACTCTGAATATTTTGTTGTGGTTTTTTTTTTTTTTAACGTCATATATTGAATCATAAAGAAAGAAATTGCAGAGTTTGGAAACAGAGTAAACATAAGAGCAAAACAGAGTAATAATCAAAATAAACCAATAACATAAACGCCAAGGCAAAAACCATCAGAAAACTTCTGGCCTCTCGTCGAAAGCCTAAAGGGCCGAGACTCCGTGGAAAGCTTACGTGCACCGTCTCCGTTCTTCTTCAATTCTATTGTGTAGCCAAGCTGGTCCTCCTCTCGCCATGTAAGAGTTGAATCTACCGTCTCGTGTGACGCTGCAGGCAATCTCCCTAGCCAACAAATTGGCTTTCGGTGAAGAGATGTGAAAGGAGACATCCCGCATCACCTGTATTACCTGAGCAATTTTATTAAGAATAGAACGATATTTTGGCCAATCCTCCGGTTGATCTATAGCCCGAATAGCTGCAGTACAATCTGACCAAATCTCACAAGAATCCTCATGAACTTGATGTAGACTTTGTAAGCACCATAAAATGCAGTGTAATTCCGCAGCCACCCTATTAAACATGGGAAGAAAAGCGTCTCTGGCATGAAGTACAGCATCTCCATTATGGTTTCGTAGTAACCATGCTCCACCACAATGAAAAATATCCTTAATCCATGACGCGTGCACATTACACTTTAACTTCCCCACCGCCGGTTTAAACCATCTTGTTACAATCCTTGTTTGCCTATGCTGGAAACTTGCAGCCTCTGTGGAAATTATACAATCCTGCTGCAACCATTCTTCCGCATCTTCCAAAGCCGTAGCAATGAGAATGTTATGATCAACAGATTTGGCAGCATATAATTGAGAATTTCGCGCTTTCCACACTTCCCACAGTATCCAAGGGATAGCAGTCCTCATATTGGTTGGTAGTTCTGTTTTCAACATCAAGTCTAAAAGGAATGATATGTTCTCCGCTATAGACTCCGTGAAACCTTGAGGAGGCAGGGGTAGGTGAGTGGACTGCCAAACCATTGTAGCCATACTGCATCTAAAAAGAACATGCGCTATTGTCTCCTCCTGACACTGACATATTGGACATAGGGAATTAACTTGCATTCCATGTCTCCTCAAACAATCTGCAACTGCAAGAGCTCCTGATAAAGCTCTCCAAAGGAACAAACGTATTTTTGGAGCTGTATGGATCTTCCAGATACGTTCCTTAAGCTTGTTCAGAGCCGACGTATCAGCAGAGACGAAATCCATCGCTGTAGCTTCTTTATTCACTAACCAGTTACCACTTTTCACCGAATACTGTCCATCCTTTGTGTAAGCCCAAACAAAACGATCAGGTAGTCCCGTTGCCGGAGGGAAGGATCTGATTTGAGTGATATCACACGGCGGAAATAGTTCCTGTAACCGCTGAGTGTTCCAAGCACCTTGCGGATTGATTAAAGATGATACCTTGAGGTTTAAATCAATGAAAAGTTCTTTGTTGATTGGTCGTCGTGGTGCCTCATCAAAAAGCCATTTATCAGCCCAAATACTTGTTGTCTGGCCATCTCCAATCGATTTCATGAGTCCACGTTCAAGCAGTTCTTTGCCAAAACAGATACTTCGCCAAGCATACGAAGGCCTGTAACCTGTTGTTGCCTCCAAGACAGACTTTGCCGCGTAGTATCTAGCCTTGTATACCTTCGCCAGTAAGGAGTTAGGAGCATTCAGTAGTCGCCATGCTTGTTTGGCAAGTAAGGCTTGATTAAACCGACCAATGTCCCTAAAACCTAGTCCACCTTGAGATTTAGATTTGCAAATCTTATCCCAGGAAACCCAATGCATCTTATGCTTTTCTTCACTTTCATTCCACCAAAAGTCAGACATGGCACTCGTGATCTTTTGGCATTGATGTTTGGTCAAACGAAAACAGGACATAGCATACACGGGAAGAGCCAAAGCTACTGATTTAATGAGCACCTCCTTACCCCCTAAAGATAATGTTTTCTCATACCAGCCACTTAGTCTCGACTTTAAACGATCCGTAATAAATCCAAGAAGCTCACGTTTTGAACCGCTAAAGCACTCCGGCAGCCCTAGATACTTACCTGTACCTCCCTCTTGTTCAATCCCAGTAAACAATCCAAGAAGCCGTTTCATATAGGGATCCATCTTCCTCCCGAAGGTTATCGCTGATTTTTGAAAGTTAATTTCCTGTCCCGAAGCCTCTCCATAGAGCCGTAAGCAGTTAAGGAATTCAGTGCATTCTTTGAAAGTGGCCCGACAAAGAAAAAGGCTATCATCAGCAAAAAGTAGATGTTGAATTGACGGGCATCTTGGTGTGAGACGCAATCCTGTTAATCGTCCTTCTTGTTCAGCTTTATTCATAATATGTACTAAAGCTTCAGCACATAGAATAAATAAAAATGGTGACAGGGGATCGCCTTGTCGAATTCCTCTTTCCGGTTTAATGTATCCATAAGAAGAACCGTTAATGAGCACCGAATATGAGACTGATCTGACACAACTCATTGTCCATTGTACCCAACGGATATCAAAACCCAGACGAATAAGTAGTTCTTCCAAAAAATTCCACTCTACTCGATCATACGCCTTAGACATATCAGTTTTAATGGCTATGAAATCTTCATCGCAATTGGGATTTGTGCGTAGGGCATGTACCATCTCGTGCGCCAAGAGAATATTATCCGATATTAATCGGCCGGAGACAAAAGCACCTTGAGTATCGGAGACTATCGATGGAAGAAAACACTTCAGTCTATTACACATTATCTTAGAGACAATCTTGTAAATGACCGAGCATAAACTAATGGGTCGCAAATCTGTCATTCTTGAAGGATTTGGCTTCTTAGGGATCAAACAAATCTTTTTTGTTTTAGAAAACTAGGTCTAAAATGAATGAAATACCGACCTTAAAAGAAAAGGAAGATAAATTAACACATTTAATAATTAATACCAATGGCCTTACCAAGATAATTGGGCCTATTAAATCGAAACACTAACAGCAAAAGACTGGCCCATAAAATTTCTGAAGTTGGGTAAACCGGTTAAGTCCAAACCGGGAGCGACTCGTGTGTTAGTTAGTGAGCGAGATCAGTCAAAGAAAAGGCTTAATTTCACAATCGCTTGTTCATTGTCCCTCAGATCGAAGCGAAGAAGAAGAAGAAGAAGAAGAAGAGCTTAGCAACAATGGTAAATCTAGATCCGTCCATGTGTTTTCAATCACAGCTAATTTGATTTCTTTATATGTTGCTTTTCCGATTTCTGATTTTTGTTTGGTGCTCTTTTTCCGGTGAGAAGGCGGCGAAACCGATTGCGAGTCCGATTCCGGTGGCTCTGTATCCGACTTTGTCGGTGTTCACTCTTGCGATTGGCCTCGTCATTACCGCTATCTTCTTCATGTAAGCTTAAACTCGATCTGATCTCCAGATCTTCGAAATTTATACTCAGATTAGTGAAACAGTTCCTGATTGATTCGATATACCGATGATTGATTCATCTTGATTTTCATAAATGTTGATTAGAATTTCGAATATACATTGTGTAGTAGTCATGACTAGGTTATGAATTATGAATCGTGTGAGGCTCTCCTCTTGTTTGTTCACTGTATTTTGAAGCTTGAGCAACTTTTTTACTGCTTATATATATCGTTTGGTCACAATGCTGTCTCAATTGCTAGTCTCTAAATATGTCTTCTAAAGCTTCTGAAGCTACAAGTTTACCACTTTCATGATCTCTTAGTTAGATTAATTTATCCCTATTATGTTGAAATGATGTGTGCCTTTTATCCCATGGGACTCATTTAATTAGCTTTTGGAAATGTGTGAGCTCTATATGCTATCATTATATAAAGACTCAAAATGTATTAATGAGTAAGGTGATAGTCTGTGGAATGGAATCAGTGCTCTATAGTTTCACTGAGTGTGAAAAAATGACTGATCATCGATTTATTTAAGACAGAAGAAAGTTAAATTTGTATGATTCTCATTTAAGCATGGAGCTTTAACCTTTCAAAGGATGGCAAGTTTTAGGAGATATTCGGTTTGTCAAAGTAATGTGTTGTCTTGGCTACGAGCATGTGGATTAGCCTCGAGTCAAAACTTTAAGATAGACCTGAACCATTCATGTTGGCTTCTTCTGGTATTCACAGTGCTGGTTTAGATTCAGTCAGCCCAACAAGGATTGATCAAACTTTCCCTGTCATAACATTTGTGTTGCAGCTATGAAGCTACATCATCCAGGAAAAACCGAAGCCTCGGAAAGGAGCTCGCTACTTCAGCAGTTGCATCTGTCTTCTTGGTATGGCTTTTCTTCTTCATCCCCTTGACTTTGACTTTAAGAGTTGTCTTAAATCTACTGTTGGGTTGAAATTTGTTTCTCTGTTATTTGCAGGGTTTTGGATCCTTGTTTCTGCTACTAGCTAGTGGTGTTTATGTTTGATCCTTCTTCCTCAATACTATCCCAACTAGTTCAAAGACAAAAAAGACAGATTTATCTTTGTTGAAGTGAAATCAGAGTTATGAATGTTAGTTACTTTGAGAAGTAGCCTTTAAACACCAAGTTGCAATTAAATTATCTTGTGCTTTTAAACGCTAAACCGAGTTTGAATTTCACCTCCATTAGAACATCGTTTGCGTTGTTAATAAATTTAGTAAATTTCTACCAAGATTTAGTCATTTAGAAGAAAGCTTAACGCAAGTTTTGTAACAATTTATTATTTCAACCTTTTGAAGTAAATCGATGATATTTAAGTATTTTCCCGGGACGAAGTTTACTCGACGTGGCATAAATATAATATTAAAAAAAAAACAAAGGAGAAGAGAAGAAAATGGAAAGCGAAGAAGCAGCAGCGACTGTTCAAGCCACCAGGCCGAGAAGAGTATCTAGGACTCCGGTGACGGCCACTGTGCTGAAGAAGAGAGGTCGGAAACCTAAGAGCAACGACGAGTCTCATTCACCATTTTCTCAACAGCAGAGTCAAAAGGCCACTGTTGACGACAAGTACTCACAATGGAAGACTCTTCTTCCCATCCTCTATGATTCGTTTGTTAACCATACCCTCGTCTGGCCCTCTCTCTCTTGCAGGTCTGTGTTTTTTGTTTTTGGGTTTTCTGTTTCTAGGGTTTTGGAGAAAGTTTTTTCCTTTTTGGGAAATAAAAATTCAAGCTTTGTGCTTTTGGTCAGGCGATTGAGTTACATTTCCGTTTTTACTAGTGAAATGCTGATAGATTGAGAGTTTTTCGTAGCAGGTTTTTGGAATTTGTGAGATTAGGACATGTTCTAGTTAGGGTTTATGATTTAGCTCAGTCTCCATGCTTTTTATGTGTTTATTTCTCTTATAGCTCATTAGCTATCTGATGTTTCCATTTTGATCCTCTGGAACTTGTTTTGATAGGAAGATGATCGACTGGTCGTTAATAACACTTGACCAACTCGGTTATAGTGTTCTGTTTTGTTACTTTTTGGTTTCAGATGTTTAGCTGTGCTAAGAGTAAGTGAAGTGTTTAGATTTTGTGTAAAGAGGTTCGATTTCGTTGTAACTGTTGTTTGATTTGAGCAGATGGGGGCCACAGCTTGAGCAAGCAGCTTCTAAGACTCAACGTCTCTATCTCTCGGAACAAGTGAGTTTGCTCACTTTTTCTTGTGGTTTGTACATTTTTTCTTTGAGGAAAAGTATCCACAGTTTGTCTACTGACTACTGCTCCTTATGTTCACTTTTTTTTCCCTGGTTCTGTCACTAGACGAATGGCAGTGTGCCTAATACTTTGGTCATAGCCAATTGCGAAGCTGTTAATAGGCAGGTAATTAGTTTTTCTCTACCAAAGCTTGTGCTTTTGTCCTTGTGTTACTCTCTGCTGAGATGGAATTATTGAAATACCGTTTCTTTTTATGCTTTCAGCTTAATGAAGAGGCACACTCTCCATTTGTGAAGAAGTACAAGACCATCATCCACCCTGGAGAGGTGTGAGTTCTACCCCTTTTGAGAGATATTCCTGTATTCTCATTGTTGTTTCTTAGATGGATTTACTGAATCTGCATTTTGCTTAGAATTTTGAGTGCTGAAAAAGACTTTGTATTTGTACCCTTCATTAATCGCAGGTCAACAGAATCAGGGAACTCCCACAAAATAGCAAGATTGTAGCTACTCACACCGACAGTCCTGATGTAAGCTCTGCTTGCTTTCGTTATTCAGTATCCTTGTTTTGAACGTAGTTCTAGTTTCAGTCATGCAAGTATGATGATATATTGGTTTTCAGGTTCTCATTTGGGAAACTGAGACTCAACCAGACCGGTATGCTGTGCTTGGAGCTCCACATTCTCGTCCAGATTTGGTATGCTCTTGTGAAAATTTTCATTGTGTTGTCTCACTGAGTTAAACCACCTGCTTGTGGCCTTGTGCATCATTATAACAAACGAAAGAGCTACTCTTTTTGCATCATCTAAACAACTTTTATTTTCAGTTACTAACTGGGCACCAGGATAATGCTGAATTTGCTCTTGCAATGTGCCCGACCGAACCCTATGTTCTCTCTGGAGGTTTGTATCAGTTCTATCTTTGTGTCATATCTTCTTGTTTGCAAGTTTCTCATCAAAGATTCTTCCGTGCAGGGAAGGACAAGTCCGTTCTTTTGTGGAGTATTCAAGACCATATCACAATGGCTGGTACGGATTCCAAATCCCCTGGATCAAGCTTCAAGCAGACTGGTGAAGGTAGTAATAAAACTGGTTGTCCTTCTGTTGGCCCTCGAGGCGTATATCATGGCCACGAAGATACAGTTGAAGACGTGGCATTCTGTCCATCTAGGTAACTTCTTGGGTCTGTTTCCTTTTTTAAAAGCTCTTAAGTTTACACGCTAATGCAGAACTACTCAGACTTTTCTGATGCTTTTGGTAAAAAATTTGGTGATTTTTTGTTTTGTCCTGCAGTGCACAAGAATTCTGCAGTGTTGGTGACGATTCTTGCCTAATGCTATGGGACGCAAGAACTGGCACTAGTCCTGCCATGAAGGTACCTCTTTTTTTTAGCCATATCGATATTTGAGGTTTGACCTTTTGGTCTTGTTTCAGTTTCCGTCTGTTTCTTCTTGTGCGCTGGCAGGTTGAGAAGGCACATGATGCTGATCTTCACTGTGTCGACTGGAATCCTCATGACAACAATCTGATCCTGACCGGGTACTGATTTTGCAAACTTAAATACTTGTCAAAAAGTACAGAGATGCTACTCGTTCTCTCACTCTAAGCTTCTGCTTCATTTTTCCAGGTCAGCAGATAACACTGTCCGTGTGTTTGACCGCCGAAACCTGACCTCAAATGGAGTTGGTTCACCTATTTACAAATTTGAAGGCCACAAAGCTGCTGTTCTTTGTGTTCAGGTTTCAACAACATGCCACTACCTCTGTTCTTTTTTTTTGTTTTTCTCATATCATTTGTCCTGTAAATGAGAATACCTATCCCTAGTGACATTGCTTCGTTATCAATTCAGTGGTCTCCTGATAAATCATCTGTGTTTGGGAGTTCTGCTTTTTTTTTGTTTTTCTCATATCATTTGTCCTGTAAATGAGAATACCTATCCCTAGTGACATTGCTTCGTTATCAATTCAGTGGTCTCCTGATAAATCATCTGTGTTTGGGAGTTCCGCAGAAGATGGTCTCTTGAACATATGGGACTATGATACGGTTTGTACATTTTCTCAGATTTGCATTATAAAAATTTCTCTTACTTTCAAGCTCATCATTTTCATATATATGCATGTGTGCATCAGGTTGGCAAGAAGTCTGAACGTGCACCCAAAACTCCTGCTGGGCTTTTCTTCCAGCATGCTGGTCACAGGTTCTCAAGACTTAATCCTAATTCGCTTGTTTGCTTTTCCCTTTTACTCTCTTCAGTGTAATCTATAATTTCCTTGTATATATCTTCTTAGGGACAAAGTGGTCGACTTCCACTGGAGCCTAATGGACCCTTGGACTATTGTCAGTGTTTCTGATAATTGTGAGAGTAGCGGTGGAGGTGGTACATTGCAGGTAAATGGCTTGCTACATTTACTCTGGAACCTACCTATGATTACTTTCTCGGTAAAAATGAAAACTTTGATTTTAAATTAATGCAGATATGGCGGATGAGTGACTTGATTTACAGACCGGAAGATGAAGTCCTGACAGAGCTAGAGAATTTCAAGTCACATGTTTTCACATGTACCTCCAAGCCTTGAGGAAGCAATCCCATCATGTCTATTAGTAAGTTGTTGCGGTTTAGGTGTCAGTTTTTGCGAGAAAAATCGGTTTACTTATGCGATTTAGGTGTTATTTTTTGCGGGAAAATTACTTGGTTTATGTAGGCCAGTAATTCAACATATTGGTAGGTTTAGGACGTCCGGAATCTTATATGGTTCTTGATCCTGTTTCTAGGTTAATCGTAGGCACCTAACTTGCTTGTAGCTTCAAACATTGTTGTGAATCCAAACTTGGTTAAGCAAGACCAAACTAAACCAACAGATTGAAATCCAAATCTCAAGTACTTGACTTGACTCATGTGTCCCTGAACCTTTCAGTTCTACGTCCAACAACAAAAGCAGATAGAAAATTGTGGTTATTCACCTCTATTCGGTTTTATTTCAAGAAAATCTGTTCTGCATAAACCAGGCTGAACCGGACCAACTCACTAGATCTACAAAGCTATTATGCAATCTTAAGACCTGACATGACATCTATGCAAACTTGCAGACAATTGAACTTAATAATACTCTTGGGATTGTGGGCTGAGGGAGTTAGGTAGCAACATTTGAGGGAATTTATTGCATAAAATCTTCTAGTAGATTCCCTCTCTCTCTAGTTTTATAAACATCTAGTACTAAGCCTTTCATGGTTTTTGGTTTTATCTGACATTAAGTACACTACTCATTCATAGATATAAGACCATCTCATAGGGGCTTCTATAGGTTTTGTTGGATTCTCATCATTGATTCATTGCAGCTATACCAAACAAAACCTTGTTTGTCGACGCATACAAACACACACAATATACATACACACGTTTTGAGTTTTGTATGTGTATGTGAATATGCCAAACTATTTGTTTGGAAGAGGGGAGACAATTTGTGGCTCAAGGAGTACTATATCACCATTGTTCAAGATTTAGTCCTTTCTAAAATCCTAGCCATTAAACCCATTTTCTTGTCTGCTTCTCTATTCCCTCCTATCGAAATGGTTTTAGTGATGCTACACCATTCAAACCGATCATTGGCGCTCTTCACAAATTAATCTTAATGGATCATCTACCTCATTTTATTCTTGAATATATCGACTCACCAAATTTTTACTTGAGAAAGATGTGTGTGTGGTGAACCAAATTTTAAGCCTAAAGCTTGTCACCAAATTTTAAGCCTAAAGCTTGTCTAGAGTGCAAAGCTTTTAAGTAGTACTACTCTTGTTATGATCTATAAATGGATACAACGCATCTATAGTTTTGCATATTTACTATATGAGTATGAAACACGTGATAACCTGCGAGTGTGTCATTTTCAAGCTTCGAAAATCAAGGAAAAGTCCTTAGGGTCACGGGAAATACCATAGTAGCTAGATTTTTGGAGCTCAAGATTTTGACTTTCCTTCTACCTACATTTGTTTATCTACACTGACTATATGTATATGCATAGACATAATTATTTATAATTGCAACGTCAAAGTGTCTCCGTTTCGTATTTATATCTCTATAATCTTTCGGCATGTAGATTCTATCTTACAAAAAAACTGTGTATATTATACATCCTGTGAAAATCTTTTTTTTTCTGTTTGAACTTGATATAGTTATGTCCACACTTTTTTCCCAAAAATAATGGTGGTGGTTGCTCTTTTATATATTGTTCCAATTTGTCGAATATATCGGAAGGGGCAACTTATGTTAATATTATGTCCCTATTTTATACTATTATTATGATTTTGATTTTGTGTACATCAAAGTACATATAGATAGATCACACACAACTTGGGAAAAATAATAATTTTATATGTATTTGTTTTAGAACTCAAAGTTGATTCTCTTCTCGGAGAGCCAGAGCTTCTTCGGGATGTGCAAACTCATCGCAACCGACAAAAGCCTTACAAAGATTTTGTCTTTATGCTTTGCTTTTGTTATTATTTTTTCACATTTTCGAGAGTTAATAAATGTTGTGTCACAAAAAAATAATGTTATTGTGGATTTTACGTAGAAGGAATGCATATCGATTATTTCAATTATTTTTAGGAGTAATTATAGTCATCAATTAAGTCTTGATCCAAAATATATATATATTTTTCTAATAATGGGTCATTTTCTGAATTTTATAAGTTAACGACATGATAGCTTACGGATCTGCACTACCTTTGATGAAGATCCATTTCTGTGTATAGTGCAAAAGTTTGATATAATTAATTTTAACTAAAGTAAGATAAATCTGCGATAATATCTTCATCAAAAGAAAAAGTTGCGTACTTTGATCGATCTCAAAGGAAAATCTACGTTAAAAAGCATTTCTTCAGGAACATATTCGCTAGCTTAAGGAATTAATTGTTCATGGTGTGTTATGATGATTGCCTACAAATTCTAAGGGTAAAAAAGCAAAAGAAAATATATTTAGCGTCTTTATATTTTCCACTATAGAAATATGTTTTGTCTTAAATAAAATAAGTTATCGCTTCGATTGAAAAATCTTAAAAGCTACAACTTTCAAACAATAGTATTTTGACCCAAAAACAAATCATGCAAACAATACTTCTTCTACGAAAAGATTTTAACCTTTAAAAACTCTCAAACATATAAAAGAGTTTATAATGTCTTCATTGTTTTCTTTCAACGTTTCAACGGGATTCTCGTCAGTTCCACATTTTATCAGTTGATTATACATATCAATATATCTTTTTGTTTGCACAATATATTTTGATTACATGTAAGTAATTACTCTCTATATATATTATAGTCTTATAGGTTGCTGCTACAAATTAGTCAAGTGAATCATAATTTTCTTTTTTTCAGTATATGAGTAATTCAGATCTGCATGCATATACGTATGCGTAAATGAAATATGAGCAATATAATTATATAAGATGGATTATAAGTGATGACACAATCATAGTTAGATTGATGAAAATGGGTATCCAATCAAAGGGATCAGTACCACTGACTCATAATTTGCATCGTGTGGGCCTTCTTCTGTCATCTTCTTTCTTACATGTGATCTCTATCTCTCTTTCCAAAAATTAACATTTCTTTCTATTAGTTTCCTCTCTTTCATTTGTTTGTTTAATTAATTATTTTCCTACAACTTTCTAATTTGTTTATTTTTAATTACCATAATTTTTTTTTTTATATATATATACGTTGTCCATAAGATGAACTGGCTGTGTTATGTTAAGTAAATAAAATAACAAATGATCCAATAAACCTTTAACCAAGAAATTAAACAGCCCAACTCTATCAACTACCATTGTTATTGGTGATCCAAATTTTCTTGCAATTAGTTTTAGTGTCTTATAAGCATGATACTATTACTATTTATTATTATTATAAATCATAACCATTCAAATTGTGTTGCAAAGAAACAGAACAAGAAAAGACAGATGTTTATTTGAAAGATATGTAATAATGTAAACACAATAGGTATAAATATCGACACGTTGTTGGTACGTTTGGAGAGCATGTTGCACAACATGCAAATCTTTTCATCACATTGCTTATTCACTAAACAAAAAAAAAAAGCGTTTGAGGCAGTTCAACCGCCTTTAACGCTCCAAAAGTTTTTCTGTTATTCAAGTGTGTCACTCCATTTTTATTCAAATTCTAGTGAAATTAAAACAATAAAAAAAAAACATTTTTTTTCCTCTCTTAAAAGAAACCAATTAGTCATTTAGAGGATAGGTGAGGCTTGAGGTGACTTGAAATCTAATTGACATGTACATATTTTTGGACATGTGTGTTGTGTGATACTGATGCTAATAATTTGGTTTATTTACCTAAACAGCATTTAGAGGATGTTGAAAACACAGTAATTAGTAGATAATTAACCTAACTTTTGAGTATTATTATAATGACTCTGCCAATCACTAATCCATGGGTGTCAGTTTTATTGAAGTGATATTTTTAAATGTATAATTATAAAGGAAATAAATAAAATTACCAAAAAAAAAGATTAACTAAAATTTACTTAGGTCAAAACCTAAACTCAAACGATAATTGTAACTAAAATCTCTTCACTCGCTTAAGGCTCACACACATACACATACTCTCCCTTATAAATGTTGTGCCAAAGCAATCTCTCTCCATTCATTCACCTTCCTCCCGTTTCCTTCCTCTAATCCCCAAAAACACAGATAAAAATCTCTCCTTTTTTCATCACACACCGACAAGGAGATTCCTTTTAACTATGGCGAAGAAAGCAAGAATTGTTATAATCGGAGCTGGAATGGCTGGTCTCACGGCGGCTAACAAGCTCTACACAAGCTCCAACAACATGTTCGACCTCTCCGTCGTCGAAGGTGGTTCTAGAATCGGCGGTAGGATCAACACCTCTGAGTTCTCCTCGGAGAAGATTGAGATGGGTGCCACGTGGATCCACGGAATCGGTGGAAGCCCTGTTTATAGAATCGCTAAAGAGACTGGTTCTTTAGTCTCCGACGAGCCATGGGAGTGTATGGATTCCACCATTGATAAAGCTAAGACCTTTGCAGAAGGTGGGTTCGAGATTGAGCCTTCGATTGTTGAATCCATCTCTGGTTTGTTCAATGCTCTCATGGAGTTAGCTCAGGGGAAAGAGATCTCTCAATCCGACGCCGATTTGGCTCGTTTGTCTCATATTTACGAAACTGCCACTAGGGTTTGCTCTAATGGAAGTAGTAGTGTTGGGTCGTTTCTGAAATCTGGGTTTGATGCTTACTGGGATTCAATCAGCAATGGAGGAGAAGGAGGAGATGATGGAGTTAAAGGGTATGGGAAATGGAGTAGAAAATCTCTTGAAGAAGCCATTTTTACGATGTTTAGTAACACACAGAGGACTTACACATCTGCTGATGATCTCTCGACGCTTGATTTCGCGGCGGAGAGTGAGTATCAGATGTTTCCAGGAGAAGAAATCACTATAGCTAAAGGCTATCTCAGTGTTATTCATCATTTAGCATCTGTTCTTCCTCAAGGTGTTATCCAGTTGAATCGAAAGGTGACGAAGATCGAGTGGCAGAGTAACGAAGTGAAGCTGCATTTCTCAGATGGGTCTGTTGTTTTTGCAGATCATGTTATTGTTACTGTCTCTTTAGGTGTGCTTAAAGCAGGGATTGAGAGTGATGGAGAATTGTTTAGTCCTCCTTTGCCTGATTTCAAATCAGATGCTATTAAGAGGCTAGGTTATGGAGTTGTCAACAAGCTGTTCGTTGAGATGTCTCAGAGAAAGTTCCCGTCTCTGCAACTTGTGTTTGACCGGGAGGATTCTGAGTTTAGGTTTGTGAAAATCCCATGGTGGATGAGAAGAACAGCGACATTAACCCCAATCCATAGCAATTCGAAGGTCTTGCTTTCTTGGTTTGCAGGCAAAGAAGCTCTCGAGCTTGAGAAACTAACCGATGAGGAGATCATAGACGGTGTCATGACCACTATCTCTTGCTTGACAGGCAAGGAAGTCGAGAAAGATACCGCAAAGACTTCAAGGCCCTTGACTAATGGCTCTTTGAAAGATGATGATGATGATGAAGTCATGAAGATCACAAATGTCTTGAAGAGCAAATGGGGAAGTGATCCTCTGTTTCGCGGCTCCTATTCGTATGTGGCGGTTGGGTCAAGCGGAGATGACCTAGACGCCATGGCTGAGCCATTGCCAAAGATTAATAAGAAGGTTGGTCAGGTCAATGGTCATGATCAAGCCAAGGTTCATGAGCTTCAAGTCATGTTTGCAGGGGAAGCAACACATAGAACCCATTACTCCACAACTCATGGTGCCTACTATAGTGGTTTAAGGGAAGCCAATAGGCTTCTCAAGCATTACAAATGTAATTTTTGAGTGTTAATTTTTAAGAATATGTTCTGTTTTTTTGGGTAAAATGTGTTTAGAGAAGCATAATTAGTTTTGTAAGATTTTTTAATTGTTTACCTTCAATTTGGTTTTTCTTTTACTGTTTTTACTTTTTCTTCATTACAAATTCACAGCCACTTTCCAATCTAAAAAAAGCAAATGTTCTGAATTTCTTCGTAGATGAGTTTCAGGGGACAAAGGATATTAAATAAATCAAAAAGGAAAGTTAAAAAGGAAAGCAAGATATAAAGATGTATAATGGAATTTACATCTTTGTTTGTTCCCTCACTAGTCACTTTTAGTCCCTTGTACTATTTTTTTTTTCTCTTTATTTCTTTAATAATTTTTGTGTCACATTATCAAAATAAGTGTGGAAAATCTTTATAATTATAAGAAAAATAAATGAACCAAAATATTATCAATTTATTTTGGTAGTTTACTAAATATACCTTTCAACTTCACAAAAACCAAAAGAAGGAATTGGATGAATATGACTAGAATCAAAAATTTTGATTTAAAAATTTTCCAATATTTAAAGTCAAAATGATGTTCTAGACTAAAAAACAAAAGCAGATTTCTTATAAGAAAATACAGTTGGAAATTGGAAGAGGAAAGGAACAAAAGAAAAAGCTTAGGATGCTCCCTACCTATATATATATATATACAAACAACCCCTAAGAGATTCTTAAATTTTTATTTTGTGTGGTGAGCTTTCATGGACAGGATCCGCCGAACCCGCCTAGTTTCCAGCTTGCAAAGCCATATATTAACATTTATATATACCTTTTTATGAATCAACTCTTATATATAACTTCATGTTTTCCTTTTTATGTAGACAATGAATCCGGGATCAAAACACAAATTAATCTCCGACATCTATAAAATTTGCCTCTTAAAACGATTACAATTATCAACCACAAGACTTTCTACATATGTCGAATCATCATTAACCATTGTACCACCATAAATTTGTTGAAATAATTGAGCCTATATAAGATTCATATTCAGATTTGAGTGATGGAATGTATAACATTGAGAGAGTGGTATCATATGGACTAGTCTTCTCTATTTTACACTAGGATTATTAACTGTCTTTATGCTCACATATACAGTATGATCATGTATGTGCATCATGGTCCTACGAAAGAGCATCAACATATATTGAAAATAAAAATAAAATTAATAATATATAGAGAGATGAATGGTCATGATCATCTTCACATTGGTTCCCAAATCAATTGATTTGATTCAACAGTTATGTACAATGTGTAATGAACAAGTGGTAGTGGTAGGGTTTTATTTCACCAATTTGCTTTCTATCCGTATATCTTTAATTTCAATTATTTCAGGACTCTTTTAATCTGATTTTATATTACTATAAATATAATTACAAGTATGTTGTAGATATTGTCTATCAAATCCTAACCTACTTTGAATCTATTCTTAACAGAAAAAGAGCCCATAATATAAAAAAAAATTGCATTTCATGGTATTAATATAATCTGTTTTATTAGAAAAAACTATAAAATCGGAGTTCCATTAAGAAAACTAAGCATATCTACAAGTTGGTTCGCTAACACTCAAATAACATATCGGGATCTTGGTTGTGACATGTTGTGTCCAATTTAGAAAAAAAAAAGTATCCAATTTAGAAAAGGGAGACAAAAAAACTGTGTTTTATAGCAAATATCATCTACTCAAGTGGGCTTTAATTTGTATAGTATAAAATATATATCTGACTTTTATTTAACAGGGGACATATTGACATATTGTGTTAATTATAATATCACATATGTTTATATTATCTTAAGAACTGCAAAAAAAAAAAGTTCTTTTATTTAACTTATGTCCCGAAAACTCATTAAAGAGATGTTTTAACATATTTTTGCTATCTACATTTACTGCGAAATGAATAGTTAATCACTTAATTTCTTTTTTTAATCAAACGAAATAACGTAAACCACTAAAATGCAAACTTTGATTTATAATATATGAACCCATATTGCCTATGATATAAATAATATGAACCTATATTGCCTATGATATAAATATATGTAAACGTCTGTCCAATATGTTTTTATACATTTTGACGGATGAACATAGTCCCAAACTTTAATTATTATACAATTTGGAAATTTAATATCGAAGTTTAGATTAATACCGGAATACGAAAAAATTCGAATATAATTGTGGAATGACTTAAATTCTGGTCCCTTAATTAACAAGGTAAAACCCCTTCAACAATTAGACCACTAACACGAACCCTAAACACCGACATGATTTTCTTTCCATTTAGTGTTTTCTAAGAAAATTTTTAATTATTTCAATTAGTTGAAAATTATTTATATATGCAAATGATTTTAGTAAGAAATGTTTTAAAATAATTGTCCGGTAAGCAAAAAAATGTGTATAAAATTAAAATATATAAGCAAATATAGTGTTAATAATATTATCACGACATAGTTGGATATGTAGACGTAGTTAACATCTACAGTAAGCATTAAACAAAACCAATATTAAATGAATTATACGCAAATTTGATATATTTGAAATCATTCCACTTGTTTTTGTAGGACTCGATTTTATTGGTACCATAGTGGAAGCGAAAAATAATTAATCACATCTTAGTCACATCAAATTATAGTTGATTTTGCAACCGAGACATTCCAGATACTCTATCATAATCAATAATTCTTCCCTTCAATCATGTAATGAAAAAAAAACATGGTCGAACCAACAAAGATTGGATGTTTTTGGATATTTATTAACAAATATGAACCAAAAAATTAAAAAAAAAGTCTCTTTTTACTAAAAATTCAGCATATCCAGAAATCTAAATCCTTTTATTTTTTAATGATATCCGATTTATACCCTTTATTACATATTTTCTGATGTTTCAGTGCCAATATGTTTATTGTTTGTATGGTCAAATCAAAGAGAAAGATACTCAATTGGACTCCACTCTATTATTGTGAAACAATTTGATTTGCTTTTTTTTTTTTCATTCCTAAAGACAACAAGAATGTCCCACTGGTTGTCTTTTTCCAAATTAGTGAAAATAAAATAAACAAATTATAAACGCTAAAATATAATTGAAAATCGAATGCTGCCCCCCTAAGCGTCTTTTTTTTTGTTCAACACTGCCCCCCTAAACGTCTATCACACTTTTTTCATTGGTCTATGAGAAAACACCCAACCACAACAGAAGACAATAATTTTATATTCAAAAAAGTATAAAAATAAATCTTTTAAAAAGTGAGTGAAATAACTCATGGAGCCTTGATTGCTGGTAAACTAAATTTAATTCTATTATTTTGGTTTTTTAAATGGTCTATATAGAAAATCTATTATAAAACATTATGGTCCATACCTACTAGTCTACTACAATGGTCCGGATTATCAAAACTGAAATCTGTTGATCGATGACTCTAACTCCAACGAACTACAGGTGGTGTGGTTTAGATCCTTAAAGACAGTCAATAATTAGTGAGGTGGGTTAGTGCACGGTCTATACCTCAGATAAACTTTGCACTAGAAACATATGTTGAAGTTCTTCGGGCAATCTTTTTTATACAGTCGGAACCTCGGCTACAACATCGTCACCTTTGTAACGGATGTTGTCACAGAGATTTTGCATCACATTTCTTGGCCCGTGCTTCAACCTTTCCGACAAGATATTTAAGTTATAGCTCATCTCTTTTTTTTTACCTTTTGCAATCTTGGTCAAGTATGGATGATCCCATTTATATACAGCCTCTTGTTATGGCTGATATAAACTGTTATTGCAATCACGTTGTTGCCTTAATCAATGCTAATTTAATTAGTTTTAAGAAAAAAAAATCTTCAACGAAATTATACTGTACAATTATTTTTCATGACATTAGTTTTATGGTGTTTTACTCGATAGAATTATACATTTATACTTATAATACCATACGATATGATAGATATGTCTTCGTCACGTGGTTTACACACATATAAGCATGCTGATCGGATATGTTCCAACATAGTTGCTTTATATGGTATGATATGTAGTATCTTACTGTGCAAAAATATTGAAATTTATAAGAGAAAAATATCGATCAAGTCTTTTTTTTTTATATTGATATATAAAACCTTAAAATATACATCCAATTTTGTAAAGGTGTGAAATTAGCTTATCTTTCGTAAATTTACTCTAAAAAGCTTGAAAGATTTATCTCGTCTTGCAGATTATTGTAAAATAACACTGTTTTTACCTTCATCTCAAGTTACATAAATGGATTATCTATAACACGTAATCTCAATTAACTCCATAATTTTTGTTTCATACTAGTACACCTACCTCTGCCAACAAATTAAGTGTAGTTTTCATCGTCAACATAATTTTATGGTACAGAATTAAATAATCCATGATCATTTGGGAAAGAATAAATAAAGAAAAGAAGAGAATAATTAATAATACTTCACATTCATAATAAGATTTGCCTGAGCTTTTTGACCAATTTGGTGGCAACACATGAGTTGATGGAAGAAAAGAAAAGTTAAATAGATTATAAAAAATAATATAAAATCTACATGAGCTAATAGTTAAAGAAGATGGACGTAAAAAAAATTTGTGAGAAGATGTTTCACCTAATGTATATTTTTCTCCATCTTCACAAAACTACAAATGAAAATATCAGATCCTGAGGAATCTCTTCCTTTCTTTTCCAAATATCATGACAACTAATCATTAGTAATCAATAAAATTAAAAAATCATTTGTGTTTTGGAAAATTATGATAAAAAAAATCGAACAACCCATCAATGCATCACAGAGTAACTTTTGTGTCTTTTCTTATCTGTCGATTTTTTACTGTCTAACTCTTACTTTTGTCCTAACAAAATCCTTTTCTAAAGCTGCGATGATTATCATTTTCATCACCTTTTTACTATATATCACTAAAATTTATATTATAAAAAGGAATTAATCATCTCAAAATGAATTATTTTCTATAACGTATGTACGTCAAAAGATCTTAAGGCTAAAGTTAAAATAATGTTCCTTTTTGATCAAAAAAAAGAAGCAAGTAATGTTCCTATTATATTGCTAGAAAAAAAGTTGAAAATATTACCTGATGCTTCCATTATTTTTCAAACGGCTTTGAGAATGTACAATTCATTAACATTTTGTATTCATCCTTAACATGATCATTTTTGTATTCTTTTTAGTTTTGTGGTTATGATTTTATTTTTATTAGATATATATATCATAGTGCACTTGGGGTGATATGTGAATTAAGTAAATTATCTCATTGGTATCAAAAAATTATTTTGGTTGTTGTTCCTTTATAAAGCTTTTTGTGATTATTATGTTATACAAAAGTAGACCTATCTAACTAAGTTAAAGTAACACATTATATATAGCTAGGGTAGCATCTATCTTTTAATACATACCCCACGTTGTTGTTTTTTTTTTTTTTTTTTTTTTCGTCACATACCCCACGTTGTTGAAGAAAAAAGATATGTCAAAGAAAAATAAGACGTAAGAAAAACTAAATGTGCTAAGAAGGAATCTTGAATACTAGGTAGCAATAGGTCGTCTTTGGTCGTTTATTTTTGTAGACTTTTTGATTTGTTAATTTTCTCAAAGTGAACCAAAGTGATGATTACAACAAAGTGTCCAATATTGAAATGGACTGAGATGGCCAAATGAGAAGGTTTACATGGCTTCTTTGCATTTGTCTGTCCCTTCACTAAAATTCAAATGGTTGATGCTAATTAATATCTTCTTGGATCTGTCCTTTTCTAATTCTGGTTACATGGTCCCTTTTCATTTTCATTCCATGGAAATTCGAAGAAAACAAGATGAAGAAAACGAAGCAAAATTTATGTTATGTATCTGATTAAAATTTGGTTGAGAATGTTAGAGTCCATATTTTTCATATACTGATACTAATGATAACTCAATCTTCTACACACTTATTATTATGACTCATAAGCCGATATATGGTGATAAATTTTTATCTAATCAAAAAACATTTTGTTGGTATTATTTAATCAATTAACGGTTTCAAATGTAAGCAGAAGAGTTTAACAAAATTTTATAGAAGTTTATAGTTAAACAAACAAAAGAAAAAGTTTAGATACATTCTCACTTATTTTAAAATTTATAGAGATTAGCCAATATAATATATAGTTATATACCACAAAATTATCACTACTTTTTTTTAATGTAGTACGTATAAATTATTTAGGAAGTTTACCAACTGATTTATGTACTCCTAAAATATATGATGTTCGTGTCCGATTTTTTATTTCTGGAAAATGAATTTGGCCTTGCATATATCAATACAATACTATCATGACCAACAATGCTTATAGCTTCTTTATCAAAAAAAAAAAGGGTAAAAAAAGAAGAAGAAGAAAAACTATGCTCATATATAGGTTTGAGGTTTCCATTTATTTATATTTGTTTTCTAAATTTTGCATGTAAACATTTCTTCAAACATCCCTACAACGTGGAAAAAAAGAAAAAAAGAAAAGCATCACTACAACAACACAATTTGATGTACCTTTGAAAGAATTGTATAATTAAAATATGTCCACCTTTTTATTTGTTTCTAACGTGTAAGTGCCATATGGCAAAATATGGTTCATACAATCATCAAACTCATGAAATTATTAAAGCCAATGACCTCGTGGATCATGGTACATAAGTTATATTTACTCCCCCAAGTAGCTTTACACAAAGATTCAATCATTAATTAGTCAGGTCTCCATCATTTAGTTTTGTTAATCACGGTTTAAGAACAACTGAATGCGTCATCTCAATATTGCATTTCGCAGTTCCATCATTTTGTAAATTTAATGACCAAAATAAATAAAAATATTTTGAAAAATTAACGATAAAAAGAAATTTTTCACAAATCAACTAGTCATGATTCGGGTACGAAATTTCAATCCTTATAGCTATCAGGCATTTTTTGTCCATATAATATTTATAAATTTCCAATATGTGTAAGAATGTTTATGTACTTCAAAAAAAAAAAAAGTTTTATGTACTTCCAAAGTATGTCAAGCATCACCTAGCTATATGAAACTCTTCCAACCTAACCGGTTTACCTGCAACCTTAAACGTTAACCTCTATCCAATAGATTTACGGTCTTAATCATGAGATGGACACTAAATCCAAATTATTCTTTGATTCATGATTGTGACTAGTGAATCTTTTTTTTTTTTTGAGCAAATGTGAATCTAATTGTTAGAACTATTGTAACATATAACAAAATCACGATCATTTACCAACAAATTCACAATTTTCTCACTATAATCATTATCTTTGTCGATATCATATATGACTATGACACATGATCATGCCTTATTTACGAAAAGAAGAAAAAAAACGCGAGTTGAAAAGTATATTCCATCATAAAAATCAACCCATGAAATTGATATACGTACCATCAATTTTTTGGTTAATTAATATTTTAAAAAATATTAATTAACCAAAAAATATTAAAAATGTTTTTATCGTCAGAAAAAATTTAGAAAATTCTCTCTAAAATTTCCTTTGGGCTACATTCAGAGCCCAGCAATTTCACAAGGCCAAGAAATTCGAAGAAATATTTAACACTGAACCAATAATAAATTAGCATGGGCTTATACTTCCATTTATTATTATATGGCCATCTCTTGTCGGAGGAAGAGTCAACGACAAACACGTGAGTAAATTCCAGTCGGCAAGATCAGATCATATAAACGGTTCTCCCACGTGTGGGTCATGCTCATGCAGATGATAGTAATGTTATTCGTTTTGGTAGAGTCAGATCATAATTATACTGATAATGTGTCTTGTACGTATTATTGCACCTAGTCTAATTGGCATTGTAATTATTATAGGAAACTGTTCCTCGCTGCAAAGTTGTAAATATTATTCACGGGCAAATTATTCATAGATTGCCTTCAAGATTTGGAAATATTCAAAAATAATTATCGTCATTTTACATTTATAGGACCACATCAAACACAGGCTATCCAGTCGTTGAAGAGCCCACCACGAAATGTTCTATCTCAAGACCGTAAGATCAGATATCAACGGCTCTCACACATCTGGATCATGCAGATGACAATAATGATAATATGACTTTTACCTAACTCTTGTATTGCAATTATTAAAGGAATCTGTTTCTACTGTAAACATATATTGTTTGTTCACAAAGTGACAAAGTTTTCAAAGTAATAAAATTTCCAAAATGTTAGAGGACATTTATCAATAGTATTAAATGTAATTGCAATGCCAATTTTCTTTAACAAATATCATCATGGCAACACCCGTTTTTATTCAAATTGTAAGTAGTTCAATGAAAGATATATAAGATCAATAATCATATTTCCATCATTACAATAACTGATTAAAATCTTGGTAGATGTGATATATAGCTAGTGATAGTTCTATTGTTCAAAACACCAACTCAACACACAACACCAAATCCAAATTGAGACACGCACCAATTTTTAGAACATATAGTATCGAATTTTTTATGGCGAAGCCTCAAATGCTTTACATCACGAGGACTAATGTTAAATTAAAAAAAAAACGGAGAAACATTCTCACTCTATAAAAAAACATGAGCTGCAAGGACCACAAAAGACAATATTTCCAATGGCCAAAACCAAAAATGTTCTGTCTCCCAAACTTTCTCTCATCCTTCTTAATATTTTCATCATAGCCACCATCGCAGCCGTAGCCAACGCCGGTAGCAATGATTTGGGTTCTCGGTCGTCCAAAACCAGGCGTCCCTGGCCCTTCAAGAAGCTCAACAAATCGGTGGTTTTAATGATTTCCAGCGACGGTTTCCGTTTCGGTTACCAATTTAAAACCGACACACCAAATATCGACCTTCTCATATCCGGAGGAACCGAGGCCAAAAGCGGTTTAATCCCGGTTTTCCCCACCATGACGTTCCCAAACCACTACTCTATCGCAACCGGACTCTACCCGGCTTACCACGGTATAATCATGAACACGTTTACCGATCCGGTTACTGGAGATGTGTTCAACAAAGGTTTACAACCAAAATGGTGGTTAGGTGAGCCGCTATGGGTAACCGCAGTAAACCAAGGTCTCAAGGCTGTGACTTACTTTTGGCCAGGCTCTGAAGTTCCCAAAGGTTCTTGGACTTGCCCTAAAAGATACTGTCCACGTTTCAATAATTCGGTTCCTTTAGAAGAAAGGGTCGATTCGGTCTTGAGCCATTTCGATCACCCTGAGGACGAAATTCCTGATTTGCTGATGTTGTATTTCAATGAGCCGGACAAAGCAGGTCATAACTATGGTCCTGACGATCCTCGGCTTACAAATGCGGTTTCGAGGATTGATAAAATGATTGGTAGGGTGATAGAGGGGCTTAAGAAGAGAGAGATATTTGATGAGGTGCATGTGATACTGCTTGGTGATCACGGAATGGTGACCAACTGCGAATGTAACGAGAAAGCGATTTACACTGATGACTTGGCGGATTGGATCAAGATACCTGCGGCTTGGATCCAATCTTACAGCCCAGTGCTAGCAATTAATCCACTGTGGGGGGAAAATGTCGAGAATCAAGGCGAAAAGAACGCGGAAGTCGTGGCAAAGATGAACGAAGCTTTGAGCTCAGGGAAAGTAAAAAACGGAGATTTTTTGAAGGTTTACTTGAAGGAGAAGTTACCGGAAAGACTGCATTATTCCGAGAGCTATCGGATTCCACCAATCATAGGAATGGTCGGAGAAGGTCTAATGGTGAGACAGAATAGAACAAATTCTCAAGAATGCTACGGAGACCATGGTTTCGACAACAAGTTCTTCTCAATGAGGACTATTTTTGTCGGACATGGTTCTAGGTTTAGGAGAGGAAAGAAAGTGCCATCGTTTGAGAATGTGCAGATCTATAGCGTCGTTGCAGATATTCTTGGACTCCGACCAGCTCCGAACAATGGTTCTTCTTTGTTCCCTCTGAGCCTTCTCTTGCCTTTCGGAGCAACAAGGGAAATAGAATATGAAGTCTAATATCCCTTAGCTCATGAGAGCACTCATGAATAGTAAATAAGCTGATATTATGCGAGTGACTAATGTATGTGTTTTATCATTTTGTATGATGGATGTGTAGTAACTAAAAAAAAGGACTAAAACCATTCACTATTTAATACTCACATATAAAATTAGGTCCACTGAGCCATAATATCTAAAATCTTATCAAAACTCAAAAGCTCTTTACTCATCCAAATTATCTAAAATCTTATCAAAACTCAAAGGCTAATACACAGTCTTATTTGGCTACATTCTACCTTAGGCTGGTCCCAAAAACTCTTAGCCCGTATAGAGTTGGCATAGGCGTATTTTACATTTTATAGGCCAACGTCAAACACATGGCCATCCCAGTCACCACGAAAGGATATATCTTAAGGTGAAAACACGTGAGTTAAATCAAGACCGTATGATCAGATATCAACGGCTCTCCCACATCTAGATCATGCAGATGACAATAATGTGAACGTGGCTTCTACCTAACTCTTATTTAAAGAATCTGTAGACATTGTTCACAAACTGCCATAAAGAGTTTTAGAAAGTAGTCAAAATTCCAATATTTTGAGGACTTTTTTTTATGTCATTCGATAAAATATATAGAGTGGTTGATGTAATTTTCTGTCCAAATTTTCTTTTTAACGAAATACCTCTATGTCCGTTTTAATTTTATTTTTTCAACGTACTTTATAGTTTTTTTTAATTCAATTTTTTCTTACTTTATTATAAGAATAGGATCAATAATCACATTTCCATCATTTCAATAATTGATTAATTCTGGCTAGATGTAATATTTACGTTGTAGTTTATAAATCATTGTACTAGACAATTTATCGTTCAAAACACCAACTCGACTCACAAGCAGCTATAATATATAATACTACTACTACTGCTACTAAAAACAAAAAAAAACCATAACATTTTCATAATCCATGCATTACATTAGGATTATTTACCATCAAGTAAGTTTCAATGAAATATCTATGAATGCTTTACATGACGACTATGTAACATCAAGTTAATTTCAATAAAAGTCAAAATATGTTTTTAGAAAGTAAGGAGAAACATTTTCACGCTCTATATATAGATAACATGAGCTGAAAGAACCATAACAAACATTCTTTCCAATGGCTAAAACCAAAACTTTTCTTTCTTTCAAACTTTCTCTCATCCTTCTTAATATTTTCATCATATCCATCATCGCAGCCGCAGCCGCCGCTAACGCCCGTACCGATGGGTTAGATTCTCCGTCGTCCAAAACATGGCGTCCTTGGCCATTCAAGAAGCTTAACAAACCGGTGGTTTTAATGATTTCTTGTGACGGTTTCCGGTTTGGTTACCAATTTAAAACGGAAACACCAAACATCGACCTTCTCATATCCGGAGGAACCGAGGCCAAACGCGGTTTAATCCCGGTTTTCCCCACCATGACGTTCCCAAACCACTACTCTATCGCAACCGGACTCTACCCGGCTTACCACGGTATAATCATGAACAAGTTTACCGATCCGGTTACGGGAGAGGTGTTCAACAAAGGCTTACAACCGAAATGGTGGTTAGGTGAGCCGCTGTGGGTAACCGCAGCAAACCAAGGTCTCAAGGCTGTGACTTACTTTTGGCCAGGCTCTGAAGTTCCCAAAGGTTCTTGGACTTGCCCTGAAGGATATTGTCCACGTTTCAATCTTTCGATTCCTTTAGAAGAAAGGGTTGATTCGGTCTTGAGCCATTTTGATCACCCTGAGGACGAAATTCCTGATTTGCTGATGTTGTACTTCGATGAGCCAGACCAATCGGGTCATAACTATGGTCCTGATGATCCTCGGGTTACGACTGCGGTTTCGAGGGTAGATAAAATGATTGGTAGGGTGATAAAGGGGCTGAAGAAGAGGGAGATCTTTGATGAGGTTCATGTGATATTGCTTGGTGATCACGGAATGGTGACCAACTGTGAATGTAACGAGAAAGCGATTTACATTGATGACTTAGCGGATTGGATCAAGATACCTGCGGCTTGGATCCAGGCTTCCAGCCCAGTGCTAGCAATTAATCCTCAATGGGGCAAAGATGTGGAGAATCAAGGCGAAAAGAACGCGGAAGTCGTGGCAAAGATGAACGAAGCTTTGAGCTCAGGGAAAGTAAAAAACGGAGAGTTTTTGAAGGTTTACTTGAAGGAGAAGTTACCGGAAAGACTGCATTATTCCGAGAGTTCTCGGATTCCACCGATCATCGGAATGGTCGGAGAAGGTCTAATTGTCAGACAGAACAGAACAAATGCTCAAGTTTGCTATGGAGACCATGGTTACGACAACGAGCTCTTCTCGATGAGGTCTATTTTTGTCGGACATGGTTCTAGGTTTAGTAGAGGGAAAAAATTGCCATCCTTCGAGAATGTGCAGATCTATAACGTCGTTGCAGAGATTCTTGGACTCCGACCAGCTCCGAACAATGGTTCTTCTTTGTTCCCTCGGAGCATTCTCTTGCCTTTTGGAGCAACAAGGGAAATAAAATGAAGTAAAAAATCTCTTAGCTCATGAATAATAACTAAGATGATAATTGATAAATGAGTGACTACTAATCTATGTGCTCAATCTTGTGACCCTTAAAGTTTTTGAATAACCAGGTTTCGTGGACTGAAGCCACGTTGATAAAACAATTCGGCATCTTTTCGTTTATATTCGCATGACCTAAATTCTTCCTTATTACAATTTATGTCATTTTTGTATGGTTTAGTAGTCACATCATACAGTCATACACTATGCAATACTCAAATCTATAATTATTTCTACTGATTTATATATTGCAGTCAGTCGCATGTAACTCTCAATCAATAAAAGTCCACTTTAGTAAATATTATATTGATGGTAGCATCTATTCACCATATCCATGATCTGAATTAAATTTATCACATTAAAGTTAATCAATAATAGTGATAAGTAAAAAAAATCTCTCTTTTTCTCAATCTCTCTCCTGATATGTCAATTGTTTGATATATAAAACTCTCTGATTTGTTTAAATTTTGGGAGATAAGACTGGAAAATAGAAGAATGGTTGGTATAAACGATAAACCTAGAACATTTGATATATTCTTGTTGAGCTTTTGAGCTAGTAAAACATGTGATAGAAACCTCAGTTGCATCAACAGGAGTGGTTTTTTTTTTCCGTTGTTACTTAATTCCTTTACAAAGAAATCTCTTTTAACTTGTGAGGTTTTTTTCGACAAAAAAAAAAAACTTGTGAGGTAATTTTGATCTGAAAGGAGAGGTTTTAGAGACCAGACCATACCAGACAAATGGTGGTTCAAGTACTTTGTTCCTAATACAATTTTTTTCATTTTAAATATATTCGATTTCTTAGATCTTGGAGACTAGTCTAGATTTTGGCTAGAAATCTACTCCTATAAAATATATTTTACTCACCGTTTTCTTTATCATTTCACCAATTTCCATTTTGTTGATGAAGTCACGAATCTCAAGTCCGATCCTATTCGGCCATCCCTATGTATTAAAAATAAAGATCCGGACGTGAAAGGCTTCTGAAAAACATGGGAAAAATCAGAGATCTCAACAACTTTTCAGTAGTGTGAGTCATTTTAATTCATATGTTAATACTACTATCGTAATAGCATTTAAAAACCATACGTTGCTTTTATTGATTTGAGATTAGAAAAAGAATAGCTGACAAGATCAATCAACACTACAAAAAGTAATTATGACCCACGATCACCTGCCACTTAACACTAGAAAAAGAATAGCTAGTTAATCAAAAAAAAAAAAAACAACTCTATGTAAAGAAAAAAAGAAATTTGCCGCTCTATAAAGAATGTGAACGTTGCTGAGCTCAACCACCATCAAAACTCTCTCTCTCTCTCGATGACTAAAAGTAAACCTGGCCGGTCCTGTTTTTCCGGTTACACCATGTACAAGTTATCTCTAACCTTTCTCATCGTCCTCGTCGTAGCCGTCACTGCCGATGGTTCGGACTCTCCATTGTCCAACGCTAGGAGACCCCAGCCCTCCAAGAAACTCAACAAACCGGTGGTTCTATTGATTTCCTGCGACGGTTTCCGGTTCGGTTACCAATTCAAAACAGAGACACCAAACATCGACCTGCTTATATCCAGAGGAACCGAAGCTAAGACCGGTTTAATTCCGGTTTTCCCCACCATGACGTTCCCAAACCATTACTCAATCGCCACCGGACTCTACCCGGCTTCCCACGGTATAATCATGAACAAATTTACGGATCCGGTAAGCGGGGAACTATTCAACAGGAACCTAAACCCTAAATGGTGGTTAGGTGAGCCGTTGTGGGTGACGGCGGTGAACCAAGGGCTCAAGGCTGCGACTTACTTTTGGCCAGGCGCTGACGTCCACAAAGGCTCTTGGAACTGCCCAAAAGGATTTTGCAAAGCGCCTTACAATGTTTCGGTTCCTCTAGAAGAAAGAGTCGATACGATATTGAACTATTTCGATCTTCCAGAGAGCGAAATCCCCGATTTCATGGCTCTGTATTTCGACGAACCGGACATACAAGGCCATGAGTACGGCCCTGATGATCCTCGCGTCACGCAAGCGGTCTCAAAGGTCGATAATATGATCGGTAGGATCATAAGAGGGTTGAAGAAGAGGAAGGTTTTTAGTGATGTTCATGTGATATTGCTTGGTGATCACGGAATGGTTACTAACTGTGACAAGAAAGTGATTTACATTGATGATTTAGCGGATTGGATCAAGATACCAGCGGATTGGATCCAAGATTATAGCCCGGTGCTAGCGATGAATCCACGGTGGGGCAAAGATGTCAAGAATCCAGGCGAGAAGAATGCGGAACTCGTGGCGAAGATGAACGAAGCTTTGAGCTCAGGGAAAGTAGCCAACGGAGAGTTTTTGCAGGTTTACTTGAAGGAGAATTTACCGCAAAGGCTACATTATTCCGATAGTTCTCGGATTCCACCGATCATCGGAATGGTCGGAGAAGGTCTAATGGTTAAACAGAACAGAACATACGTTCAAGAATGTTCCGGAACTCATGGATACGACAACATGTTCTTTTCCATGAGATCCATCTTTATTGGATATGGTCCAAGGTTTAGGAGGGGAAGGAAAGTGCCGTCGTTTGAAAATGTTCAGGTCTATAATGCTGTTGCAGAGATTCTCGGACTCCGACCATCTCCGAACAACGGGTCTTCTTTGTTTACTCGTAGCCTTCTCTTGCCCTTTGGAGAAACATTGCAAGTAGAATGAAGCTAAATAAAAACCTAAGACTGTAATGTCTTTGAAGTTTGTTTCAGCAGAAATTATGGCTTTTAGTTTCGGATGCATTTTAATGTTTCAGCTCTAAATCAATGTATCAACAAATAATTTGTTATGGAATAATTTTGCTAGTATAAGACTAAAGTTTTACAAGATACTTAAGTAGAGTTAAATAGACCTAAATTATTTGAATCAACATATTGAATTATGAATACAATTTTTACGTTTACACCAACTAATGCATGTAGCTCTACGAATTAAAAGAAAGAAAAAAAAAGTTGGCTGTATTTATTGTCTCTAAATGCGCTGGTATTTGAGATATACTCCATACATTATCTTCTTTCTTATATTTATTGGATCTCTATCATATAGTATATCAACGGAAATGTAATTTTATTTCAATAGTATTTGGTTATTTTCTGACCACTTGGTGGAACTCGTGACAATATTTATTGATACGTTGGAACTTTCAAAATGAAAGTTAGCATTTTGAAAGTTAGCTAGATAAGCATTTTGGCTTAAAATATTATCGAGTGAATAAGATAGTAATTAACACTAATGTGATTAACACTGACGTGAAGACTGCGGTCTATGAATTTATATCACTAGTTTATTATTTTGGAAGATCTTTACCATGTGACTGACTATATCTCATAAAATCCAATCTCATGATCCATTTTCTATACGTAGTTATCGATGTTAAGTTAATGCTAATCACCTATCATCGCGGTCGCCTACGTCGAATTCGAGATTCAAGAATGTAGCAGAAGATTTTATAAAATTACAAACTGATATAACAATCTCATTTCAAATAATTCTATTTTATTGTTCGATCTGCTAGTTTCCAAAGTTAATTATCAGTACTTTGTTACACTTTTATTTTTGTTCGATAAAAGGTTAAGACTTAAGACATTTCTTATCTTTTGTTAACACTAGGCATGCAAGAGCTTAATTGGTTGATTTAGTAGTATGTGAAATTTTCTGGTTCAGTTTCATATGTCAAGTTACAAGTGACATGTGCATATATCACCAGATTAACCTCAATTTTACCCTTCAATTAAACAATGATCCAAGAACGTGCAACTATACAACAAACAAAGTTACTGCTGGAACTTTAGTTTAGATTTGTTTGTTTTTTTCAATGAAAGAATAACCAACCACAATATATTCTCATAACGTGCATTTACCTGAACCAAGATGAATCTGCCAGAGCCATCCATCACCATCACTAAAGAATTGAAATGAATAAGAGAGAGTGAGTGAGGATACTAAACCGGGTCTCTTTGATACAACAAGTCAACAACAAAGACTAGGACCATAAGACCACGAACCTAATGCGTGTTACACAATAAACCGTGTCCATGGTACAACAAAGTGTGTGAGGATACTAAAAACTCTTTGGTACAACAAGTCAACGTGGCTGATTCACGAGCGTCCATTAGAAAAATCTCGATCCATGGAAAACGGAATGTGGAAGTCACTCTACCAACGAACGACTCCAACTACTAAAAGGCAAAAGCTAAAGCAAACTCACGAAATCGTGTCTTTTTAAATTAATTAAAAAAACTCTGAACATAAAGTTAATAACTTTCTGAGATTTGAGAGAAGCATCATCAACCAATCAGGTTTAAGGAGAAGAGAAGCAATGATCTCCGGCGACACATTATCAGCTAAAAAGACCAAATCGATTCCACCAGAAGAAGACCAAGACCCACCAAGCCAATCAATCGCACTTCTCGCCAATCACACAGATTCCTCAGATTCTGATTCTTCCACTAGTAGCATCTCAAGCTGCTTCATCTTCACATCTCTCCTTCTCGTCACCTGCATCGCTCTATCCGCCGCTTCAGCTTTCGCGTTCCTCTTCTTCTCTTCCCAAAAACCTGTCCTTTCCTTAAACCAAGTCTCAAAGTCACCAGCTTTCGACAGATCCGTAGCTCGTCCACTCAAGAAACTCGACAAGCCTGTTGTTCTTTTGATTTCCTCAGATGGGTTTCGTTTCGGGTATCAATTCAAGACCAAATTGCCGAGCATTCACCGGTTAATCGCCAACGGAACCGAAGCCGAGACGGGTTTAATCCCTGTTTTTCCGACACTAACTTTCCCGAACCATTACTCTATCGTCACAGGTTTATACCCAGCTTATCATGGAATCATCAATAACAGGTTCTTTGATCCAGAAACAGGGAACGTTTTCACAATGGCTAGTCATGAACCAGAGTGGTGGTTAGGTGAGCCATTGTGGGAGACAGTAGTGAATCAAGGGCTTAAGGCTGCTACTTACTTTTGGCCTGGCTCTGAGGTACACAAAGGCTCGTGGAATTGTCCTGAAGGTTTATGTCAAAGCTACAATGGTTCAGTTCCTTTTGATGATAGAGTTGATACTATTTTGAGCTATTTTGATTTGCCTAGTAGCGAAATCCCGAGTTTCATGACTCTTTACTTTGAAGATCCTGATCATCAAGGTCACCAAGTTGGCCCTGATGATCCTCAGATCACAGAAGCTGTAGTTAACATTGATCGGTTAATAGGAAGATTAATTGATGGGTTAGAAAAACGAGGGATTTTTGAGGATGTGACTATGATTATGGTTGGTGATCATGGAATGGTTGGAACTTGCGATAAAAAAGTGGTTGTGTTGGATGATTTAGCTCCTTGGATCAAAATCCCGAGTAGTTGGGTTCAGTACTACACTCCGTTGCTAGCGATTAAACCCCCTTCAGGGCAGGATGCAGCGGATATCGTGGCTAAGATAAATGAAGGGTTGAATTCGGGTAAAGTAGAGAATGGGAAGTACTTGAAGGTTTATCTCAAAGAGGATTTACCTAGTAGGCTGCATTATGTAGACAGTGACCGCATCCCGCCTATAATAGGACTAGTCGATGAGGGCTTCAAGGTGGAGCAGAAGAAAAGTAAAGCCAAGGAATGTGGTGGAGCTCACGGGTATGACAATGCCTTCTTTTCGATGAGAACTATATTCATTGGGCACGGTCCTATGTTCTCAAAAGGAAGGAAAGTGCCTTCATTTGAGAATGTTCAGATATACAATCTGATCAGTACGATTCTAGAACTTAAGGCTGCACCAAACAATGGATCCGACGAGTTTCCTGCAAACGTTCTCTTGCCACGCGTGTAGCAGAGTAGGGTAAGTTCATTCTTCTGTCAATAAAAGGCAGTCTAGACTCTTAAGACTTTGTTGTCAAAACAGAAACGAGTTTGATCTGTTAGACTGTTTATGCGTTGTGATCTGAATGCTGTTTTTGTATGATTTCATCAACTAAAACGTATCCTAGTCTTTTGGAGTATGTAATCGTTAAAACTTGTCTTGACATTTGATGCCAAGATTTGAAGCTTTTGTAACTTCCTCCAAAGAAACAATGCTTTGAATTGGATACTCGATTCTTTGCCAATAATTGGAAACAATTTAATGTATGTTGGGAATTATCAACACTTATCACTGATGTGTCCTATTTTCTTGCAATGATTTAATGTTTTTTCTTTCATCACTTGGCTTAGTTTGTTAGAACAGAACATATTCACTTATTCCTTAGAACAAGAACCTTCCTCTTTTTTTTTTTTGAATTAATGTTAAATTATATTCAAAGAAAAATAAACATGCATACAACTTAATGCAAACTGTTTTTAAAGACAAAAAAGAGATAAATTATCCTTCACTGTGTTTTTGAAGCAAACCAAGCTTGCATTCCCCCTGCATACTTCAGCTCCCCTTCACTTCGAATTGTGCTTAATCGATTTCGAATATTCTTATCGATTATTTTTGTTAGCTTCTCACTTGGTGATGGTTCTTCCCCATGTCTTCTATTGTTCCTTTCTCTCCAAATTGAGTGGATCGTATTTTGAAACACCTTCCTCTTTTAAAATCGTCATATACATTTTTGATCCAAAGTAGAAAACTTATCAAACCTAAGTATATACTAGACTTGATAGATCAAAAATACGAATCTAATTAAACCCAAATCGCCTTCAATTCAAAACGAAATCCAAAACAATTTGATATTTTTCTTTAGATTTTTCTGTGTTTGTATATCAATTCAAGTTGGGGCCCAAATAACAAATAAACACATTTAAGTAAATAAGTTTCTTATGTGTAAAGAAAAAAGCTTTACTTATCTGCGTTCCGTGTTAAAACACGATTCTAATGGAGAAACAAAAACGCGTTTACACTTTTTCAACGCTAACGTATCGACAAAACGCCAAGTGGATGACGGCGGTCTAAACGCTTGAAATCGCGTCTATGTATACTTGGAGAGACATGATGAGAGAAATATCACTGGAATCTGAACCAGACAGTTTCTGATCTTCTTCTCCTAGAGGATCTCTCGGAGAAGATTCAAAACCAAGAACAATCTCAGTCTCTATCTCTTCCTCTCTGCGTGCATTTAGATGGCTGGAGTTGTGCGATTAACGACGACGTCGGTTCAAGCCATTCGCGTCTCCTCGTCTTTCAGCTCCTTCGCCACCGCTCTTACTCCTCTTCAACCTTGCTTACCTCCAAATTTGAATCTGAATTCCGACAAGAGATTGCGTCTTCTCTCATCTTCTCCTTCGTGCTCGTCTTCTCATTATCACCCATCTTCTGGTCTCGGAATCCATAGCCCCCTTAGACGACCCAAGAGCCAAGTGGTTCGTGTCAAGGTATAAATGTCCTGACTTTGAGCTAATTCTGTCCGTAAATCGTATACCCATTTGGAAATTGAGACTCTTGAGCCGATTTCTGATCTTATGCTATAGAATCTCTTCCCACTTCAGATGTTTAGAAATTTAGTCTAAAGTTTCAGTTTTTCTTTAGAGATGGTGATGATATGGATTGATTCAATTTAGATGGTGATGCTTTCTGCCATAATTTAAGTTTCTGATGTGTGTTTAGGTAGATGAAAATGTAGCCGAGACAGAGCCACCGAAATGGTGGGAGAGGAATGCTCCAAACATGGTCGACATTCATTCTACTGAAGAGTTCTTAAGCGCTTTAAGCGGAGCAGGTGAAAGATTAGTCATTGTAGAGTTTTATGGAACGTGGTGTGCTTCTTGCAGAGCATTGTTCCCAAAGGTTAGTGTCATGTGACGTATCTGTTCCTTGAAACTATAGGAGTTTCATTTGTCTTTCGTGATTCTGAGAGAAATTTAGGTGATTTTGTGTCTGTGTTGAAAATCTTTTCAGCTTTGCAAGACAGCGGTGGAACATCCGGATATAGTGTTCCTCAAAGTAAACTTTGATGAGAATAAACCGATGTGCAAGAGTTTGAACGTGAGAGTGCTTCCTTATTTCCACTTTTACCGTGGAGCTGATGGCCAGCTTGAGTCCTTCTCATGTTCTCTTGCTAAGGTAAAGAAGGCTATTCGGTTTAACCTTTTCCCTTCAAGCTTAGAGAACTGTTTCGGTGTTCTTTTTGGTGTAGGATCTATCAAATATTAGAAACCCTTTGCATGATATTGATACAATTGGGATTCTGGCATCAACCTTCTGATAGATCAAAACCTGTTGAATGCAATTGGTCTGTCTCTGATTACAATTTGACATCCCCTTCTTCGAATATTTGTGTTTCACAGTTTCAGAAGATAAAAGATGCCATCCAACTGCACAATACCGATCGTTGCAGCCTCGGTCCAGCCAAGGTACCTGAAGGATTAACATTAACCAAACCAGCTGGATCAAGTTGAAGAGCCAGACTTTTAGATTTATTACTACTGCAACAACCTTTGGTTGCTCAAGCAAATACTCAGCTTAAAATTCTGTATATCGTCATATTTTTTGGTGTAAAAGAATACTTCCTGAAGCCGGTTACGATTCTTCTGCTTATAGGCAATTGCAAATGTATTTTCACTACTGCTGGTCTTTGTTGCTTTGAAGCAAGCTTATTGATGTATGCATGTATGAGGTTAAATATATCTATTTTGCATAGTTTTGGGGTAAATTTCTAAGTTTCTCAACTTAACTAAGGATAGTGAACAAATAATAAGTACAAAAATTTGTAGGCAAAATGGTAAAGAAAAGTTAAGGACTGAAAACGAAAACTTCTAGGAATATGAGAACTGTTTAGTAAACATTAACGTTTAAAGATAAGGATCTAAAAATAAGTTAAGGACTGAAAACGAAAACGTCAAGGAATATGAGGACTGTTTAGTAAACATTGTAACGTTTAAAGTCTTGCCTCTGATTTCAGATTTTCTCAGGTTCCACGCGCCGCCGCGAAACAACTAAAGAAAAATCCGAAATTCGTGGCGAAGGTTTGGGAAGAGAGAAAGCTTAGCTGAGAGATGCAAGGAGTGTGGAGCCAACTATGGAGGAAATACGCTGATTATAAGTACAACAAGTTCGAGAGATTTGCTGTTTGGGAAATGATCGAACCTTACCGTCGACCAAAAACTTTCACAACTTTGATTACTATCTATGTAGCCGCCTTTTACACCGGCGTCATTGGCGCTGCAGTTACAGAGCAGCTCTACAAGGTAAGCTTCGTATTGTTAATTAGATTTGTGGGTTCTTATCTAATTCTCGTGATTGACAATGTTAGGGTTCAAAATATGATAAAATTGGAAATGCTTCATTGTTGATGATTTGGGTATTGTGGATTATTGATAAAGGATTTCGTGTTCAACAAAAGAACTATACTTGAATTGTTCTTCATTGTACTGTTGATTAGGTCTATCAAAGCTATATGAAATTATGAATCCATTGTTCTGTAGATATATTAAATTCTTGTCAATGAGCAAATAAGTTATGCTTCTTGCTTTAGTGTGAACTTTATGTTACTCCACTCTCTGTAAACAGGAGAAGTTTTGGGAAGAGCACCCAGGGAAAACGGTGCCTCTGATGAAGCCAGTATTCTATCGAGGACCATGGAGAGTTTATCGCGGTGAGGCTATTGCTTCAGATGCTAGCAGCCAGTGAAGGTAACGATTAGGCTATCAGCGACTATGGTCAAGAATATATCTCCGACTTTGATGCGCAGATATAGATGGATTTATGCTGGTTCACTGGTATATATGTGAAAAAACTTCTTTTGGTTCAGTAGAATGCTTGTGTCTGTATTTGGAGTTGTTCAAATGTTCTCTAGGTCTCTGGATTTAAGTTGGGCGGTACATTGTCTTTAAGACAAATAAGGTCTAATGACTCTCTTAAGAATCGATTTTCCAGAATTTACATGTAATGATAGTCTCATTATAGCATTAAGGATTTGATCTGAGAAGTTTAAGGGTATCCATTCATTCCTTTGAATATCTCTGCTTGTATCTGCCTCTCTTCTGGTGTCCTGAAATAAAAATTTCCCAAATAAGATAGACGATCTAACTACCTCAGAAATTAGGTACTTCACATTCTTTTTTCCATATAGATTCATCTGGTGATGTTCTCTGTTTCTTTTTTTCCTTTTTTATTGTTTGTTGCTTGGGAAAGAATATGACAACATATGGCACTATACCATCCCAAGAAAATGCTTTGTCGAGCCTGAGCTTATTAGGACGAGCCAAAGAATTGATCTTGTTAGGCCTTAGCTCTCAAAGGCCATGGCTTGAACTTGTCCAATGTAGTGCCTTTAGCCTTCCTATCTCGTTTAGCGTTGCCATGGAACGAATCAAAACCAACATCATGATCTTCCGAACCAACTACATTGTCATCTTCATTGTTACTATCTTCATCAGCATGCTCTGGCAACCCGTCCACCTTTCTGTCTTCTTTATCTTGATAGTAGCATGGCTATATGTCTACTCCCGTGATAATGAACCATGGGTGATATTTGGCAGTGTGATCGATGATTCTACTTTGGTACTGGTTTTGTTGGTCCTCACGATTGGTATATTTCTATTAACAGATGTATCCCGTAGTATTATGATCGGGGTTTTGGCTGGTTTGCCCGTTGTTATGGTCCATGGAATGTGTATGAAGACAGAGATGTTGTTCGTCTTGGAGGATGATGAAGAGAAGCTGACAATGAACACAGCATCTTCATCGCTTTCTTCTTCCTCTTAACAAATGAAACACAGGATTTCTGTTTTGGTTTCATGTGAAACAACGCATAAACGGTGGAGCAAAATCAACATGATGCAAAAAGATCTCTTTTGCGGTAAAAATTTCAGGATTTGGACGTAAAGATGTAATGATATTAGTTAGAGACCATAGTGACACAAATGATACGCCTTGTTGTCCTTGAGGTCCTTAAATAGGTTACAATGAACATTTATGTCTCTACTCCTCAAGTCTCAACAAAGTCTCAATCTTTCACGCTTTTAAGCAAAACTCACTCTTATGGAAATGGGCTATTCAGAACTTTTAACTCTTCTAAATTCTGAGACTTTTTTTACCTGTGGTGGACCACATACTGTATATGAGTATATCTATATCATCTGGTTCATCTTTCATTTACTCATGAATGGAAATTCATGTCCCACCAAATAAAATGTGGTAAGGCGTCAACATTTTGTTTTTGCTGACAAAAACCACAACTGTATCATATCTTTTCTTTTTATAAGTAAAAATGCAATATTTTGACCCAAAAATCAAGATTTTTTTTGTTTGGATAACTATTTTAGTTAGGGGCCGTGGGTTCATCCATATCAGAGCGAATGCAGGAGCTTGACCATTAGACCAATACGTTTTCTTGACAATATATATATATATATATATAATCGTTGTTGAACAAAAAAAAAACTGATTATTAAATTTCCTAAAAATATTGTTGAGATAATTTTCTGACTATAGAATCTTCAAAATCAATCTCAATATCGCAGAACACGAATTTCAATAAATCAAGTAGATTTTTCTGAATTTCTTATAGATTTGATTAAGCTTCCATTAGGATGTTAGTCCTCTTCTTTCTTTTCGTTTTTTTTTATATAATGACCTACATCATACTCTTACAAAAAAAATGATCCGCATATTAGTTTTTATTAGTTTTGAATCTTATGATAGATGATGATACAAATCTAGGGATGTATCATTGTAAAACAAAACTATTTTTCTTTAGTTGATAGGTGGTACACAACAACATTTGTGATTAATTGGAGGGTTCTTAATGCACATTAGAAATGTAGGATTTTCATCTGGACCTTTGTAGTGACGTTTCCCTGGAAAAAAATATTTAAAAACTTAAAACAAAGAATATGAATTAACTCAATTTAAGTAGCATTATTTCTTATAGGTTTTTCCAACAGAGGAAGAAAATGTTACCAATTGGTTTAGCAATTAATTGAGAAGAAAGAAGACAAATAGTTAAGAGCAGAAAGGCAACTTGAAATTTTTGTGCGGATATTATTAGCTCTGTAACTCTTTTTAGGTTAAGATTGTTTTTTGTTTTTCTTGATAAGTTTAGAGCAAATGGTCATCTCCCTTTGTATGCAAAATTTATATATAAAATGGCAATCGAATAACTAATGATGGTTTTGAAAATATTGACAAAAATGAGCAAAAAATAAGCAAAATATAAGCAAAACATAAGCAAAACATAAGCAAACCATAATAATATAGAGAACCGCAAAATCATCGACGACGTAGCGAAACTGGCCATTCACTACTGCGCCAAGGAACTCACACAGAGACCAGAAATTATCGATAGTTTAAGGCTCACAGGCTGTAGTAAATTATAGAGCAGCTCATAAAAGACTGATAGAGGAAGATGATCAACTTTCGAAATGTGGTTTGTTGGCTATGTGTTGTGGCTGTGGTTAATGCACGGGTGACTCCAGATGCAGCGGCAGTGGATTTAGGCGGGTTGATCCCAGAGTCAATACGATACTGTCAATTGTTGGACAGTTTGGATACAGAGAGGAATTTGTAGAAAGTTTGCAAGGGAATAACCTTTGTCAATGGTTTGGGATAAACTGTTTGGAGGGTATCATCACGAGTATATCCTTTATCTCCCTAAACTTAAGCGGAACCATCTCTCCACGGTTTGCAGATCTAACCTCTCTTCAGGTGATAGATCTTTCGCATAACCGACTTACAGGTACCATTCCTTTGAGCTCACCAACAAACAAAAGAACAAGCTTGTTTAAATCTTTATGAGCTATATAACACATCTAATGAGTAGAAAAACCTTATGAACCGCTACGTATGCTAGGAAATTTGTTTTTATATTTACATGAACGTCATAATTTGTTGCATATATCTAGTTATTGAGAGAAAGTGGTTCCTAATATTTATCAAATATATTACAAGTGACCAGAGTCTAATCTACAATGTAAGTGCCTTACAAGATTGCTGCAACGTGGATGTAGTAGAAATCTGTGCTTTATTTTTGTCAATTTTTTAGCACAATCCAGAGTTTGGTGAGTCTCTTGAAGCTTTACATCTGATCAGGTTTCTCTGATTTGCCTTCTTTTCAGGCTGTTCTGGATGCACATAATTCTGCTACTTCTGTAATGAAGTCAGGAGTAAACTGGGTGGATATGCACAAGTAAGTCTTACTGAGATGCTATATATATAACTCTGTTTAAGTATGTATGCAGATTCAGTAATTGGGTTTTAACTATGTAAGCTTGTAAACTCAGTTTGCTTTGGTCCATTTTGATTTTTCGTCTTGTTAGGGATATAACTTGAAATACATCTCCACATGGTTATTTAGCTTTCTTTGTTAACTGAAACAAATTAATGTACAGCTTAGCTGAAAAAGTCATCCTTAAGTCACTGAAGAAGGGGTCCATAGTCACTGACTCACTGGGTAATTCTCTCTCTGTTAGACATTTGTTTACTCTTCTCTAAAGGTTAATTCATTGTTATGGTTTCGTTCTCTGTTCCTAGTGATGTGGATGGCATGATGGTACAACGCTTAGGTGCTTTTTCATGCCTCATGGACTAGTTCACATCGAGATTCTTGATTACTGATGAACCATCCGGGAGCAACGTGGTTGGAATTATTTTAGTACTTTAGTAGTAACTAATGTGGTGAAGAGTGGTAAGAACACACACACCCAACTGAACAAGTCTTAATAATCAATAACAACATTTGTTTCGCCATGTTGATCTTAACTTGACGTGAACAGAACAGCAAAATCACTTTTATGTCTCAGTTCTCAACAAAACCTCAACCGTTAACTATTTTTGTCATAGCCCACTGTCACAACTCTTAACTTTTGATACAGATAAATTGATAATCAAAGATAATCAAGCCTATGTTCATAAAACATCGATTCACTTCTCATAAGCAAGAGTCTCAAAACAGAGAATTCTCAAGAACAAACAAAGAACTAAATAAAGAAGAAGATCACAATCTGATTGGCAAAAAAAAAGAAGAAGATCACAATCTCAGATTTTTGAATAAAATGAATAAAGCGTCTTCAACTTCTTATTAACCTCATTCTTCTGTTCTTAATCTTCAAAAGATCTTGACCGTTGCTTTTAATCTTCAATTACCACCGTCCACGTGTCATTGATTTATCACCATCATTTTCCTATATCAAATCTCCCCTGATTGCAGAACCTTGACCACAAGGTTCAAAGTTTAGAATTTGTCCCTGCATAACAAAGAGAACTCCCATGTAGGTTCCTCCCTAGTTTCATGAGTCCACTTGATGAAAACCATTGTAGCAGCTCTGTTTGGAATATAGCTTCTTAGAGTCTCTTGCGATCAAATCTGATCCGTACAAACAATTTTAGATTTGAATTACTTGATGTTGCATAGTCTTGTGCTTCCGCCAACTTTCTCTTCTGTCCCAACTTATTAACCACTCTTCAAATTCCAACTTGCTTCCATGTTTACGCCACCACCACCACCATATGTCCATATTGTTACGGGTCTTATTTGTTGGAAAATTTGGAATGAGAAGAAACAGGTATGTGACAGGGTCTTGCTCTTCCAACAATGCCACACCGCAAAATAGCAAATCATACACAAATTGGAAAAAAACAATCTCTTTATAGCATCTTCCACAGATTTATACTTGAACCACCTCCGCTTGGAAAACTTGATCTTTTTGTTTCTCATCACTTCATGAATGGCCAAACTGGTTTGCAACAGTGGCTCTTGCACCACTATAATCGGCTCATACGCAGATTGTTTGCCATGACCATCATCACTATAATTCTTTACTTCTTGATTCCAGCCTTTCACTTCCCCTTCCTTCTTTGTACACAACTCGCTTCTATCTTGACACGACGAATCTGTTGTACCATACTGATACCAGATTTGGTATATCACATACCATAACTGAAATTGAGATGCAAGGGTTTTGTCCAAGAACAAGCACAAATACACTTGATATTGTGATGCTCTGCTAAATCCAGAAACTGCCCGTAGTTGCTCACTCTTGTGCTTTATCCAAGGCACACTTAAACACCTAGTGTTGTACCCTTCTGCAAGAACAGTTCTGCAATTATATTTCAATAAAAATGGCATTTTTCTTTTCTGTAGCCTAAAACGTGAAGTGCCTTCATCATTATTAAGCAGAGAAAATAAATGTTCCTTCTCTTCTTCCACTCCTTCCCCAGTTTATATTTGAACATCCAAGACTTTGGAGATAATCTTTGCTTCCTCTTATGAGACTTGACACATGTTGACTGCTCATAAAATGCAGCCACTTCCGAGTGGAAATTATCTAAGAGTGGACTCAAAGCGTCTGCTAAGACATATTGTTGATCCTTACTGACCGTAATCATATCAAAATCCCCTAAGAGTTTCTGCTTATGGCTAGATTCCAAGACAAAAATTGATACCTGATGCTTGATCAATTTGATAAGGAGTCCTATGGGAAGTGATTCATGATACACTTGATCATCATCCTTGAAACAATCAATGTTGAGCATGGACCAAGTTTTGGAAAACTTTTCCTTGTTCCAACTCACCTTTCTGTTCCAAGAGTGGAATCATCCTTCATTGTCTCGTTTCTTTATTTTTCCTTTAGCAGATTTGTATTTGAACATCCAAGATTTAAATCCTTTTGTTTTCTTCTTTGTTCCCGTAATCTTAGCTTGAATCAAATCCGGTTTCAAATTGCAACTGTGTCCATAACGTCACTCCATTTTCTTTCACAGATTGTCGTTCTTCTTTCATCAAAACCAGCTCTAGATTCGATGATTCTAAGTAGCTGTAGTTCTCTGTAGACAACTCAAGTCTCTCTTGATTCGATGATGCTATGTCACCTGCTTCTAATTTGAATCCCATTGCAGTCCGTGTTGGACTAACCTTACCCTTCAACAACAACAAATCAGTAGATGTCTCAACCATTCTCATACTCTTGGAAAATTTAAGTGCGTGCAGTTTCCTGAAGCCACTCTTATACTTAAACATCCATGATTTAAACCCTTTCCTTTTCTTCTTAATTCCTAGTCTTTCTTTATACTGAGACATTTTATCGAACAGTTGGTGTGCACAACAATTTTTGGTGCTACTTAACACTTTCTGACTCCTCTCAGCATCACCATCAAGCTCAAATGTCATACTAACGTACTTTTGAACCCCATCTTGCTCTAGATTCTCATTCTCATTCATCACCACATACTCTAGAGTTTCCAACGTTGAATTTTCTTCCCTAACTTCAATATTCTTCAAAATCTCAGAATCTGAAATTGGTACCTAAAATTGTGGAATCGATTCTTCCTCTAAGATTGCTTTCGGTACCAAATCTTTGTGATTCTCCAACTTTGGGTTCTCCTCTCGAGCTCCCTGTACCAAATTCACCGTACGATGCTCAATTGGTTCACCATTAGGGAGTTGATCGTCATCGATCATGAGAATCCCCGAGTTCTTGTGACGCAGATGGTGACCTGGAGTTTCCTATATCAACTTTTTACCATGGAGCCATGGAGGTTAAGGTTCAAGTTGCAATGATACACTGCTAATCCTTTGCTTTTGTCTTGTTTTGCAGGTGACCGTTGTACGAAGATGAGCTCTGGTGGTTTGGGCTTGACTGTTGACTGAGTTGGTTTGGGCTTAGTTGTTGACTGAGTCGAATTGGGATTTATCATTTGAGGGCCCAATTAAGTTCTGTTGTCGTTTTGAACTGTAGCTTTGACAGCTTTTATCTTATTTATTGATGGAGAATGCAAATGCTTTTTTTTTTGCCCAATTAAGTCTGTTACTTCAGATTCTTGTTACTATCCTACACGGTATATGCTTTAATTCGTTCCATCTCTAATGTTAAAAAAAATCGGATAATTTTCGTAGGTTTATAGAACAAATTAGATCCTAATTATGATTATATTATATTGAGATTATTAAAAGGTGACATGAAACCAACCATGAAGATAACAAAACATAACTACGATTAAATTACTATTATCCTAAGTTTTAATAACCAAGACCAGTGTAATTCGTCTAGTATACTGGCGTTATTAGTTTTCCTTTATATTCGTCTTTTTAATTTTAACTATCATCATCTTACCAATATATATGCATCAGTTTTCTTTAGGAATTTCGTAGCAATGGAAGACCTTGAAATCACAGTTGGGGGCTATAGTCTCCAGAATCATCCTCGCCGTCTGCTCTTGACGCACCTCCGCATCTTTCTTCTCCACCAGCACCGCTCCGACGATCTCCTTGAACCCTCCGTCTCCGCCTCCGCAACGAAGCATGTAATCAACCAGAGCGGCTTGTACTGGCCCCAAACTAGGGTTATACGCCACTGATTCCATGTACCATCCTTTGTACACACTTCCTTGGCGATCAACCAGCGCCACTCCCGACGGACATTTGCTGTACGGCGCGTACGATCTGTTCACCGCCGCTAGACCCGCGGGCTTCAGATCGGGATAACGGTAGGGGACAGCAGGACCCGCGAGAGTAAGGCCATTATAGCACGGCTCAAGAAGGCGAGGGACATTTTCTGGGAGGAGACTGTCGGGGCCGAGTCTCTTTGGAAGGAGGCTCTCGAGGCTTACGAATGATTCGTTGTCGCCGTTTTCATCAGTGAGTATGATTTTGATCTCAGGCGCCTCGCGGATTTCCTGAAGAAACTGGCGGCAGTGGCCACATGGAGCTCCGCCAGGGGAGACGGCTAAATAGTTGAGCTTTAGCTCGGAGTTGAGTGCGAGGTTGGCGACGAGGAACTGCTCGGCGTGGATGGAGTGATGGAGAGGCAAACCTGGAAATTCGACATTGACTCCTACGAAGACCCGACCAGATGATCCACCTCCGAGGGCTATGACTTCGAGTGTGGAGAACGGCGCAAGAACGAATGGATCCTGCAACGGAAGGTGTATCGGGTCGGAGACGCCGGCAGATTTTGCTTCTTTGGGAGTGATAACGAAGCTGGAGGGCTGTGCCATTGTCTCTGTCTGGTTTGGGGTCGTGTTATGAGATTTATGTTGAGAGATGGGAAAGGAGATGAGAAGTGGAGAAGCAAGTCTTGAACTTATTTATAGGTGCGGTGAGTGCATAATGAATCCTACTTTTTTAATGGAGTTTACGTCAATCACATACGCAACCAACACTACAAGATAAATAAAAAGTGATTGTGACTCTCAGGAATTTCAAGATTCGAGTCATGAACCATGTTTTCAAGCAAAGTGGTTAGGATTATTTTTGTAGTTTAGTATAAACAGAGCAATGAAATGAAGAGTGTTGTTTGGTTCAATAGTCCTAACACTTAATTAGTAACATTTTTGATGGTTTGAGTATGTAGTATACTCATATAGATGAAAATTAAAAAATTATTCCCAAAGTTCTAGTTCATATATGCATATTGAATCGTACTTTTTAAAAGGTGTTTACATACGTCATTCATAGGATCCCACTCACGATGACTCAAGAACAATCTTTTCAAACAAAGTAGTTAAGTTTAATTTTGTAGTTTAGTATAAAAGAGATATGGTGAAGAGAGTAGTAAAATAAGTAGTCTTAGCAGTAATATTTTGATGGTTTGAAATTTCGATTAGTAATATACATTTAAAAAAAAAATTCGTATAATGCTAGTTCAAATGTAGACGGTAGATTGTGGCACGGTTACTTATGTCTTCGTGGTGTTACAGTTTATATTCAACTCTCGATATATAGATTACGTGTTTTAAAACAAAAGTAAGTTCATGAAATACAAATATCATGCATATTTGTCTTTAAAATTGCAAACTTAGTTATTCAACTATTTATATGTGATGTGTGTATTGCATGTTGAATACTTTTCAAATTGTGTGTTTACCTCGTATGTAAGATTACAACATATAAACGAGACTGAATGAATACATTAATAAGATTCATGGTGAGAGTCAGGAATCATTTTTCTTTTTCTAGTTGAAACTCATGAACCAGTTTTCAAAGCAAGTACAAAGTAGAGTGCTCAAAATCAATTCAATAATTTTACTTAGATACATTTCATGGTACGAATAGTAAATAGATAAAATAGGAAAATTTAGTCAGATTCATGATGACTCGTGACCTTCAAATAAATTTTGTTTCATAGTAGTTAGGATTACTTTAGTAGCTTAGTAGAAAGCAATGTACTAAAGACAGAGTAGTCAAAAATAATTCAACAAGTTTAGTTCGTCACATGTTCGTGGTATGAATATAGTAAAAAGATAAATAATTTGGAAATTTATTAAAAAAATTATACTTTTGTAATAAGACTTTTAGGAGTTCAGAAAGAAGTTGTTACCATCTTTTATGAATTTCTTTTCTTCTAATCCTGAAATTCAACTCTTCTAAAATTCGGAGATAATTTTATTACCCAATTGTGCACTATGTAGAATTTTGCCAGTGGTCAGTGGACCACATTATTCTCTACTTCGTTATGTTTGCTTGTGAGACTTTTATCTTACCAACTAATGGAGATTCATGCAAATGCATTTTTTTTAATCCTTTTCTTGCTTTTGCAAAACCAAAAGAGGTCCATAACTTTATTACTTCACATTCATAATTTTAATCATAGACATAAGACACAACAATATATGCTTTAATTCGTTCCATATCTAATGTAAAAAAAATCGGATAATCGTAGGTTTTTATATTGCTCTATAAAACTATATTGTGACAAACAAAAAGAGTGACATTAATTTCTAATTGCAAAGAAATTTGAGATCGTCGGAAATTATGCATTGAAATCATTAAAAAGGTAAGGTAACATGAAACCAAAGAAGAAAGCAAAACACAACATAATTAAGCTTATACTATTTTATATATCATCAAATGTTTAATCACCAGGACAAGAAGTACTGTGATTCCCCCACTGGTTATTTATTTTCCTTTATATTATCATTTTTTATCTATCATCTTAGTAAAATATGCTTCAGTTTTCTGCGGTCTTGTAGCAATGGAAGACATTCAAAACACACCCGGGGGCTATAGTCTCTAAAAGAACCCTCGCCGTGGCCTCTTGACTCACATTCGCATCATTCATCTCCACCAGCACCGCTCCGGTGATCATCTCGAACCCTTTACCTTCACCACGAGCCACGAAATCAACAAGTGCCGCTTGTACTGGTCCCAAACTAAGGTTATACGCCGCCGATTCAATGCACCATCCTTTGTACACTTCCCCTTCACAAATCAGCGCCACCCCCGACGGACAGTTACTGTACTGTGCGTACGATTTGTTTGCCGCTGTTACAGCTCTACACTTCGGATGGGAACAATGCTCGCGGTTTGCGCAGATCTCTGCGGCGGAAACGGGATCCGATAGGGCGAGGCGGTTATTCTGCGGCACGAGAAGGAGAGGGACGTCTTCCTCGAAGCTTTCGAGGTAGAATCTAGACGGAAGAAGGCAAGCGTGGAGTTCTTGCTCGAAGTTGAGTGCAAGGTTAGCGACGAGGAATTGCTCGGCGCTGATGGAGTGTTGAAGAGGAAGACCTTCAAATTCGACATTGACGCCTAAGAAGATTCGAGACGATGAGGCAAGTCCAAGGACTGCGTCTTGGACTCCGGAGATTGGAGCCCGAGCCAGAATAACCGCATCTTCTTTCAGCTTCAGGAAGTCACTGGGGGTGGAGACACCTTTGGATGCTGCTTCTTCAAGAGTGAGAATGAATTTGAGCTGTTGTGCCATTGTCTCTGTCTGATTTAGGATTGTGTTTTGAGAGATATGAAATGAGATGAGAAGTGGAAGTAAGTCTTTGGCTATTTATATAGGTGTGTTATGTCTGTGTGCTTATTGTGAGAGTACTTTTTAAAACCGTGTTTAAGACTCGTTCGTATACACAAACAATTACTTACTACAAGATATATAAAAAGGTGATTGTAACGCTTACATTCTCATGAAACAGATTTTTAAGCAAAGTAGTTATGGTTAATTTCCTAGTTTGGTAGAAATTAAATATAATGAAAGAACGGTAAAACTATAGTTCAATAGTCGTAACTTGTCATTAGTAACATTTTGATGGTTAAAATAGTAATATATAAATTAAAATTAAAATGGAGCTTACATCAATAACATATGCAACTAACATTATAACAAGATGAAAAAGATGATTGTGACCTATCAAGACTCATGAACCATTTTTTTTTCAGCAAAATAGTTAAGATTGTTCAAATAAGCAATGTAATGGAGTATAAAGTAGTATAAGATTATTCAATAAGTCCTTAACTATTAATTAATTAGTAACATTTTAGTGGGTTCAGTAGTAATATAGATAAAAATCAAAGTGGTGTTTATGTCAATCACATACGCAACCAACACTACAAGTTAAAAAAAAGGTGACTAGAAAGACTTATGAAATAGCATTTAAAACAAAATAGTTACGATTATTTTCTAGGTTAGTATAAATGTAATGAAGAGTGGTAAAATATAAATCACTAGTCCTTAACTCTTAATTGGTAAAATTTCGATAGTTTGAATAGTTACATAGAAACAAAAAGAATATTAACAATAATTATATCAAGAATCATACGTACCCAAAAAAAAAGCAAAAATTAAGAAAATTTATTCGTGAAATGCTAGTTCAAATGTTGGTAGATCGTAGCATAATGGTGGTTACTCTTGTTTTAGCGTGGTGTCACAAATATGATATAGAATATGTATTTACGTTATTGAAAAGAAAGCATCTAATGATAATATATCAAGTCCACACGATACACATAGATATTCCCTTTGTCTTTGAAAATTGCAAACTAACTCTTACTAGATATGTGATGTGTGTGCATGTTGAATATAAAGTATAATGCTTTTAAAATAGTGTTTTTACCTCGTATGTGAATAATCACATGCACACGCAAGATTACAAAGTATAAACGAGTTTATGTCTGTATCCGTCATCAACACTCCAGGATGACTCATGAACCATTTTTCAAAGTATAATTGCTTTATAGAAATTTCGTCGAAAGTAATGTACTCAAAGAGTGGTAAAAATAATTCAATTATATTAGTCACCTTTTTATGGTATGAATAGTAAATTAGATTTAAAAATTGAAATTTTATGCTTAAGATGATAATTACAGTGTGTGCGAGACTGTGACAAGAAACCTATATAATAATAATCAAGTCCATGTTATACATTGGATCTTCACTTTATTTTTGAGAAGGATGAAAAAAAAAACCCTTAGCAATGAGGGAAATTCAGCTCAGGAAACAAATAAACATTTGTTGACTATCTGTGAATGAGTTTTCAACTGAGTATAGTAACCTAAATTAAATGTCCATAATAATAATTAATAACCAAAAATAAGTTAATACCATCTTTAATGAAAAAAATGTTCAACTCTTCTAAATTTTTTATTGTTCCTCAATTGTGAACTACTGCACTTAGGAGGAGTTTGTGAGTAGTGGACCATGTTTGAAAATGAGATTTAATTTTTTTATCTTACTTGTTAATTGAGAGTCATGCAAAGGCATCTCTTTTTTGCTGCTTTTGCACAACAATAAGAAAAGGTTATTGTTCACATTTTAGAAGAGAAGCAATTCACTAAATAATATTCGTAAGTTGACATTATATTTATAAGCAAAAGTGTTTAAGATCGTAAGATTACTGCATTGACATTATTAAAAGGTATAACATGAACCCAGCGAAGAAGAAAACAAAACATATCTATGATGATGATTAGATTATTATTCTAGGTTTAATAACCAAGACCAATGTAATTACCCTGTTGGCTTATTTTATCCTTTATATACTAACTTTTTGTTTATCTATCATAGCAATGCATCAGTTATCTATCATCATCGTATAAATATAAAGTATGCATCACTTTTTTACTACTATCCAAGTGTTATATTCAAGCTGCTCGTAGCAATGGAAGACCTTGAAGTCGCAGTTCGGAGCTGCTATCTTCTCTAGAAGCGTCCTTGCCGTGTCCTCTTGCCTCACCTTCGCATCCTTCTTCTCCACCAGCACAGCTCGGGTGATCTTATCGAACCCTTTGCCTTCGCCACGAGCCATGAAATCAACCAGCGCCGCTTGTACTGGCCCCAAACTAATGTTATACGCCACCGTTTCAATGTACCATCCTCTATACACTTTCCCTTCGCAAATCAGCGCCACCCCCGACGGACACTTGCTGTGTGGCGCGTATGATTTTTTCGCCGCCTGTAAAGCCACCAACTTTAGAAGGGGATAAAGGTCCTGATTGAAGAGGGCGAGACGGTTATCGCACTCCACGAGAAGGAGAGAGGGTTCTGCCGGGAGGATACTTTCCGGGCCGAATTTGTCTGGCATGTGGCTCTCGAGGCTCTTGAATGATCCGTCTTCGTCGTTTTCGTTCTTTAGCAGAATTTCTATTTGAGGTGCATTGGTCATCTCCTGAAGAAAGTGGGTGCAGCGGTAGCACGGTTCGTGGAAGACGGTGCCATTATGGGAGACGGCTAAGTGAGTGAGTTTTGGCTCGAGGTTGAGGGCGAGGTTGGCGATGAGGAATTGTTCAGCGTGGATTGAAAGGCTAGGAGAAAGACCTTCGAATTCGACATTGGCGCCTAAGTAGACCCGTCCAGATGATGCGCGTCCAATGACTCCGACTTTGATTGGAGCCTTAGCGAGATTCCTAGCCTTTTCGATTAGTTTTGGAAGTTTCTTGTGGTCGGTGACACCTTCGGATGCGGCTTCTTCGGTAGTGAAAACGAACTTGTACTGTTGTGCCATTGTCTCTGTGTGATTTCGGATCAGTGTTTGAGATTTTGTGTTAAGAGATTGGAAATGAGATGTGAAGTGGAAGCAAGTCGATCTTTCGCTATTTATATAGATGTGCCGTGTCTGTGTGATTATTCTAAAAGTACTTTTAAAATCGTGTTTACGTCATTAGCATACGAAACTAATTATAATACAAGAAATAAAGGTGACGTGACATTTCAAGACTCATGAAAATTTTAAGCAAAGTAGTAATTAGGGTTATTTTTCTAGCTTAGTATAAAGTACATGTAATGAAGAGTGGGAAAAGAATGTTCTAGAGTCCTTAACTCGCAAGTAGTAAAACATTTTTGATGGTTTGAATAGTAATATAAAAAAAAATTAAAATGGTGTTTCATATAGCAACCAAGATTAAAAAAGGTGATTGTGACTTTTCAAGACTCATTAACCATCTTTCTAAGGAAAGTTGATATTTTCTAGTTTATTATATGGAGTAATGTAATTAAGAGTGGTAAGATATATAATTCATAAGTTCTTAACTCTTAATTAGTAACAATTTGAAAATTTGATGGTTACCAATAACTCCTTCGCTATTCAATCAAAAAAAAAAATGGAATGTTGTTTACGTCAATCACAACTATATATAAGATAAAAAGATGATAGTGACTATATATCAAGACTCATGAACTATTTTTTAAAGCAAAGTAGTTGGGATTGTTTTTACAGTACATTTTGATGCTTTGAAGAAGTTATAAAGATTAAAAAAAAAAACTAAGAAGTTTATTTGTAAAATACTTGTTCAAATGTTGGTAGATTCTAACATAGTGTTTACTCGTGAATTTATAATGAGTTTGGTTTATGTAGAGGAAAAGGTATTTGATAATAATCAAGATTCAAGTCCATGGAATACATAAATCTTCCTTTTTTCTTAGAAAATGCAAACTAACTATTACTAGATTAGTCTAGATATGTGATATGTGTGCAGCTGTATGCATGTTGAATGCTTTTAAAATAACGTGTTTACCTTGTACGTGAAGAATGACACGCACACGCAAGATTACAAAATATAAACAAGGTTGTGACTGTATCTGTCGCTAACAAGACTCATGATGACTCAATTAATTAACCATTTTTCAAAGCTAATTTGCTTTATAGTAGTTAGGATTACTTTAGTACGTAGTTTTGTAGAAACCAACTGTACTAATTTTCTTGGTATGCCGTTGCATATAATGTAATTCTGGTAATACATCATACGTTTATTAAACAGGCTACAAAGAAATAAAGACTAACATAAATGAGAACATAAAGAATCAAATCGCATGCACACGCAAGATGATGTAAACAGAACAAAGAAATCACTTTTATGTCTCAATTCTCAACAAAATTTCAACGTTAACTATTTTTAGCAAATCCCACTTTCTTGAACCTCATAACTTTTAACTTTTTACCATGGAGGTTACGGTTCAAGTTGCAATGATAAATTTTATAATTATGTAATTAGACTAAGCTTTTATTGCTATTTGTTATGTTAAATTAGGATTGGTCTAGGGGAAATGATACAGCATAATACTTTTGTAATTAGACATTTTAGGGGTTCATAAAGAAGTTATTACCGTCTTTTATGAAACAAGCATATTCAATCATGAAATTTAACTGTTCTAAAATTCTGAGATAGTTTTATTGTTCCTCAGTTGTGCACTTAGTAGAAATTTGCCAGTGGTCAATTAATTGTCAACTTATTCTCCACCTTGATGTGTTTGCAGATGAGACTTTTTATCTTACTCATTAATGGAGATTCATTCAAAGCCTTTTTTTTTTCTTTTTCTGGTTTTGCAAAAAACAATTTTTTTTGTTCTTACTTCTTATTTTAGAAGAGAATCAATTCACAAATAATATTCGTAAGCTGACATTTACAAGTACAAAGTGATTTGAGATGGTAAGATTACTACATTGAAATTATATTAAAAAGTAACATGAACCAAAGAAGAAAACATAACATAATTATGATTCACTGACATCATTAAAAGGTTTAACGAACCCAACTAAGAAGACAACAAAGCATAATAATTATGATAGGATAATAATATAGTTTAATAACGAAGACCAGTGTAATCCCCTACTGGCGTATTATTTTCCTTACTAAGTATCCTTTTTTACCGTTCTCTACCTCCGGTATTGTAATATAATTCATTTTTTTTACGAGATCCTCGTAGCAATGGAAGACCTTGAAATCGCAGTTCGGAGCTGCTATAGTGTCTAAAATCATCTTCGCCGTGCCCTCTTGACTCACCCTCGCATTTTTCTTTTCCACCAGCACCACTTCGACGATCTTATCGAACCCTTTGCCTAGACCACAAGCCACGAAATCAACCAGCGCAGCTTGTACCGGTCCCAAACTTGGGTTTGATGCCACTGATTCAATGTACCATCCACGGTACCACTTCCCATCGTCATCCTGCAGCGCCACTCCCGACGGAGAGTTAGTGTACGGCGAGAACGAGTTGTTTGCCGCGGCTAGAGCCTTGCATTTCAAATGGGAACAATCTGATGAGCATATCTCTCCGGCAGAACCCGAGAGGGTGAGGCAGTTATCGTGCTTCTCGAGAAGGAGAGGGGAACCGGGGGAGAATCTGTCTGGAAGGAGGAATCTAAGGCTCCTGAATGACCCTTCTTCATGCTTTGATTTGAGCAGGATTTGGATGTCAAGCGCGTTTCTCATCTCCATAAGAAACTGGCGGCAGTTCCCGCACGGCGCGCCGAAGTCGTTGCCGTCAGTAGAGATGGAGACGGCTAACAGATGGAGGCCTTTCTCGGAGTTGAGGGCGAGGTTGGTTACGAGGAATTGCTCGGCGTGGATGGAGTGGTGAAGAGGAAGACCTGGTAATTCGACATTGACGCCTAAGTAGATCCGACCCGATGGTGCGCGTCCAACGGCTCCGACTTTGTATCTGGAGATTGGAGCCCGAGCGAGTGACATCGCCTTTGTGATCAGATTTGGAAGTCTGAAGGGTTCGGTGACGCCTTCCGATTCTGCTTCTTTGGCAGTGAAAACAAACTTGTACTGATCTTGTGCCATTTTCTCTGTCTGATTTAGGATCGTGTTTTGAGATTTTATGTTGAGAGATATGAAATGAGATGAGAAGTGAGATTACCTATTTATATAGATGTGTTGTGTCTGTGTGCTTATTGTGTAAGTACTTTTTAAAATTGTGTTTAGGTCATTCGTATACGCAAACAATATGTTAGTGTGTGAACAACAAGATTAAAAAAAGGTGATTGTGACTATCAACATGCATTCATGCATTAGCTTTTTAAGCAAAGTAGTAATTAGGGTTAGTTTTTTAGTTAGTATAAAGTAATGTAATGAAGAGTATAGTAATATAGATAAAAATTAACGTAATGAGGACTAATAGTCCTTAAATTTTATTTAGTAGTAACATTTTAATGGTTTGAATAGTAATATAGATAAAAATTAAGAAGTTTATTTGTTAAGTGCTAATTCAATTGTCGGTAGATTGTAGCATAGCGATTATGTTGATAGTGTCAAATCTGATATAGAATATGTGTTTGAAAATTGCAAACTAATATTACGAGATATGTGATGTGTGTTAGGTGTATATGAACGCTTTTAAAATGGTGTTTACCACGTAAGTAAAGAATTACATGCACACGCAAGAATATAAACGAGATTATGACTGTATCTCCGTCATTAAGGCTCATGATGACTCATAAACCAAATTTGCTTTTAAGTAGTTAGGGTTACTTTAGTAGTCTTGTAGAAAGTACTATACTAAAGAATGGTTTAAAAAAAAAAATCAGTAGTCTTAATTAGTCACAAATTCATGGTATGAATACTGAAACAAACAAAAATTGGGAATCTTATTCACAAAAGTGATAATTTAATTCCTTGAATACTGTGTGAGATTGTGACAATATAAAAACATCTAATAATACTGAAGTCCATAATATACATGGATTTTCTCTGTCTTTGAAATTGAATCTTTTTCAGAAATGAGTACTTTGGATAGATCAGTTTGAACTTAAATGTATTATATATTTGTCAACTTATTCTCCACCTTGATGTGTTTGCAAATGAAATTTTTTTTATCTTACTCATTAATGGAGATTCATTCAAAGACATTTTTTTTCTTTTCCTGGTTTTCCAAAAACATTTTTTTTTTGTTCTTACTTCTTATTTTAGAAGAGAATCAGATCACAAAATAATATTCGTAAGCTGACATTTATAAGTACAAAGTGATTTGAGATGGGAAGATTAGTACACTGAAATTATTTTAAAAGGTAGCATGAACCAAAGAAGAAAACAAAACATAATTATGAATATATTATATATTGACATGTACTGAAAGGTAACATGAACCCAAGAAGAAAACATAACATAATTATGAATATATTATATATTGACATCACTGAAAGGTAACATGAACCCAAGAAGAAAACATAACATAATTATGATTCTATGACATTATTATAAGGTTTAATTAATGAACAAAGAAGTAAACAAAGCATAATTATGATAGGATAATAAAATAGTTTAATAATGAAGACCAGCGTAATCCCCTACTGACGTATCTATCACCAGCGTATCACGAAGATACTTGAGTCTTTTTGCGCCATCCACAGAGCAATGAAAGACCTTGAAATCGCAGTTTGGAGCTGCTATAGTATCTAAAATCATCTTCGCTGTGCGCTCTTGACTCACGATCGCGTTATTCTTTTCCACCAGCACCGCTCGGACGATCTTATTGAACCTTTTGCCTCGGCTACGAGTCACGAAATCAACCAGCGCAGCTTGTACCGGTCCCAAACTAGGGTTAGACGCCACTGAATCAATGTACCATCCATAGTACCACTTCCCGTCGTTATCCAGCAGCGCCACTCCCGACGGAGACTCGGTGTACGGCGAGAACGAATTGTTTGCTGCGGCTAGAGCCTTGCATTTCAAATGTGAACAGTCTGATGAGCATATCTCTTCGGCAGGACCCAAGAGGGTGAGGCAGTTATCGCGCTTCTCGAGAAGGAAAGGGGAACCTTTCGGGAGGACGTTCGGAAGGAGGAGTCTAAGGGTCGAGAATGATCCTGTTTCATGCTTTGGTTTGGACAGGATTTTGATGTCAAGCGCGTTACTCATCTCCATAAGAAACTGGCGGCAGTATCCGCACGGCGTGCCGAATTCTTTGCCGTCAACAGAGACGGCGACGGCTAACTCACAGAGGTCTTTCTCGGAGTTGAGGGCGAGGTTGGTGACGAGGAATTGCTCGGCGTGGATGGAGTGGTGAAGAGGAAGACCTGGGAAGTCGACATTGACGCCTAAGTAGACCCGACCAGATGACGTGCGTCCAACGGCTCCGACTTTGTATTTGGAGATTGGAGCCCGAGCGAGTGACATCGCCTTTCTGATTAGATTTGGAAGTCTGATGGGTTCGGTGACGCCTTCCGTTGCTGCTTCGTTGGCAGTGAAAACGAACTTGAACCGATCTTGTGCCATTGTCATGTTTTTAATTTTTGTGACCAGATCTTGCAAATGAGATAACAAGTTCGGACGTTGTGCCATTGTCGTGTTTTGAGATTTTATGTTGAGAGATATGAAAGGAGATGAGAATTGAGAGTAAGTCTTTACCTATTTATACAGGTGTGTTGTGTCTGTGTGCTTATTGTGAAAGTACTTTTTAAAATCGTGTTTAGGTCATTCGTATACGCAAACAATACGTTAGTGTGTGACAGTACAAGATAAAAAGGTGATTGTGACTATCAACATTCATGAACTAGCTTTTTAAGCCAAGTAGCTAGTTAGGGTTAATTTTCTAGTTAGTATATATAATATAAAATAATGTAATGAAAAGTATTCTAGGAAGACTAATATAATAGTCCCTAACTTTTATTTAGTAGTAACATTTAATGGTTTGAATAGTAATATTGATAAACTTTAAGAAGTTTATTTGTAAAATGCTAGTTCAATTGTCGGTAGATTGTAGCATAGCGATGATTAATTTTGATAGTAGTGTCAAATCTGATATAGAATATGTGTTTCAAAATTTCAAACTAATAATATTACCAGATGTGTGATGTGTATGTATAAAAAATGCTTTTAAAATGGTGTTTACCACGTAAGTAAGGAATTACATGCACACGCAAGAATATAAACGAGATTATGAAAAAAAAAAAAAAACGAGATTATGTATCCGTCATCAAGATACTCATCATGAACCATTTTTCATAACAAATTTGCTTTTAAGTTGTTTACGGTTACTCTAGTACTCTTGAAGAAAGTATACTATACTAAAGAATGGTTAAAAGATGTGCATGTTGAATGCTTTAAAATAACGTGTTTACCTTGTACGTGAAGAATGACACGCACACGCAAGATTACAAAATATAAACAAGGTTGTGACTGTATCCGTTGCCAACAAGACTCATGATGACTGAGACTGATGAACCATTTTCAAAGCTAATTTGCTTTATATAGTAGTTAATATTACTTTAGTAGTTTTGTAGAATACAACTGTACTGAAGAGTTGTAAAAAATAATAGTTATAACATAGTCTTTAATCAGGCACATGATTTCATGCATGGTATGACTAATAAAATATATAACAATTGGGAATTAGATAACTAAATTGATTGCATAGTACTTGTGAGACTGTGACAATACTAATTAAGTCCATTATATACATCGATCTTTACTTTTTCTTTGAAATTGCAAAGGACCCTCACGAATGGGTGCTTTTTTAATTTGATAGAAGTTTTTAAATTTAATATATATGATTTTTTCAGCAAAATAAGAAAATAGCTAGCACAACTCACAAATTCAAAGTTCAAACCATGTCATATGATTATTTAAGAAATAACAATCATAAATTAGTTTCCTTCATAATAAAAAGAGAAACGAATGAGAAGGATGAATGGGTTGAAATAGATACAAATTAATAAAATGAAGTTCGTTTACACTCCCAGCGAAGCAGCAGAAATGAAGTTCGTTTACACTTCATTTTATAAAAAACGATACTTTTAGTAAGGAAAATTGTCAATGTGATTTTTATATGAGATATTTGGGAATATAGTACGTTTTTGAAACTTAATATGGAAACTAGTACGGTTCCTATTTACAATTGGGAAAACCCCTAGTTTTACTGTGCTTCACTGTTTTGAAGACATTGTAACCCTCAGATATTTCTTATATTTACGACAATGCCATCACTATACTTAAAACAATCAGAATTTTTCTCGAATTCATGGACCACAATAACTACTATTCTTCTTCTTCTCTATGATCTCTGCTTCATTGTTTCTGGGTATCTAAAAAAATTCAATCTTTATTTCTTCTTGTTAGCGAAAATGGAGAATAATAGTTGTATCGGGTTTGAAGGATCGAGAAGATTTAGTGAGAGTAAACGTATCATTGGGTGGGAATTTGGATAACATCCAAGCAAGCTTGTCGGGTTTGGTTTTTCTATTTTCGTTCAAGAACGCCACAATTGCTCTCACTGTCGTCAACGTTCTCATCTTCCTCTTCCTCCTTCAGGGCTTTTTCACTTCTTCATCATCTTCTTCTTCTTCTTCTTCCTCTCGCCGACTCATTTCAGGTCTGTTGCAATTCATCTCTCTCTCGTCCTTTCTCTGTAACTTTTCGTAATTCCTTGTGGGTATATCCTGATTTTGCGTAATTTCTCTGGATTTCATCGAAATTGTTCAAAGTTTGGTGCTTTAGGAATCATCTCTTGATGGGTCTGTCTCGGATCTGTTCTCATAACAAAATAAATTCAGGCTTATTGATTAGTTTTTAGATTTCTGGATCTATGTGGTCACTTGGATTCGCTCTTTCTAGATTTAGGATTTTAGGGCTTCTACAAAGCTATGATTCGATTTAGAGAAAGTTTAGATTTTTAATTCAATTGCATACAGCACTTGAAAGTTAAGCTCTTTCCATGGAACTGTTGATATCTTAATCTGGTACAATCCTTAGACATGAACTAAGATATGAAGTGAAATTAGAGTTTTTTTTATCTTTTGAGTTAGTTGTTGTTCTTTACTCGGGAGTCTTTTGATTTCAATTAGGGAATGGTGCTCTCTATCAAAAGGTTACCGTTTACTTCTTCTTTGGTGTGTAGCT